CACATGCAGGATGTGCAGGGAGGTCAGGGCGGAGAGGCCGTCCAGGGAACGCAGGTCGTTGGTCTGCAGGTACAGCGCCTGGAGCCCCAGCACCACCGGTACCGGGGGGAGGGGGGGCCAGGGGGTGCGGGCGGTGCGGGCTTCCATCAAGAGCTTGGGAAGCAGGAGGACAGGGACGGGCCCCCTCAGTTGCCCCCCGCCCCCCCACCCTGGGTCCTCAACCCACAGCTGCCTCCGCCTGATCCTGGGCCTGGGCCTGATCCTGCCCGCCACCCTACCCCACCCCCTCGCCGTACCCCACCTCGCCCTACCCTACCCCACCTCGTCCCACCCAGCTCGCACCTCACCTTACTCCAGCCCCCTACATCTACATCTACATCTCCACGGCCCCACCTGCAACCCGGTCATGTTGTCCAGTCCCTCTATTCGTGACAGGCAGTTGTTGGACAGATGGAGGACCCGGCAGGCCGTGTAGTCCTGAGAGTGGGGGGGGGGAGGGCGCAGGGGGAGGGTGGGGGAGGACAGGAGGGAGAACCACGAACCAAGAAAAAGAGTGTACAAGAAGCAGAACTGACCAGTAGGCGATTTTAAAGGCGGCGACCTCGGGATGATGTAATGACGACGACGCGAAAAACTACCTACCTAGCCGCCTAGACTAAAATACGTGCGGTAGAGGGGGAAAGACGAACCACACACGAGAGGGGGGAGGAAAACACGCCACGTCCCCAGGAATCACCACCACCACCACCAGCCGAGAGGTCTCGGACAATGCTGACAGCTCTTCTATTGCGATTGGTGAACTGTTTGTCCGTTTGTTTGTTTATCCTAGTCGTGGTTGATATGGGTTGCGCAGTAGCGATCTTGTTCTTGGACCAGAGCAGGGCGGGGCGGGGCGGGGGAGACCGCTACCCAACGCAGGGAGAACCGACACAGCACATACAAACTTCTCTATGCTACATACATACATACACACATATACACACACGCGTGTGTACGTCCCAGACCTGCAGGACGGCCCTCCCGCAGCCATATAACTCCCCAACCCCCCTCTGCGCTACTCCCTATCTCGCCTGTAAGTTTTCTATCCGGCGGAATTGGAGGTCCTGGAGGTACAGGGTGGTGTTGCATGCGGGGGTGAGGTAGTGGCCCCGGGTGCGGCTCAGCTGGTGCAGGACACGGGGGGACATGAGGCGGGCGCCGTGGGCGTCGAAGTCGTCCTCATGGTCCAGGGGGGGATTGCGAGAGCTGACGGGGCTGGTGGGGCTGGTGGGGCTTCCGAGGGCGACGGCCCCGGAGGGGGCCGGCCGCGGTTGGGAGAGGGTAGCGAGGGAGGAGGTGGACATCATCTTGCAGGGGGCTGCGAGAGAGTGAGGTGGCAGGAGAGGTGGCGTGCGGTTGGATTGGATCATTGAGGAAGAAAAAGAGGGGTATTCGACGAAAGGACCTTAAGGGGCTAATAGGGATTATGACATGTTTGCCTGGGAAGCTGTTGGTGGTTGTAGACTGTGAGAAAAGGGGCTGCAGCGTAAGGCCGCGCGCCAGGCCATGAAAGGTTGGGTCGGCATAGGATATTAATGAGCTCAGAAAGGGATGCGCTGTTGGCTCGGGTCTGTACGTGATAACTGATAATACATGAGCATGTTCCGCAAGATATCTCCAGCTCTTCAACAGCTGCTTGAAGCCATATCAACCATCTCCGTGTATGATATATTGCTCAACAAATCCTTGCCTTATAAAAACTACAGCAAAAGATCCGTCATGTCTACCTGCCAGCCCCGCAGGTCGCCGTTGCGGAGAAGCGACTTCTGAAATGTAATAGTCGTAGGCCCCAAGGCCTTTTGCCTATGGACCCCTCGCCTTAAGGCTGTGGTTACAGTAAGCAAGTGCCGTGCCTGGCCATTGCGGTTGACCGAAACATCACACCTTGCGGCACTTTAAATAACAGGGAAGCCAGCTATATAAAATTGCCACTTTACGGAAGTCAAGAGCCTGAACCGCTCTACAGTGGGTCATTGGATAGATGCATCCATGGATAGAGAAAGCACAACGGTTGATAACGGTGACGTACGGCTGCATGGGCTGAAATGTTTTATAACGATCTTTATGTCGCGAAGTGGAAGCCCCGATTCACAACCAATTGTGAGTATAATCCGTGTTCCGTGTTCCATTACTTGAAGCATGCCAGACGACCTCCTCTACATCCTGTACGATTGCTTCAAACCCTGCATGTTTTTCAGCAGCTTCTTAAGCGACAAGGGCTTTTTGTCCCAGCTGTTGCGGTGAAAGCGTTTGATGCCCAGGTTTTGTCTATTCTGTCGTACGGGGTACAGGTTTGGGGCCCGTTAAGGGTTCTGGACATCCTGGAGCGCGGTTACCCTAGCAGCCAGGAACCACGATTGTGCTACTTTGAGATTGCACTGCAGGACAGGATGGTGGAACTGCAGAAGAACTTCCTGAAGCAGTTGAGTGGTGCTGGCTTGCCAACAAATCGGCTACTATTCAGAGAGTTGGGTCAATACCCTTTGCAAGTGCATTGGGCAAACCTGATTTTTCGTTTTTGGAACAGGTTGGTTGAGGCAAAAGGTTCTGTGTACCACCATTGCTTTCGGGAGGAACTGCGGTTGGCATTATCATCTGGCATGACGTATGATGGATGGGGAGCGAAAGTCCTGAAGATCCTTAGAGTTGATGGGTCATAACGTGCGGACGGGTGTGGACGACTCAGGCGACATTGAGGTCAAAGTTGATGCTCTGGCGACACGTTCACTAGATGTAGGCCAGTTGATCTGTGAACTTCGGTGCCGATTTGATGATGACTGGGAAAGTGAGCGGTTGACAGTGGATCCAGCTTTGTTTGTTTCAGATAATAGGCAACCAGGGGGTGAAGATGTGTCGCTATAAGCAATGGATGGGTTTGCCCAAGCATGGCAGCGGCTATACCTCGCCAAAACAGCACGTCACGCTGATGCGTTTCAGGATGTGTGTTTGGCCTTTGGCGGTTAATCGACCGCACGGTAGGGAACGGTCTGCCCGGTGGTGTCGGGTCTGTGGGAACCGGCAAGCTGTTGAGGATGAATGTCATGTGCTGCTAGATTGTCCTGCGTATGCGAATATCCGTTTGAAGCTTTGGGACCTGGGGGTTACTCCTGGGGACCGCATGATCGAGATTATGGGCGTCAAGGATCAACGCGGGTTAGCGCACGTTCTGGATGACATTAGAAGATGCAGGTTGCAGTACGTTGAAGATTAATCAATCTGTTATTGTTGGGTATTGGCATTTTTCTTTTTTAGTTCTTGTTTCCAGTTCGGCGGTCCATGAGCCTTTTGGCTCGTCTGGACCGTACAAGCTTGAAGCTTGTAACAAAAAACGTCTAACGTCTAAACGTCTTCAGCATGCTCGCCAGCAATAAGTAATTAGTAGCAAGTTATAGTATTTATGCGTTACATGTGTACAACGTGTGCTGTTGGGCTGTTGCACCCTCTGCATGTGTCTGCCAAGCGAAACAATTCGGACACAGGGCTGACGACTGGGAACATCTACCAGCATGCTATATGCCTCATGTCTATCCAAACTTACCACCACGTCGCAGGCCGTATATGTTGTCATGTGTCATATGTTGTCACAACTTTTGCTAGCAATACAGCTGAGCGGCAACTGCACGGTTTAGGCAAAAAGGGGGTCAACCACATCTGCAGCGGCTGTACAGCGTGTAGGCCGCCACCGTCACCTTTGCAAAAACACAAGAATGCAAGATTATAGGTTATGGATTGCAAACAAAGGGTATTGCGCTTGCGTGCCTTTGGGTGTTTAGGACGGCTGCATTAAGAGCTGGGCTAAACCAAATGAGTTACGCTAATCAAAGTGAATAATGTGCAGCTACCTAGTGTCAGGTTTGATTTCGAACGCTTCACTACGACACTGCGAGTATGCTGACACTTGGACTTTGCGAGCAGTTAGGAGCTTTAGTCAAGGGTTTCCACTGTTCCCACCACGCCTGCCAGCGTCCACAGGACGCATTTCCTGGCGCTTTTCCCTTTGCTGGATTAGCCTAAGCCCTGACATAAAGTTGTTTCCTCTCGAAGCTTGTTTCGTTGCGCACAACTGAAATCAAGCGCATGGGTAATGGTGGCTCAACTGATGGAAACGAAGTGCAAAGTTGATATTCTTGCCGAAGGCATATGCTTCGCGCTTGTTCGCAACCGCTTACGATAAGATCCTATGCCTGACTTTCTCGGGCAGACATGTCAGCGCCTAGCAAACTGCTAGGAAACGAACACCATGGTAAAGCATCCATCCCAAAATGTATCAGCTTTATGAAACCATTTATGATTGCTTTCTATCAGTGCGTCCCAACTGGTTCAACCAGTAGTGTAAGGCCCTCGTCAGCCGCCTCACCATGCGAGGCCTCGCCTCGAAGCATCGGGCCTATTAACAAGCCGATCATAATTTAATTAATGGCATACATGCATTAGCGCTTAGAATTCATCATCGGCGTGGCGGGGGCAAACGGACGACGGGTGTACGATTACAGTTGCGACTTTCCTGCTTCCATTTCCAACGTTGCGAAGGAAGCCCACTTTATAACACCTACCGTAGCTACAAGAGTCAAATAAATTAATGCTTGGCTGGGCGGAAATGCGTTTATTGCGAAAGTAACTCCCCACAGATTATAACCGCCATCGCGACAATACATAGGGATTCAAGTTACTTGCTGTTTGTTGCTAGGTGCTGGAGAGGAGCGATACTGATTCCGCTTGGGAGGTAACCTGGGTCCTTGCATTTTGCGTCGATACGGCGTTGATAAAACAGGCCACTTTGACCTAAGCTGAGAGTTCATAGAATGCTTACCATCATTAGGCTTTAGCTAGTTGTGCTATTTGATTTGCGCTATTAAACCGGTAGATTTGCAGATGTAACTTGTTAAGACCCCCTGCCATCCATGCTCTGAAAGTCGCGGCATCTTGCCCTCCTTTCCGCAGAACCAAATGAAATGCGGCCTCTGTCATTTTACCAAGCATGGATTAAGGATGGTCGTAAGCTCACACGGGTGGGGGGCGCTCCTGCGGGGCGGGATGCCTCATCCTCCGAAGACGACTATCCAGCTGCCTACCAAAGGTTCGTCAAGCAAGACTCCTCTCATCCTGACGTTGATGATTCTCCACCACGACCTTATCGTCGTGGAGGGGATGTGGACCTCCGCCGGGCTCCTGCGCGGGCTGCCCTAAAAGGCATTGATGCGCACGCGAAAAGCAAAGGCAACTTGGTGAACTTTGCCGTGCAGCATAAGAGCGCTGTTGACAACCTATTAAGCAGCCTCTCACCCAGCGGCGTTCTGTCCGCTCCCCGAAGCTCTCGCACCACAACTGCAGCCAGCACTCCACGCAGCCTCGGCCGCCCTCCACTCTTGCCCACCTGGTCATCAAATGATGATAGCGACAGCGACGATAATGCAGGAGAACGACGACAAAGTTGCGGCCGTAGCAGCGGAATCACACCGAGGCAGCCGCTGGGCTGGACCAGCGGCAGGGCAGCCTTATCCTGTGCTGCAGCTGCAAGCAGTTGCAATTACGCAGCTCGCGATCAAAACCACAGCCGCTATTTTCCAGGCTCGTTATCATCATCATCTTGCATTTGCGGCGCCTGCAGCAGCCGCACGGAACGTCTTGCTGCCCGGACGGCAGCGGCTATAGCAACTGGGCGGGTTGGTGCGCCTGCTACTCGCCAGCTGGGGCCACAGGCGTCGGGCCCAGCATCCTCCTCGTCCTCATCAACGATGCCATCACCAAGAACGCAGGAAGCATCACAATCAGGCAAGGAGAAGACCTGTCTCCACACGTAACTGCATGCTCTACCTGCCCTGAGCCTTCCGACCCAGATCGCGACACTAGCTAGCACCGATATGTATGTGTGCTAAAGAAACATTAATGATTCGGAACCATAATATATGATCTGCTTGATGACCCAAATCCCAGTACATACGATACTAAACTGGCCCGTGGGTCACCGACACCTGCAGGTCCGACCCTGGTCGCTACCGCCTGGCGTGCCGCAACAAAACGCGCTGTCACCGCCAGCAACCCGGGCGCCGCGGCCGCCACCGCCATCACCACCCCACCTCACTTGGATTTAAGCTTCCGCACCCCGAAAAGACCGACGACTGCCATTACCTCCACTCATAGCGTGAGCAGTTCGGAAGACCCGCCGACACCTCGTCTGACATGGCTGTCGTACCTCTCTCCCAACCCGGTTGGACGGGCCGCGGGAAGTGGGAAGACTGCCAGTCGCGGTCCCAGCAGGGGCGGTGCTACAGTCCGCGATGGCTACACCTCCGTTACGGGGAGGCGGGGAAGGAGAGGCAGCAGCAGCGGTGGGGGCAGCGGCGGCAGAGGCAGCGACAGGAGCAGTAGCCGAGGCAGTCGGAGCCGCAGCAGGACCAAACGCAGTGAGAGCTTTGGCGGCGGCGGCAGTGAGGCCGTCGCTTACGGGAGACGCCTGAACAGCAGTGCAGCGCCGCAGCAGCAGCGACGTCGTACCTTTGAGGGTGCGACTGCGGCTGCGGCTACTGCGGCTACTTCAGGCTCAGCTGCTAGAGTGAGGCCAATTTCTGTCTCTGCTCGGCCGGGTACGGGGCCACTGCTACTGCATGCTGGACCCCCCCTGGCAACGGGTCGCCTGAAGAGCGATATCAGCACCAACACGGATGCGGATTCGGAGCGGGAGGAGGAGGCAGTGGTGCAGCAGATGCTGGGGGGAACGGCGGCATGGCTCCAGGAGAGGCAGCTGGAGCGGCAGCGGCAACAGGACCTGGCGGAGCTGCGCCGCGCCGCCAGGCGCCGCGCGCGTGCGGCCGTGGCGGGTACGGCGGAGGTGCTGCGAGGTGGAGGCGGTGGAGGCGGGTACGACAGCGACAGCCGGTCGTCCCGCGGCACTGTGCGCAGCAACGGCACCCTCTCAGCGGATTCTCGGTGCGGAGACGACGGCTTAGACGTGGGCGCTTCATTTACCTCCTGGGTTGGTAACAGGAGGGCCATAAATGGGAGTCATGTGGGTCGGGCCGGAGGTGCGGCGGCGCTCGGGATCGGCGTGAGTCGGCCCCGGTCGCCGCCGCCGCCACTGGTGCTGCTCAGGACGCAGAACGCGGCGACTGTCCTGGCGGCGGCGCAGCGACGCCATCTGCTCTCCAGATCTAGCGGCGGCGCTGTCGTGCGTCGTGCCGCTCGTTGCGCAATGCGTACCGCGCTTTCCGCGCGGGAAGGCGGCGGCGGCGGTAAAAGTAACAGTAACAGCACGGTGGCGGCGGCGGCGGTGCTGCGGCGTGCGTTATTATGGCGCGACGCGGAGGTTCTGGTAGCCAGCGAGACGGGACGTCTGCGGGGACTGGGGGGTGGGGGATGTGGTCGTGGACAGCTGCTACTGCCAGCGGCGGGGACACGCAAGGCCTTGTCGGATAGCAGTGAGGATAGCTTTGCGTATCGCGTGACGTCAGCCGCGATGACGCTGAGGTCGATGTCCGTACCGCGGTACAGCGCTGGACGGCGGCACGATATCGCCTGGCAGAGGCAGCGTCAGGCGCATCAGCGGCTCGGCGGAAGTATAGCGGCCGGCTACAGCCTGTCGCGGGACGAAAGCCGCAGCGCCGGCAGGGGTGCGAGACGGGCGAGTCCCACTGCTGCTGCAGCCGCCGCGGCATTTAGGAGTGCCGCGGACGTCGCATCCGCGGCCGTTTCCCGCGCCACGTCCGTCATCAGCAGTGGAAGCAGCGGCGACGGCAGCGGCAGCACAGGGAAGCCTCGCACCTGGTTTATGACGGAGGTTCTACGCACGCCGGTTGGCAGCCACCTGAGCGATAGGGAAGAGCCACAGACCCACGGGTCACAGTGGGGCCGCCGGGGCGGCGGCCGTGACGGTGGCGGCGCCGGCAGCGGCAGCTGTCCCTCCTCCCCGGTGACCTGGTCCCCTCCCTGGATTCAATCCCCCTCCCAGAAGCTCTCTCTCTCCCGCGTCTGGGGCCCCATGTATCCTCTGGAGTCCAAGAGCCCCAGGAGCAGCTACGAGGGCGGCGGCGGTGGAGGAAGCGGCAAAGGAGGAGGGCGAGGAGAAGGAGAGGAGGGGTTCCATGGAGGAGCAGGAGGAGGAGGAGCGCAACACGGCGCCGACGGGTACGCCGCCAGCGATGACGCGCTGTGGCGCTCTCCGTCGCGACCGCCACCAAGTCGGCCACCTGCAGGAAAGTCCCACTCGGTCTTACGAGTGGAACACGGTCCATCGGCCCTCGTAATGCATTGCGGTGACGACCCGTCTGTGGGAGAGGTTCATGAGGCCGAGGAGCGGCGGTCGGTGTCGCGGCCGCATTCAAAGGGTGCGGCTGCTACTGCCGCCGTCACTTCCACTGGTTTTGCAAGTGCGGTTGCTGCTGCTCCTGCTGATGGTGGTCATTGTAGTGATGCTGCTGCTGGCTTGGGCGGGAGGTCCTCGACGGGGCGTCAAGTTAGCAGTCCGCTTCGCCGGTATCTGTGCTTATGAGACGAATGGTGGTGGCTAGTTTCTGAAGCTACGCGCGGCGCATTGATGTCTGTCGAAATGATGTTGGATGCGGGTCGGCTTGTATGCATGGGAGGGGCTATTGGCGGAGCAGGTTGGGGAATAGGACCCATGAATGCAGGGAGGCGAGTCCGCTGCATGGGGGTCCTAACGAGCTGTTGTGAGTGCGGAGCAACCTCTTATTGGGGGTCGTCCCATTACGTTACATCTCATTGCGGTGCACGTGTACAATGAGGCGGCACAGGCTGCAACACTGCGCATCGTCAATTGTAAAAGTGCAGCAATTGTCTTCAGTTCGGTTGGCCAAGATTGCCCGCGGGGTAGGATACACGGAGGGCCTGCAGACAGAGCCAAGCAACTGTGTGTGTGCCTGTGTGTGTATGTATGTATGTATATGCGTGCTTAAATGTCAGTACACTCGTACTTGGATTTTCGACGGACTGAGCTGCGCCCTGGCGATGAGAGGACGGCAAGAGGCGGTGCGATGGCGATGTAGCATGTCTGGGTATGTATGCATACTGCGAATGCGTCCGATCGCTGCAATCATACTCGTGGTCCCCCTTGTGGCGGAGTTTGGGAACACCCTTCATATCCAAGGAGGGAAAGGTGGATACGCATCACACATAGCACCTGGTGGTTAATCAACCACATCACTCGCAGGTCATGAGGTTGATGGAAAGCTGAAACAAACGAATAATGAATGAATGAATAAACTGAAGTGGGCTTGAGAGCACGACCACGCCGTGTTGACAACACCTGTTGTTGTGGGGCGGATGGGGATTTGCATGGTGGGATTTGCATGGTGGGGTCGAAGGAGGACTGCTAGGGGGTGGGGGCGCAAGGCGGCGCACTAGTGCTGTGTTTTCTGGATCCCACCCGACCGCAGTGGTGCGCGCCCTCAGTTGCCATAAGGTTATTGTGAAGGTGTTGTTGTGGAGATGTCGCAGTGGCGGGGGACTTGCAGGTCAGGACGGGTAGGAGGCCAGGACGTCATCTTGCCTTGTCCAAAAACATAGCGTACAATGCCGTTCCAGACGCCGTACGGACAAGTCTCTTTCAAATCCGCGCATGCCCTCTCCCCTCTCCTCTCCTTTTTTTCTCCACCCTCCAACGCTATGCGTTAAGTCCTGGAGCGCATGCTCCATATCCGTACTGTGCAGTACAACAACGCCGTACGACCAGGAAGTTAATGTGCATATATCGAATATAACACCATAAATATCGAACAACGCAGTTAGGTCAGGTGGGTAGAACACGGGCCCCTTCACCACCGAGTGGTACACCAAGTGCAGCGCATGCACAGAGCAATGTCCGCAAGCCTTTTTCCTTACAAAACATACCTCCGTGCATTAGGCCCTACTTCCGTACGGCCCCCATGTCCAAACGCAATAAGTCCAGCAAACACCCCTTGAGCGGCAATCTGCTGCTGCCGGAAAAAGCAAAAGCCAGTGTGGCAAGCTTATTATCGTCATAAATATAAAAGATGAGCGAAGTCGCGATAGCAGTCAATGATACTGGTAAATGCTGGTATAATAACGCTACAGTGAGAGCAAGCAGTCTAATATTCGCCAATACCGCTGGGCTGGCTTTTGTGCAATACGCGTGGCGCGATAAACCGTGTGCCCTACATGCCGCGCCTTCTCCGCGGCTCGCGGCGATCCCCCGCATGCTCGCAGACGTCAGCAAGCTCCACGCCTAGCAACCTAGCACAAAATTACACGTGCTGATGTGTCTCAAGCGGAGGAGGCCGTGTGTTGAGGACGCGTGCAAAATAATACCTGCTGCTGCATTCGCAGCAGGTCGTGATTAATTGGATTGATCGTTTCACTTGTAAATGACATCCATCCATCTATCAGAGTCAGGATCAGAACCCGAATCTGTAGAACATCACCCATCGAGCTGACATTGCTGCGCCTCATAACCGCCGCAAACAAGCAATATCAGACACCCGCCTACGTATGTATGCATGTAAGTATGTATGTGCATCTCTGTATGCGTGTGTATGAGTAGTATTGCGAATGCGGCTCAGTCAAAATACTTATAGCGTAATCGCACACACGCATACACACACATACATACACACATACATGCATACTAACAGACGTTCATACGTAAAACATGTACGAAACTAGTACTGCGGAAAGGGGGTTTGGATCCATTCCTCGCTTCTCCGCATCATCTCACGTTGCTTAATCAGGCACAAGGCAAGGCAAAGTTGGATACGATTTAGGCGCAAGTTGGAAAATCTACCATGTCCATAGGCAATGGCCTCAGTACGACGGTCGTACGGTACGTGACACGCTGTAGTACGCACAACGCAGTACCACCCAATGGGATGGGTTCATGGGCAAGGGTGCCGGAGGTTCCGGTTATTTCGGAAGAGGACGACGGCAACGAGGAGCGCATACACACATCACCACCGCTCTATCATTTTCCAGCGCCGCACCTCTCCCCCCTCCTCTCCTCTTCCCTTTCCCGAGGGGGAAAGGATTACTTTCTTCGTCGCCTTACTCTCCGGAGCTCACCTCCCTTCCCCCCTCCTCCGTTGGCGCGGCTTGGCGCTTCGGACAGGAGCGCGTCACGCAGGTTGGAACTTCTCCCCCTCCCCCCATTCGCTCGGGCCCCCCCCTCCAGGGGGAGACACGCACATACACGTATATGTCATGCAACCGCAGCTTGATGACGGCCCGCACCGCCAGGCTAGAGAGGCATTCATACATACATATATACGCACGCTGACAGCGCGCTAGTTCTCTCCATTCCTGGAGATGAACCGCTGATTCTGGTTGCAGTTGACCGTTGGAGCCACAACTGAAAAACGAGCCGCAAGAAGCCCAATTCGTACTTACGGTTTGCGCGCGCTGTAAACCGCTCGCCCATGCGCCACGCAAACATACATGAACGCACACACGCGTCAACACACCATCGGCATTTCCCTCACCGCGGCTCAGGTCATAAAAAAACACAACGCACACGCTCGCCCAGGCAAACACAGACTCACACGCAACGCCCCAAACACTTCGGCAGGGGCATGGTGTGAAGGCCAAACGGAACACCCCGAAGCGGTTGAAAGCGGTTATAAGCAACCGCCGCCGCTCGGACAACAATGTGGTCAGATTTCCTTGCAGTGGCAGTAGCGGTGATAGTTGCGTGTTGTGGTAGTTGTACGAGAGGGATTAGAAAACCGCCCTGCCTGCCAGGGCTGTGAAATACGCGCCCTCTTCCTCACACATACATACAAATACATGCATACATACTCATATACACCACCATTATACCACTGCCCGGTCCCCCCTCAAAACCCTGAGCTGCGGGAGGGCGAACCCCGCAGTGGGCTGTGGGCCTTATGCGAACCAGGTAGAGGTCGGTCAAGGGGATGCCGCGGGGCCGGGGTTAGCTCGACCTAACGACCTAACAACCCGACCGTTGCGACCGTTTGAGCGAGGACCACCCATCTACCCGCACGATCGCCACCTCGACCCCCCCCGATGAAACACACACACACACACACACAACACCTGCTGCAACAGGACTGGCCCGTCCTCTGCCCTACGAAGCCGGGACCTAGCTCTCTCGAAGAATTGAGTTAACACAACGACTAACCGGGGTTGGGTGGGTGGGTGGGGGTTGCGAGTGAATGAATGAACGAGTGGGAGGACGCCGGGGCCAGAAGCAAAGCTGCCGTGCGGTGTGAAAGCAAAGCAGCTGCCGCGAAAGGGACAAAGAACAAAAAGGCAAACCAGCACATCGCCGAGTCGGCAGCAGCAACAGTAGCAGCAGTAGCAGTAGGAGCAATAGTAGTAACAGCAGTAGCAGCACCAGCAGCAGCCCTCAGGCTGTCAAGTATCGAACCTGCGCGGCCGACGAGCAAAGCAAGTGTACAAGAGCACTGCACGAATATTCGCGCGTATACATATATACATACATGCATACAGACGTACAACTACACACACATCGCAGGCAAGTACTTCGCCACACGGCCCCGAAACACACACACAGCTGTGTGCCCGTGCGTGTGTATGTGTGTGGGGGGGGGAGCGTCACTCCCTCCCCCCTCCCCCCATCCTGGCGGGTTGTACGGCCGCAATTAACCAATCCCACCAACCGACCAAGCTCTCATCCCCAACTTGCAAATCGGCGGGAAGCAGCTACAAGCTGCCGCCGCCGCCGCAGCCACAAACATAACTATAGAACAAATCACTGCCGTACAGCACCGCTGTACTGCGTTGCAAACGGAACGAAAGCGCCGCAGTGTGAGCCGCTGAACGAGTGGATGCACTGCACACGACATCGCCGCGGCCTCCGCCTCCGCCGTACTACAACCGCCGTACTACCGCCCTATTGCAGCATTTTGTTGGAGATCATCAAGCTGTTCCTGCGCTCCCTCTCCTGGCTGATCGCGTTGGATGTGGTGCGCAGCACGTTCTTCCAGGCGCGAGCTGCATCCGAGGCCAGCTGCTGCTGCTGCGCCACGTTAGCTGCGCCTGTAGGGTAGAGGAGGGTAGAGGGTAGGGTAGGGAGGGGTAGGTGAGGGGAGGGGCCATTAGGTGGGTATCGCCATCAACGTGACGGTGCAAAACGACCGCCGTGGCTACTTGAGCGGCCAAATCCCGCCTTGCACTCGTCCTGCTATCGCTAGTGTCGCCACTTCCAACCTAACCTATTGAGCACCAACACAGCGTAACACGGACAGTCAGCTATCTTGGAAAATCGCCTTTTGTTCAGCACGCTTGCGAAAGGTGTCACCCAGGGTTCGAAGTGCACGAAGACACCCCAACAACCCCGGGTGCTTGTGCTCCAACAATGCCCAGGATGAAGATGAGGAAGAAACATAAGCACAAAACCTAAAACACAACTTCCCCACCTTAACCCCCCTCCCCCCCATTTTCATTTCCCCTCACCCCCACCGGCCCCCTACCTGCATGCGCCTCACCCCCACTGCCCCCCTCCGCCGCCGCCGCCGCCGCCGCCGCTGCCGCGGGGCCCCCCGTGCTCCCCGCCAGCGCCACCCGGACCATCTTCTCAACATCCAGCTCCAGGGGAAGCTGACTCAGCAGCTCGGCTATATGGCGCTTCTGGGGTACGGTAACGCCGTATGTACGGCAACATGGCAGGTATTTCGGTTGAGACTGGGTCAAGGGATGTTGGCTTTAAGTCCTTGGTACGCCAAAGTAAGACGGCGTCTGGCTGGGGGCGAAGGATTATAATATGCTTATCATGGGGTGAGGCCGGGGTGTGCCCTTGTGTGTGTTTGTATGTCTGTGTGTTTTTGGTGGGGGGGAGGGCAGTGGCGGGGGGTGGTCGGGAGACCCTAGATGCGTATGGGATCCTAAGCTCCGCCGGTTTTTCCTGCGGTGCCCCCTCCGCGCCCATCTTCCCGTGGGCTCATCCCCCTTCCCCTCCCCGCCCCCCCCCCCCCTCACCTCCCCCCCTTCCCCCTCACCTCCCGGGCCAATCTAACCAGGAGCGGCTTCAGCAGCAGCACGAAGAACCCGGCCAGGAAGAACCACAGCAGCACAAAGAGCAGGATGTGGAGCAACAGAATGTCTGCGGTGTGGGCGGGGGATGAAGAAGGGGATGGGGCGGGCGGGGAGGGAAATGACGAGGGGGGGAAGTGGCGGAATTGTACAGTGGGTGTAATCAGCGTTTTTTAACAAGTAATATATTCCTTAAAAGGAATAAACAGGCATTTTGGCCTTTGGAAAAAAGGAATGAATTTCAGGCCGACCCGTACATTTTCATTCCTCCAGCCAAAAACGTCCATTGCTGCCAGATTGCTCCGTAATGTGCAGAACTTAGTATTTTCAATCATAGAATAGATACGAGGGGCCGTAAGAAGGTCAAGCCCGTGAGTCAACGCGGCATAGCAGCATGTATGACCGGTCCTCACATAGCCAAACACGCACAAGGCAACGACTCGAACGTCGAACAGACACCAAAAAAGCAAGATAAGCCTGAAATTTTTCATGATAAAGGCGTTTGGGATGGCGGTGCTGTTGTCGGTAATGCATCGGCAATGGTATGATGTGTGAAACAGGGGGATATATCTTCGCCCGTGGCAGCTACCCTGCGAAACCCTGCCTTCCCCGGTATTTCGGGGCACCCTCATCCAATCACCCTAGTCAACTTCTCAGTGGATCACTCAGGTTCCGCACCCACCACCAGCATCCAACGGAATCTGCCGGGTCGACAGCGGCCCAACTCCGTTCCTGGTCGGCTCGCAGGTTAACTTTATCCCAGGTCACCACCGTCCATCAACTAGGGGCGCAATACCTTCCACCATCGGAAGGATTTTTGACCCTAATGGGTATCGATCCCGGGATCTCCCGGGGGCAATGGTCGCGCGTTACCAGTAGTGCCAAACCCAAGTATGTATGTATGTATGCATGTACGAACTGCGCATAGCTTACTTGAGAACAGGTTCTCAATGTGGTCGAAGTGGGCGACACCGATTCGGATGTTGGCGTCCGTTAGGTCCTGTGTGTGCATGTATGTATGTACGTACGTATGTACAGGAGTCAGAAAGGGGGAAGTTTGGCAGGGGCTTTATCCATCTCACTGGTTTAGGGGAGGCGGGGACCCCTTCCCCCCCCCTTGGATTCCCCTCCCCGGGGCGGATTTCCCCCCCCCCCCCCTACCCGTCACCTCATCATGGTAATCAAAGTGCCTTCTTCCCCCTCCCCCGCACCGAAAAACGCACACACATACATATAAGCATACATACATACACACGCACGCACGGCCCCCTTGCGTCCCACCTTAGTTCCCACGTTATAGATGAAGTCCAGGTGCGGGTTGTCCAGGCCGGGCTTCACATCCACCACCTCCTCCGCCATCGCGAACAGGTGGTTCAGGTACACCTGCATGATGCTGTCCACACCAGAGTGGGTCAGCTGGGGGGGAGGGGGGGGAGAGGGGGAAAAGGGGGGGAAATGGAGTGTCAGGGTGACATGTACGGCAGTTATCGCGGAAAAATCCAGTCGCTTGAAGAGACACGCATACATAATGTTGAACTAGAGCTGTAAGAGGCGGGTGAGGGGTGAGGGAACTATATGGCTATCTGGAGAGCGGTCAGACGGTCCAGGGGGCTGTGGGGTCGTTAGTGGGGCAAAGCCCACTTCGGACACATACCTCCGAACAGTAAAGAGGTGGGGGAGCAGCTGTGTATGTGTACATGTGTACATACACAAAACTAGGCCTAAACCCCCTTCCCCCCCTCTCGAGAACCCCTCCCCGCCCCATTGCAAGTCCCCGGTCCCGTACACACACAACCCCCCCTCCCCCTCCCTTCCCCCCCCCCTCCCCCCCTCCCTCCTTCCCGTTCCGCACCTGATACCATCTGTACTCCGGGCCCGGGCAGGGCAGGTTGGGCGGGGAGCGCAGACAGCCCGTGTTCGTGTAGAAGAGCTCACGGAGGGCACGGTTCTCGTACGACATACCCAGAGTCACCAGCGGGAAGCGCTCCGTGTTGGGTCCTGAGGGGCGGGGGGGAGCGACGGAAGGACACTCAACAACAACAATAAGACCGCTCAGAGAAGCGGTGTGAAACCTACGGCAACATACATGCACCAACATAAAAACCTAAAACCTCAAAACCAGGATACGGAATACCAAAACAACAACAACAACAACAACAACAACAACAACAACAACAGGTCAAGAGGGACGAGAGCGCGTGAATAGGCAGGCCAGGCGAAGTGGCGCCTTTCGTGCGGTTCTTGCATAGATCGGTTTGCGCCGCTGTGTTGCCTAGCCAGGGGCTGGGAGAGTGTCCCGGTTGGCGCGAGTGAGGGAATGAGGCGCGCGCGGAGGAACAGACGGTCGTAAAGCCGCGCGCCCTTCCCTGCGCTGTGTTTCGGCCCGGTCAGGGCCCCCGGTGCTCGTCCTTTATCGGGCGAGCCGCCCACAGTGTAACACCCCATCAACAACAACAACAACAACAACAACAACAACAACAACAACAACAACAACAACAACAACAACAACAACAACAACAACAACAACAACAACAACAACAACAACAACAACAACAAGAGAAGTATTGAATTAGATGGACCTCATGTGAACATGGAAACCGGAAAGATTTAGGAATATAAATAGTAGTCGTGGTAATAATAATAGGAAGTTAAATCGGCAACAGGACGTCCACCACACCAAAAGAAACCAGACGTTTGCCTTCCCCCCCACCTTCACAGCCATCCATCCATCCACCCATACAAACATACATACATGGCCACACCCGAGACTGAACACGGGCCAATTGGATTTCCCGTCGTGCGGGGAGCAGCCAGGCGTGGAGACACACATACACACACATTACCCCCCCCCCAACCCCCCCCCGGTGATATCCCCCATGTCGCACCCAGGGTCCTCCAGGCCTCCGAGCCCAACTGCGAGGTGGGGAGGGGGAAAGACGAACCACGAACGAGTGAAGTGGGGGAGGGGGAACCGGAGAGCGCCAGGGAGGGAGGGTGGTTGGTTAGTTAGTTTATTAGTTTGTTAGTTGGGCGGGTGAATAAGATGCGAATGAGCGGCGGGTTGGGAAAGGTGGGGTTAGACCGGTGGTTGGATCGATGGTCGACATGGAAAGGGCGGGATATGCAGATGGTCAAACTCCCCGACTTCGGACCCTCCGCCGCCTCCTCCGGCTCCCCCTCCCTCACCCCAGCCCCGTCTTATTGTAGTTAATAGTACAGCTCTGTCGCGGCAAGCCCAAGCTGCAGCGCCGTACATCCCTACATCCGCACACCTCTCCGTACGGCCCGCCACATGTACGGCATCCTACCTTCAAAGTGTAAAATGCGTCCCTCAACATGGTCGCCGCTTTCTTCAAAACCGCCCGACGGGCAGGCAACTTGGTCGGGTCCTCCTCCGCAGCCAATTCCTGGACCACACCACACACACATACGTACGTACATGCATACGTACATGCAGACGTGCAAACGCAGCCACAAGAAGGGGATTCGTCAATGAGAAACTGCACCTCAGCAAAACCAGAGCACCAGGGCGGTACACGGCGGCTGCTGGCAAGTGGCAGCGGAGGAGTGAGCCGTTGCGAGGGAAAGGCCGGGAGAGAGAACGAAGCTGCCGTACAAAACCCAATGTCGCACACGGCACTGCGGGGCGGGTGGTGGCACCCCACGACGCACCGCGGGCGAGGTCGCCAGGTGCAAATGCCCCACAAGAAAAAGACCAGTGCGGTTATGTACGGAAAAGACCAGCGCCATTGTGTATATAATCATGCAGTACAAGCAGCCGTACACACCTGGGCAAAGAAACAGGACCGGTAGGTACGGGCGGTGTTGAAGTTGCTGACGCTGGCGACGGCCACCAGCGGCTTGGATTGCTGCCGGGGGGAGGGTGCGGGAGGGGCGGTCCGGAGCGGAGGAGGGGATAAGTGTGTGTGTGTGTGGGTGGGTGGGTGGTGGGGGGGGGGAAGATGCTCCGGAAAGGAGGAAAAGAGAGAGAAAAAGAGGGTCGTTCGTTAAGCATTTCATCGTTTCATATCTCACACAACCAACCAGACGACAGCACTATCCAGCCCAAGTCCTCATTGGAACCCGCGACAACACCTTGAGCTCCGCCACCGACACCGCGTAGAACGTCACCACCAGACAGGACCACAGCACGAAGGGCATCAGCAGCCTCGTGGTGTCGTTGGAGTCCAGCTTCAGGTGCCGCTTGTGGTGGTGCTCCACGGCAGCGGCACCCGGGCCGTGGGAGGTGGGGAACACCGTCTGAGACCTGGTGCGTGGAGGGGGGGGAGGGGAGGGGAGGGGGGCATGAGTGTGCGTGTAGCAGTTGCGGGGGCAGTCTGTGCGGGCCCACCAGGCCCTAAGCCCCCATTGCAGGCCCCCCCCCCCCGGGAAGTACGGATACCGACGAAAAACGCACACGTACGTCAAATACGTCATTGTCACGTACATTTCAAGTTTGAAAACGCTCCAAGGCTTTGCCAAAAAACGTAAGCACTAATCAAACACATCTGGCCACTTCCCTCGCCACTTCACTCGCCACCTCCCTCACCACCACCACCACCACCACCACTGCCACCACCACTGCCACCACCACCACCACCACCACCTCCCTCACCACCACCACCACCGCCACCACCACCAGCGCACCTTCTTGCCAGGCAAGGCAGGCACTGGTAAAGTCGGGACATAAGCCCCTCACGAAAGCGACCCCAAGAAGATCGCAGCACCAGGGCCCTGTGCTGGATGGAATTCACACGGCTGAACGAGCGGCCCCCGGGGACAGCCGCCGCCGCCGCCGCCGGCAGCCTGGCGGCGTGTTGCGTCTCGCCCGAGGCGGCGGCCTTGGCGTACGCCGCCAGTACGGCAGCCTGGAAGCTGGGCCGCCGGCGGCTGTTTATCGTGGCCGAGGGCGCTAGCGTGGCGTGGCGATTGCGCATGCTGCCGCTGGGCAAACCGTGATTTCGGTTATCGTTGCCGCCGTGGTTTCGGTTATCGTTGCCGCCGTTCGTCTCGACGTCCGAAATCCCCGACTGTGTTGCGTCCATGTACGGCAGAGGGGCATGCGTGTGTGTGTGTGTGTGTGTGTAATGGGGGGTTGATGCGCACATGGCGAAGAGGTGGCAAAACTCCTCCGACACCCCGGGGAAAACGAGGTCGTATTGGTCAAACAAAACCCACAAAACCCAGACGCGTGTATGATGTACGACAATACCATCCGCCCACTAGCCACAGGGTTGTGTGTGTGTGTATGTGTGTGTGTTGTCGCAGCGCAGCCAGCGGGGGCCCCGCAGCCCACCTTGTCGTGGTCGTCATCGCCGTGCGGTCCGTCGTCCTCCTCCTCGTCCTCCTCCTCCTCCTGTTCAGGCAAGGCAGGGCAGGGCAGGGCAGTAACAGCACACACACACATATCGGCACCGGAAGAGGTGTCCTGAACAGGCACTCGCTGCAGCATATTGATATTGCAAAATCAAAAGCATCACCCCCCCCAAAAGCCCCCGCCGTATCTCCCCCCAAACCCTCCCCCCCAAACCCCCACCTCCAGCAACGTGGTGTTGGCCAGCTGAGACGACAGCGCGCGAGTAAGGCCCACGGGAATCACCAAAAATGTGCCGTACAGCGTGTACCGCTGTAATGCCAGCTTCCTCAGCAAGTACGCCAGCATTGCAGCTGCCATCACCGACACTCCGCAGCCCTCAGCCACGAGGAAAGCCAACAACAGGTTATTCACCTGGCTGGTGTTGCGCATCGCAATGTAAAGCAGGTCGTCCAAAATCTGTACGGAGTACGGAGTACGGGACATGGCGGCAACCCCCATGTGCGACATGTTATACTGTTCACAGCAATATATTTTCCACAAGAACATCCGCGAGTAGGAAAGCGAAGGGTAAGAAAGCAGGAAGTCAACAGTACATACATACATTTGCACAGAGGGTAACCCGACGTATTTCCCCGCCGCCTAATCCGTACACAGCCTTTGCTTGTTGCCTCCTTGGCCCCACTCCCCCTGCCCCCTCTTCACTCGCCCCCATATATATACACACACACACCAAGTCACCCACTCCACACGCCCGCAGCAGCAGCAGCCGCTCGCTTCACTCTCACCTTCCTGAAGCCGTTGAACAGCTCCGGCCCGCTCTTGAGCAGGAACTGGCCCGAGGGCGTAGTGGAGATGTTGACCTGGGTTCGGTTCCACTCCCGGTAGTTCTGATACACGTCCTTGCTGCTCGTATACACCTTGGTGGCCAGGTCCTGTAAAGGGGGGGTTGCCGGGGGCCGGGGGGGCGGGGGCAGGGGCGGGAAGGGGCCCTTAAATGTGGACGGATATGGATATTTGGATATATGGAGGCCAATAAAGGCGGGAACGTTTAAATAATTGTAAATGGGAACGGGTAAACGAGGCGATATTGAGATAAGCAAAGTTTGCTGTGCGGGGGAGGGGAAGGAGGAGCAGGCTCTCCAATCGCGGCGGCATATGACTCTCGCGGCCTGCAGGGGGCCTTGCGCAAGGGGAAGGGGGAGGGAAGGGGAGGGGAGGTCATGTGTCATATGCAAGCAGCGAGAGGAACCCTCCGCACCGCCAACCCACGCCAACCACTCCTCTACCCAGCTAGTCAGCTCACCCACAACGTCATGTTGACGTACACGTCCTCGTTTGTGGTTGCGTTGACCTTTGACCAGACCTTCAATGCGTCAAGAGGGGCATGTCGGGGGGCGGGAGGGGCCAGGTGCTTGCAAGCGGGTAGCTATGAGACTGAGTAATCAAAGCAATAGCTGAATGAGCACCTCGAGCCCCGGGGGCGTACATACCTACATACACTCCCACAGCAGAGCCCCACAGCGGAGCCCCCACACAAGGAAAGGTCGTACACACCCTCTCAGCGTCCTACTCGACCCCCCACGTCCACACCTGCACATCATCTTATTTTCCCGGGCCCCACCACACGTCCCAACCCGAACCGCTAACCCGCCGCCATACCCATTACCCCACCCGCCTAAACGACCTCCCCTCCCCATCCCTGCCGTACAGAGAAGGACTGCAGGTAGTACAGATCTCGTACAGAGCCCTTCCCCCAGTTGTTGTCCGCCACGTAGTTATTCAGCTCCTGTAAAAACGTACGACGACATAAGGAAATGCATCATCGCAAATGCGAAAGTGGTTTCGGAGGAGGGGCATTTGGAAACACCTGCACTGCAACGCCGCACCCATTCGCCTCGCAGGAAAGAGTCAGCTGTCAGCAGTAGTCAGCGCAACGAAAGCAACTGGTCGCGCCAAGGCAGCACCCCCTGCTGCCGGCGGAAAGGGCACCGACTGCAAGTGTATCAAGCAGGGCATTCGCCATGGGGGTGTGCGCTCTGCTGCAACGCTCCAGCCGCACACACGGGCGTGGTGCTACAACCACCACGTCGCAAATCCACACTTGTCTGTCTGTATGTATGTATCTCTGTGTTTCCGCACATATTAGGTACACAGGTGGCATACCCAGAAAGATTTCCAATGTCCCCCGCAAGTCCCCCCTCTCCATCTCTCCCCCCCAACACAGACACACACCTCCCCCCTCCTCCCACCTCCCTCCTCCCTCCGCACCTTCACTTGCATGGCCGAGTCAAACACCTTTTGTGCCAAGGTCTGCAGGCGGGAAGTGGGTCCAGTGGGGCGAGAGGGTCAAGTGAGGCGATGGGAGTGGGGCCACTGCCGGGTGGGGCGGAGGAGCTGGGTGCTGAGAACCGCCTGGTTCTTTAATCAAAAGGTCAGGAGGGCCAGGAGGGCCAGGAATCCAGGTAAGCGCTTGAGGGGGTGACGAGAGAAACCATCCGGCAAAATAGTTGTCTCCGTCTGCCTGTGCGTCTGTTTGTCTGTCGGGCTCGCTGAACGGGGGCCAGGACTGTGTGCCGCTAACAACATAGATGACCGAAACACAGCCATTTCCCCCCTTTTCCACCCCAGATTCCCCCAACCCCCCAGCCTTCTGTCCCGCCCCCTCCCCAGTGATCCCCCCAACCAAACCCAACCCCACACGCACATCCACGGATGTGTTGTTGTACAATTCAAAGGCTGTCGATGTCTTGCCCTTGAGAATCTGGTCCATGGCGCGGAGGCTGACCAGCACCTGGTGCAGGTAGCGCTGGGAGCGACCCGCCGTGACCAGCTGCCCCATGGATTGCTGCTGGCCCTGTGTGCGTGTGTTTGCGTATGTATACATGTGTTTATGTGTGTTGGAGGGGGAAGAGGAAGGGCAGGGGAAGGCGGGGAAGGCGCCCAGATGTGGTTAATAGTGGCCGTCATGTGCGGTTATGCCACCCGCAGCGTTGAAGGTTAACCAACTCGAACACCATGGCTTTTACTTAGTGACCTTCATTCAAAGAACATATATTGAATATTACGTTAGAATGCATAATTACAGAAAACATAGGGACAGCAGGATTAGATTATTTAGATCATTTATAATTTACGAAACTCAAGAAAGGTGTAACACACATATCACACCCCATCTGCTAAAAGTATTCATATGCGGTTACTCTCTCCCTTCCTCTACAACTAACAAACCAACCAACCAACCAACCAACTAAAGAAACTCGGATTCCCACACGTCCACACCCCTCCTGCCCGCCCCGTGGCAGCCACATGTACGTCAGTCAACCTGCTGTAAACGCAACCGCGGTGCCGCCTCACACTCCCCCAAACCCCCCCAACCCCCCTTACCTTGATGCTGACCACCACAAACGAAAAACACACCGTGTGTGCCGCCGCCAGCACCGCCATGGTCAGCAGCGCCCCCACACGAAACCGCCGGAGCACCTGCTCGGCCTCGCTGCTGTCCATCAGCTTCACCAAGTTGCGGAACCGCTTGCCGCGTTTGTATTCCGCACCACCGCTGGTACCTGCACGCGGGGGCCGGAGGGGGAAAACGTGTGTGTATGTGTCTGTGTGTGTATATGTGTGCGGGGGGAGGGGATAAGGGGGTGGGGTGCTCTGTTGGACTGCCATGTGGTGGTGTGGACGGTATCGTTGGTCGTGTTTCAGGGGAGACCGGGGGCGAACAGGTTGTGTGGAGGGAAGGGGGTGGAAAGTTACTCGGCGGCCGCTGCAAACTAGTAGTTAAACATTTTGAACGTGGTGAAAAGTGGTGTCAACGCGTGTCAGCGACATCGCCCGATCAGTCAGCAGAAGAAAGCCGGCCCAATCGGACCCACCGGAGTTGCCCGACATGACGCTCTGGCCGCCGTTGCTGGCGGTGTCGTCGAAATCGCCGGATAGCGGCGGGTAGGCGGGCTGAGGGGGCGCAAACAGCCCCACAGGCGGCCCGGATACAGCAGGTGGGCTGCTGAACGACGGCGTCCGCGTGGTCGTCTCCAGCCCCGCCGCCGCCGCCCAACTGGCAATGTTGGCGGAGCCGGTACGCACGGCGCCGCCGCCGCCGCCGCCGCCGCCGCCGGCCGCGAGGCTCAGTACCGCCGGCGGCGGCGCGCGCAGCGACGCAAACCTGCTCGTTGTTGCTCGCTCCTCCGTCACTTGGCTGGTCTGCTCTTCCCCTTCCCCTTCCTCGTCGTCGTCGTCAACGTCGACGTCTAGTGCCTTGGTGGCGGCGGCGGCATCCAGGGGATTTACGTCATCGCGCTCTAGCTTGGGCTTTGCGTTCTGGTAGAGCTCGCCCTTCGTCATGACCCACTCTTGGATGCGCTGCATGTTCTTTCCGCCGCCGGCAGACACGGGCTGTAACACGGGGGTTGTTGGGATGGATGTGTCGGGTGCGGTATGCCGAGTCACGGCATGGCAACAGGGAGGTGAGCGGGAAAGGGAATGGGGGATGGGCCGGAAAGAAAAACACAACAGCCCTAAATTAGGAGGAGCGAAGTAAAAAGGTTAGATTTTGCATACATCGCACGAAAAAATATGAAATATAGTAGGTAGGATTCGAACCGGAGACGTCAAGGTGGGGATACAACTTGCCGATACACGTGTGCATGCAGGCAGGCGCGACACGGTATTCAGCGGGGCTCCTCCGTCGCGCCGCAGTCGGACACACCACCATCGTCACGCCAGGCCGTCATAAAAGGCGAAATGCAGCCGCTTTTCCCCACTAGCCAAGGCATCTTTCCAAAGCTAAAATGGCATGACAGCCAAACTCTCCCTCCCTTGCGCACATACATGCGTATACAGTACACACACACCTGTACGGCATCTGGATCGTCGCTTTGCTCGTCCTTGCTGTTAGCGCTGTAACCCGCCGCCGCACTGCCTTCTATGGCCGAGTCGTCATCGGCCATGGGGGTGAACGTTGTTGTTTGGGTGACGGCGGGAGTGGCGGCGCTGGTCGACCCGATCCTCGGGGTACCTGCGGCACGGCACAACGTACGTGTGCACATGTACGGAGAACTGAGCCGTGTGTATGTATATATGTATATATGTATAGTAATGACATGAGCCACAGGAAGTACTGGGGATGTGTGCGTATGTATGTATGTATGTACGGATTAATCCCCCTTGCCGCCCTCCCAGCCTCACCTGCCTCCCGATGGACCAAATCTCGGCGTGACGAGGCGACGCGAACCGCAGCGCCGCCGCCGCCGCCGCCACCCGCCGTCGTCACCACCCCGGGCAGCGGCAGCTCCAAGCCCGCACCGGCCAGAGCCGCCGGCATTGGCGGCAGCGACGCGGCCGGCTGCCCGCCGCCGGCCATCCCGTTGCCTGTGCCGCCGCTGCCGAATGCAGCGCCGTTGGCGCTGTCCGAGCCGCCGACGGCCAGCAGCTCAGCCGGTGACTTGACGGGCGTACTCGGCGTGGCGGGACGTGCGCGGGGAGACCCCAGGCGGCGGTGGATGTCCAGGGGTGGTTTTAAAGCCGTCCCACTGGCGGCGCGATGAGCCGTACCGGGCGGCGTCATGTTCTTGCCGCCGCCACCGCTGCTCTCGTCCGGGACTTTCGATGCCGACGCCGAGAGCCCGCCCGCCGCCACCGCCGACGCTGTTCCCGGCGGCGATCCCGCCGCCACCGCAGCGGCAGCAGCAGCCGCGGCGGATGTGCTTGCCGTACGCGCATTCATGGACCGGCCCGTTACAAACTCCTCCATATCCCGTATGGACGGCGTGTCACAAGATTCCAACCTCGCAAGAAGCCGCTCCGCTGCCGTACTCTTCTCTTGGGCCTTATCAGGGGGCTTCGGCACGGGCGCCTTGGGCGCCGGGACCTTGGCTGCCGCTGCCGCCGTCGCTGTCGTCATCCTCGCTGTCGCTGCCGGCAGCACCAGCGGGGAGTCCAGCGGCAGTCTGCCGTCGTCCGTACCCCTACCGGCTTTGCCACCTCCACCGCCGCCGTTTGGCATCATAGGAGTAACGTGCAGTCTCATCAGCACTGTGAGCTGCTCCCCGCCCCTCGGTTTCCCCACCACCTGCACCGCCAGCTGAAGCGGGTGGCCGTCCGCGTGGATAGCCTGCAGGATGTGGACTGGGCCCACCTGGCAGCAGGAGGGACGTGTTCACACACAGGAGGGGGGGGGAGAAGGGGAGGAGGGAGGGAGGGAAGGTCTACGGCAATGAGGGTTTCCAAGGCGAAGAAGGGACAGACCGTCTGAGGTTGAGGAGGTTGAGGGGCGGGAAGAGAGGGAGAGAGAGAGAGAGAGAGAGAGAGAGAGAGAGAGAGAGAGAGAATATTGAGCGGGGCCCCCGCTCCTCAACAATTCATCTGTTAAGGTAGGAGCGTGGAAAACTGATGGAATATAGTACAAGTCAGGTGCACATGTAAATAAGAAGGCACTGCCCAAACCCCCCGGCGCTTTCCCCCCCGGGCACATCCCGGCCCACGTACCTTCACGACCGGGTCCTTGGCTGCCTGCTTGAGGCTGCTCTTCTTGCTGCGGCTGCCCGCCGAAAGCAAGTCGCCCACCTCCTCCCGTCCCGGCGGCAATGGCACCAGCGCCGTCAGCGACTGACCCACCAACGACTTGGTCGCAACACCGAACAACAGACCCGCGGGTCGCGTGTGCTCCTCCAAAATAGACGTAATGCGACCCAAGCTGTTCAGCTCCAGGACGCCGCTGACGCTGTGAACCGGCCACAAGTCAACTGTGACGGCGGAGTCGCGCGAAGTAGCGGCCACGGCGGCGGCGCCGCCGCCGGCAGGGGTGCCGTCACCGCTGCCGCCGATCTGCGGGCTGGGGGTGGCGAATCCGGACTCGCCGCCGTCGCCGGCGGAGCTGCCGCCGCCAGGTAACCCGTCGGGGCCTTCACTCTCGTCGTCCGACAGCAGCGGGATATGGATCGTCATCACGGCCGCTCGGACCTGGGCGGCCCGTTGCGCGGCCGCCAGCTCGGCGTTCGCGCGGGAGACGGCGGAGCCGATGCCGGATGCGGGCGTCGGCGGTACGACAGCGACCCGGTACGAACGGCCTGGAGCATGGATAACCCTTCACCGACGAAGAACGGCGGAGAGGATTGGGGGAATGCGTGGTGGGTGCGGGAGGAAGGAAGGGGTAGGGAATGCTGCCCTAGGGGTCGCGGGGGGGACGTCACGGGTTACGGACTGAGGGGTGGCTTGAGGGTTACGGAGGCCAAGGCGGTTGTGCCGGACATACCTACCTACCTACCTACCTACCTACCTACCTCAGTCAGTCGGGAAATCTCCCAATCCCCCAACTCGGCCAACTCGGAAACCACTACTCGGCCCCCCCCACACACACACTATTACGCGCTCACTTTTCAAGTAAGGCTGAGAACGCCGCCGCATTGCCCTGCCCCGGGCCTGTCACTCTCCCCAGGGAGGAGCCGGGCCGCATCAGCAGTTGCTGCTCCACTCCGTCAACAACCTCCCATAGGGCCCGACCCAGCACCTGCGGGTGCCCAAAGGGGGACAAGGAAGGGGGATGGACAGAAATTAGCACGAAATGTGTTTTCCTGCCGTACTGAGCAGCCGTACACCGCGAGTAAGAAATCCGCGGAACAGGGCTTAGGCAGGAAAAGCCAGATTAAAAAAAGAAGACATAACACATAGATACAAAACTAATCAACACACGCATACACACATGTATACGTACATACGCACATACGTACATACGTACATACGTACACACACGCGCTCACGTGGCTGGCCTCGAATCCAAACAGCTGCTGGCATGGCGTGTCCTTGCTGACTCCCGTGATAAGGCCCTCGGAGTTGACTTGCAGACGAAGGCGCCGCTCCGAAGTTGCTATCTCCTGGTTGGAACTGCGGCGTGTTAAGAGGGGGGTTACGACGGGGGGTTTCAAGGGGGTTGTTATGCCGGGGGGGTTGAAGCGCCGCTGCGGGAGGAAACAGGAGGTTGGTGGTGGCTGGGGATGAGGAGTAAGGAGAAAAAGCACAGCTAACCGCGACGTTTGTATCCCGAACTCCCCACACAGCGGCGGCCCCCAACTCCCAACTCCCAACCGCAATTATCCCCTCCCTATCCCTTCCCGACCTCCTCCTCGTCCTTTTTTCCCATCCCAGCAACCCCCACCGGCGCCCAGTTGCCCTGCCCCCTGGGGGCCCCCCCAGTCGTACTCACTGCGCCATCCTGGCGATGTGGAGGTGCTCGCCCACCACCTCCGCACTGCTCACCGCCACGTGCATGAAGAAACGGGTGCCATGTGCGTCATGCAGCTCCATGCTGGTGCCCTTGCCCACAGGGCGGGTGCAGCTCCACAAGTTGCGGGAGGAGGCGCCCGGAGGGGAGGAGGAGGAGGAGGTGTCCTGCCGGGGCGGGGCGGGGCGGGGTGTGTGGGTTGGCGGGGTAAGGAGAGGAATGTTGTGGCACCGGGGAGAGGGGGAATTTGGAGACGGCCAAACGGGAAAGAACCCTCCTCCCCCCTCCCCCTTCTCTTTTTCCGCCTTTTTGCCCCTCCCCCTCCCTCCCCTCCTCCCAATCGCACCTTGAGCAACTTGGTGTGGATGTCCTTCCAAGGATGAGGTAGGAAGTCGCGGAGGCTGTAGCCGCCAATCAGCCCGTGGACTGCAGCAACACCGGACAAAATTGCCAGTCCATGCCCCGAGCCCTTGTGGTGCGAGTCTGTGCGGTCCTTGAACGCGTCGCCGTCGCTCAGCTGGCCACCGGGAGCGTTGGAGCCTCTAGGGCACAGTATGGAGGTCAGCTGGGGAGAGGCGAACTTGATGGCGCCCTTGCGGTCGGTCACGAGCATGAGGAACGGGTCCGGACATGCACGGCAGATACGGACTTCGTACAGTACGGCATCGCCCAGATCTGCAGCACGGTAGCAACGGCGGCGGTGGCGGGCAACGGAGAAACGCCATTGGTTGGTGGAATGGATCGAGGGTGAGAGGAAAAGAGAAAAGGAGTTGTGGAAGGAGGGGTGGGTGGTAGGTAAGGGAGGAGGGAGCTGAGCCCTTCCGCGTACAGGCAAAACACAGCTATCTGCCCTCTCTCCCCCTCCCTCTCCCCCATACCCCGCTTCCTAACCCCCTCACGTACCAAGCTTCCTCCCCGCCGCCTCGCACGCCAGCGGGTGGCCGAAGCGGTGGGACACGTGACAAGGCGCCGCACCGCCTCGGTCAGTGTGGGCTAGGATGCTGCACCCGCCGGGGATGGTTAGGGGAGGGGAGGAGGGAGGGGAGGAGGGGGGAAAGAGGGGGGAAGGGGAGGAGGGAGGAGGGGGAGTAAGTAGGGATGTGCAGGAGAGAAGAGGGGCACAACAGGCGCGGCGGCGGGGAAAGTAAGCGGCAAGGGTGGGAAAGACGGCCTAAGGGGAGTGTGCGGGTGCGAAGGGAACTGGGCTTTGGCGGGATTTCTGCGGCATGGTCCGATACCCCTGCACCCGCGGAAAGAACCGCTGCACGAGAATGCGAGCGAGGAGGGGGAGCAGTAGTAGTAAGAGGAGTTGGAGCGGAGCGCACGCAACGGCCCGCCTGCCCTTGAAAGACACAAACCCACTTGTGCAATATGTTCACCGACTCCCCCACTGGCTGCTGCTGCTGTTGCTGTCGTCGTGCGGTGTTGCCGGCGCCCTCCTCCTCCTCCTGGTCCTCAAGATCCCAGCGATCAATAGCTGAGGCCATGGACACAGAGGCGATGTGGTTCCGGAGCGCCTGCAGGTCCCCGGCACACACCAGGAAGTCGCCCAAGTGGGAGCCGATGACGTCATGGGGCAGGTACCTGCCGGGGGGGGGGGAGGGGGGGGAGACGAACCACGAGCGAGTGGGGGGGAGAGGGGGGATGGGAGGGTAAGAAGAACCACTGGCGAGTGAAGCAGATACCAGAAATAGACGGATAGACGCATAGGAGAAGACGACTGCTGCAGGATGGAGGGGGTCAATGGGGGAGAGGGGATTGGGAGGGTTATCGGGAGGTAGAGAGGGTGGGAGGTAGAGAGGGAGCCTAGGACCCGGACAGGCAGGTAGGCCGACGAGGGGTTTGGGGTGGAAAGACGAACCACGAACGAGTGGGGAACGGTTTGGGGGAGAAAAAAGAGGGGGGCAGGGGCCTCGTGCGGAGGCGGATCCACGGCGGTCACCAAGGTCGGTCGGTCGGTCGGTCGGCCGGTCATGGAGCAGGGCAATACTTAGTTGGGGAGAGGGGTAAGGAGTGCTGGATCATCCTAGCAGTACCAACCCCCAACCCCCAACCCCATTCCAGGCCGCCCCCCGCTCCAACCACAACCCTGCCACATCCCCGCGCACCCAAAGTTGGCCACAAACTGCGGGTCACAGCCCGCAATGACACCGTTGGGGGCCACCCAAAAGTACGACGCATCCTTGGACACATGTACGGGCTCCAATAGGGCGATGAAGGTGGAGTCCTCTCCCATACCTTTGGAGCGGGGAAAGGGTTGGGGTTGGGGGGGAGTGGGGGCTGAACCAAGTGGGGCGCCGAAACCACCACAAACGAAATCACACGACTACAGCTCCAACGAACTGTGTGACCAAAACACGTTCCCACGACGGTGAGTTGCTCCCTGTCCACAACACACCCGTCATCTCCCCCCTCACACACACACACACACACACTCCCTCGACCCCGACCCCCCTCGCTTTCCCCCTCCCTCCCCCCCCCACCTGTCGCCTTAGTAATGGACACCCGCAAGGGGAATGCCATCCTCTCGTGGTGCATACCCAGTACGGCAGCCATGGTGGAGGTCTGGGGTCCCTCCGCCGCCACCTGCCCCAGCCCCGTCATGCTCTGCTCCACCAGCGAGACCAGGCACTGGATCATGCGCTTGTTGCTCTGAGGGGCAAGAAGGACATTGATCAGCTTGCCGTCCAGCTCGCCTGCAGCTCGCCCCGGGGCGGGGCGGGGCGGGGGGGGCGGGGGGGGGGAGGAAGGGGTAACTACATGCAGGAAAACAGAAATGAACTGCCGGCGTTCGAAGGAGGGACGCGGGAGGTGAGAGGGGAAGGGGAGCAGTAAGCTGGCGGGATGAACAACAAGACACAAACCGACAACCGGAGATAACGAACCCGTTTGAACAAAGGACATCCGTGTCGTGTACTACAATACCCTTTCCCCTCCCCCCCTCCCTCCGCCGACTCTTCTGCACCCAGGACTACCCCAGACTCCAGTCATCACTGCTCAGTAAATGTATTCCTGATGCATCATTTGTCTCTTCTCCTGGAGGGCTATCCGTCTATCTCCGGTACCGGCTCCACTCGCCAGTAGTTCGTCTTACGGCGCCCGTTCCACCCACCCCAACACCTCCCCCCGGGACCCCCGGCTCCTCACCCTTCTTGTACCCGAACAAATGGTGGACCTGCTTGTTGGCCATCTGGATCTCTCCCACGGAGGAGATCAGCAGTACGGCAGTGGCTAGCTCGTCCATTCGGCTAAGAGGCGTGCCTATATGGTGTGTGGTACAGGCAGTACGGCACGAGCAAGGGGCGCGGGTTTGGGTTATGTTGTGGATAGGGTTTGGGGGGTTTGAGGCGATGGAGGGAGAGGGTTGGTTGGGCAGCCAGCGGGGTGCGGTTGCGGGTACGGGTACGGGTAACTGGAGGGGGATTACGAGGGGGGCGAAGGGGGGCCAGGGCGTTTGGAGGCGGCGGCAGTCAAGCAGCACCTCGAGACGTCCATACACACCGCGACACGGGCGCTTCGGGCGGCCCCACTGGACCCCAACTCCGCATCCCCGTGCGAGCCCCCACCCGCATGTACGGCAGGGCAGTACCGTGTGTGGTGGTTACAGTGGGCTACAGACCCACGAAGAGCAGATAAAGTCAGCGGGCCAGCTGCGTATACTCCTACTCCTACTCCTACTATTACTACTGCAGGACCAGGCCCCTCCCCTTCATCCCCCTCCCCCCTTGGGGGCCCTCACCGTCCGGCAGCAGCGGCCCCGCCCCGTCGTCATTCTTCTCCTGCTCCAACCGATCAGCCTCCGTGTAGTACTCCAACGCGCCCCACGGATCATTCTTAACCGTCTCCAAAAACTTGCCGTACAGCCGTACAAGTCGGTAGTTGCTGCCGTACGTCTCGAGCACCAAGTGATACGCCGTTTGCGCCTGACAGGAAGGGTTTTGCAGCAGCAACAGTTTGTTGTGCGGGTGAAGACGCAGCCGTGGGGTACCCGAGAGTGCGGGGAAGGAGGGGGCCCCGGACGGGGGCATGTGGGCAAGTGGGACGTGTGTATTGGGGCTGCTGGGGTAGAGACCGCGCGAAAAGAGGCCATTGCGGCAGACACAGCGGCGGTGATGTGCCGCAGCTCACGGTATGAGAGCGGTGGGGTGAGGCCAGTGCCAGTGCCAGCGCTGGTACCCCTGGCCACTCGGCTGGGCCCAAGATACCCCCGAAGCCCCCTCCCGCCCCCCAACATAGAGCTAACCGCACCCTACAGCCCTCTCCCATTATTCTCCCCCACTCAACCACCACAACCACCATTCAACCACCACTCACCCGTGTTACCGAAACCTCAATCGCTGCAAGCGCCTTGCTGAGGTACGTGAACGACACGTTGTGCGCATCAAGGGCTTTCCTGCGGGATTGTGTGTGTACGTATGTATGTATGTGGTGGGGTGCGGCAGGAGGCAGGGAGACGAAGTGCGGGTTTGTGCGGGTGTGGGTTGCGAGGCTGGGCAAATGCGGTTCATGGTGGGGCGGGAACGGACCGCACGGGGATGGACAACACAGATATAAGACACGCAACGAACCCAACATCCCTCAACCAACCAACCAACCAACCAACCGAATAAACGCACCAGAAGTTACACATGGCAGTTAACGCTTCCCGATGGAGCCGTACAACCATGCGCTGCTTGCGCTGATATTCCACAAACCTGCACGGAATTAAGAGGACCGTTATTCAGAATGTTGGGAATACAAAGTGAAGGTGAGGGGGGGAGGGACGGGGGGGGAGGGCGAGGGCCAAAGGGGGAAGACGAACCACGAACGAGGGGGGAATGAACGGGGGAGCGGGGGAGAGCATAATGTCGCATTTCATCAATACCCGATGGCGCATTACAAAGCAACCACGCGAACTTTCTAAGTGAAGTTGTGTACGACAAGGAGATATCTATACAAAAATGCAAGTCGGATGTCGCCAGTCGGCGGTCGAGGAGGAGGACAGCCGGAGGACCCGGACGACAACGCGGCGGACGAGAGCGGATCAAGAGGAAGATGAATGGAGTTCTGACAGGTATGGCATTGTACGGCGGAAACCACCGCCAAGAAGGGCTATCGGCCGTGGTGCAGGGTGCTATCCTGGCACGTCACGGCCGCCTTGCTGCGCTGTGTCCCCCCCTTCCCCCTCCCCCACCCTCACCCTAGCAGGTCCATATTTGACCCCACCACTCCGCCGGCATTGGTGCCGGCCGCCTTCTGTTGGGCCTGCTGCATGCGCACGAAGATGATGAACCGGCTCATGATGCCCGGCTTGAGTTTCCGGGCAGCCTACGAAAGGGGGGGGAGGGTAGAGGGCCGATCAGAAGGGGAGTTGACACCGCCGTTAGTACGACAGATTCCACTGGATACCACTCAAGGATGTTGAGAAGGATGGTCGATGATGCATGACGTAAGCATACATACATACATGCATACATACATGCATGCATACATGGCAGGCGATGTTGAGAAGGATGGTCGATGATGCATGACGTAAGCATACATACATGCATACATGCATGCATACATACATGGCAGGCGGCTGGCAGAGGTTAAGGCCTGACTTCTGCTCCCAGTTGACCCAGTCGACCCGGGTTCAAATCCGCCTGCCGGCTCCTCGGGTGTTTGAGGAGTGATGAAATGGGAGGTGGCCCCCCATCTTATGGACGGTGTAGGACGTGATAATATCAACTTGCGAGCTGACCAGGAACTAAGTTGATGCGCCGTTGATCCGCTAGATTTGGTTGGATGCTGGTGGTGAGTTGCCGAACTCAACGAATACATTCTGAAGTCGGATGGGGTGACGGATTAGGGTGCCCCTCTAGCAGGGGAGAGCAGGGACTGCCCCGGGAAAGGGGGCCGCTGGCGAAGTTAACCACCCTGTAACAACATACATACATCGTGTCTGGGTTCAACTCCGCCTGCCGACTCCTCGGGTGTTTGAGGGGTGTTGAATTTGGAGGTGGCCCCCCATCTTGCGGACGGTGTAGGACGTGATTATATCAACTTGCGAGCTGACCAGAAACTAAGTTGTGGCGCCGTTGATCCGCTAGATTTGGTTGGATGCTGGTGGTGAGTTGCTGAACCCAACGAATACATTCTGAAGTCGGATGGGGTGAATGGATTAGGGTGCCCCTCTCGCAGGGGAGAGCAGGGAACTGCCTCGGGAAAGGGGGCCGCTGGTGAAGCTATACCACCCTGTAACAACATACATACATACACGGACCATTGCCCCGAGGAGGTCCCGGGATCGAGACCTGTCAGGGTCGAAAATCCTTCCGATGGTGGAAGGTAAAGTGCCCCTAGTCGATGGACGGTGGTAACCTGGGATAAAGTTGACTCGCGGGCCGACCAGGAAAGGATTTGGGCCGCTGTCGATCCGGCAGATTCCGTTGAATGCTGGTGGTGGGTGCGGAACCTGAGCGATCCACTGAGAAATGGACTAGGGTGACTGGATGAGGGTGACCCGAAATACCGGGGAAGGCAGGGTTTCGCCAGGTAGCGGCCGCAGGGTGAAGGTATGCCCCCCTGTCCCACACATCATACACGCACCTCCACTTGGCGCATACCGCTCTGCGCCACCCCCAGCACCTCAATCATGAAGTTGGCTTGGAGCAACACCACGAAGGCATTCCCAGGGAAGAGAGCCAAGCCCGCCTGGCAGTGGTGATGGCAGTGGTGGTGGTGCGGGAGGGTGGGCAAGGGGGTAAACGCGCAGGGGACAGGAGTTCGGGAGCCGTATAGAACACCGCAAGTAGGACAGCAACAGCGCCACAGTCCTAGGCAGTTGTTCCCCCCCCCCAACCCTCATCCACACACACCCATCCCCCCCCGGACCCCCCACCTTGAGGTACAGCTGCGCCCTCGCCACCGCATCCTTATCCAGGACATTGCGATCCACCCATACCCGGCAGCATCTGTTGGGTACCGGCGGGGTGGGGGGAGGTGGGGACGGGTGGGACGTACAGGAACTTGATGTGAGGGGGAAAGGTGGGAAAAGCGAGGGAATGTACACAAGGGAATACACACAAGAGTTGTAGACGTTCCAAGCACAAGTCCTAAATAGGCGCCCAAGAGAAAAGTCTCAATGCTCCATGGTACGGCAGTAAAACACACACGTGTCCACCCGTTACGGCCACGTCAATGAGGACTGCGGTGGCTGGTGGAGGTGGCCTCGGGAGGGTGTATTCCGCACCTCACGGCAATCTCCACGTCCCGTGGGTCGGTCCACAGATCCACCACAATGTCCTGCAGGGGGGCGTTCTTTGCAGCCGCCGTACTGCGATCAATTGAAGAGGGGAAGGAGAGGGGAGGAGAGGGGGAAATGATTGAACGAGGGGTAAATGCAGGCGAGGGAAGGGGGGAAAAGGGAAGGGGCTGTGGAGCTGATGTAAGACAGGACACGGGGAAAGGGGGGACTGCGTCATGAGGTTTCAGATGTTCGGGTTTCGAAGGGGAGGGATATCACCGACACCAACACTCCTGACGGCATGTCCCTCCCCCCCTTCCTCGGCCCCCCTAACTCCTCCCCCCCCAACACATACACACACACGCCATTCCCCTGCACCTCACCTAATGGCTGCCACCGACTGCGCCGCCGCCCTCCTCATGAGCAGTACGGACGCCGCAAAACCCCCCAACAGCGCGGGCCCTATGCCCGCCAGCATAATGATGGTCATGGCTCGTCTGAACGCATCCCCCTTCTCCGCCATCTTCACCCCGGGGTGAAACACCAGCAGCATTAGGCAGATGGAGCACCACACGATGGCGATGGAGCAGGCGGCCTTGAGGTGGTTCACCCACCCAACCAGGCTGGGACTCTGAAGGCGGAGAGGGGGGAGGGGGTACGACGAAGCATATAGACAATTGACGCGAAGCGAAGACCATAGACGGAGTAAGACGAACCACTAGCAAATGAATCAAATACCAGGGATAGACGCTTAGGCTAGGGCTTGGGTGGAAGGGTAGGTGGGAGAGAGGGAGGACAAGGATGGAGGGTGGATGAGGGGGTGATGGAACGGCACAGCCTCACCGAACGCGCCCTCGCAGCAGTGCCACCCGGCCCCCAGTGGGGCACCTGCTGCCTCACACTCCCTCTCATCCCCCTTTCATTCCCCCCCCTCACCCATCTCACCCATCGCATATACTGAAACGTCATAGCCAGCGACAGCGCCAAATACACACATGCCGCCACCTTGGGCCAGCCCAGGAACACGTCTACCAGGGTCATGAGGACCTGGGTGCCGGGGGGGGGGGACGACACATGTGCGCAGAGACGAATGGGGGGGAAGAGGCAGGCGGCGGGAAAGGAGGGGGAAATGAGGCAGAGGGGGAGGAAGGTGGGGAGATGAGACGTGGGTTTCAGTCCCTGGGCACCCAATTTGTTTGATATGCGGGAGCAGCTGGGGGGTGGAGAATGCAATCAATAACCCAGCAGCCCGCATGCAATAACCGCCGCACATCTCCGACACGCCAAGCGGCTCGCCTCCACATTGCCTTTCCTCCTCGACCCCCCCCCGCCCTTCTTTGGTATATCGCGTTGGCGTCGGTCGGCTAGCCGGTCTAGGATAGTCGGGTCGGTCGGGTCGGTCGCGCGTTTTAGTTTGGGGGGTTGGGAGGAGCACTTGCATACCGACAGCCTTTCAGTATCAGCAAATCAGCTATTTGTCCAGGCCAGCAACTTTATGCCAGCTTAACGACAGCACTACTTTACTACTTTTCCGCCGCCTTCACAACTACTTTTCTACACCTACTTCTTTACGGCTTGGCAATACTATTTCTTCTTTTTCAGTTATGGCGGCTTAGGTAGGTAGTCTTTCCGACACCTTCTTCACTTCTTCATCTCGAGGTCACGGTCGCCACGGACGCCTTCCGGTCAGTTCTACGTTTGATACTCTCTTGCCCTGGCAGCAGCTTCACTCGTTCACGTGGTTCGTCTTTCCCCCCCGCCCTCTTCCCCGGCCCTGGGCCCCCCTGGACACACACACACACACACACACACACAAACACACACTCCACTAATGCTGCCGAATCCCAATTCCGGTGAGCGCCACGTGAGAGGGTTGCAGAGGGGCCCCAATGCACTTAGCAACATTCATTCATAATGGCGTCTATAAAATGAACAAGAAAATGGCCGATCTAGGCGACAGCTCTCTCCCCTTCCCCCTGCGTCCGAACATACACACACATTTTTTACACTCGTGCTCAGTTCAGGAAATTTTACATTCAGTCATACGGACATACATACATACATACATACCGACCCACCTTGAGTGCAAATGCAGACACCTCCGCACCGCTGTGCCCGAGAGCCATGGGCCGCCGGCTCTTGGGGTTGACTTCAACCTGGGGGAGAGGGGGGAGCCGGGGTCGGGGGGTCGGGGGTTGGGTGGGTGGGGGTGGAAAACACACACGCAGGGCAACTCAGGCGCGACTAGTACAGCGCTTGGGTATTGTGAAATGGTGTGGGAAACCCTAAATCCCTAAAATGCAGTTTCTACACTGGCCCTTCAACCACCCTGTACGACGACACGCTCCGTACACACCCACACATACACATCGTCACTTCACTCACCTCGGCCATGTTCGTTAGGAGGGCCAGCGTGACAAACACCAAAAGGCTGTACGGCGTTGTGCATGGAGGCCGCGCAGATATACATATGCAGAGACACACACATGCGCAGAAAGGTGGAGAAAGATACACAATGTTAGTTTTCAAAAAGTCGCTGTTGGCTTACGGCAGTACGGCAGTTGGTTGGAAACCCCTGCAGGCCTTATTCCACACACCCAGTTCGAGGGAGGGGAAGTCGCGGGAGGTGAGACGGGGGAATCCCCGCGGGAAACTGGCTGATATCCAGCGTGCGTGTGTATGCATGTACCATAAGACACACGCCCTCTCCCCCAAATACTCCCCCATCCCCGAAAGCATGTGGGACGCCACATGCGCCGTTGGTGCCAAGTTACCCCGCATGTATGTACGTACATATGTATCCCCCCTCCCTCCCCCTCCCGAAAATCAAAGCCCCCAACCCCCCTACGTTTTTAACACCCCCTACCTTCCCCCCATCTCCTCGCAGCACACAATACATAACACAAGTATACACACACACATACATACACACACAGAGCGTGCACCTGACTCCGGACACCACCGCATGGACCACGTGGGGCATTGCGGCACAACCTGCGACATGTCGTACCACAAACCACCGTCACAGGGGCAGGAGGGAGGGGGGTAAGGGGCGTGGCGGTAAGAAAGAAAGCGCCACTCGATGTGGACTTGGCCAGCCTATGGTTGCATGGGTCTGAAGGGATGCCCCTAAGCCTGATGCGTGTATGCCGTGTATGCCGTACACCTAAAACCGGCTTACCGTAACTAGTTCAGACCTCAAAAGCCCGAAATGAGCCTTATATCAACATGCATCACAAGCCGCAAAAATAAGGCGCTGCGCTGCACCATCCAAAACAGATCCTCCTCCCCTCCCACCCAATCGTTCATTCATGCATATCCCCCGTTCCCCTCCGCCCCCGCCAGCCGTTCCTCCCCCTTCCCTTCCCCCACCCAGCATGCTCACTGTACGACGGAAACAGTGCCAGGTACTTGTGCGGCTTCTGGGGCCCATTGAGCCGGCAGGTGATGCCGACCTGCGGGGGCGGGGAGGTGGGGGGCACCGGCACCGGCACCGGCACCGGCAACAACAACAATAACGACAACAACAATAACGACAACAACAATAACGGCAACAGCGACAACAACGGAAAAAAGAGATGCTGTGGCAATAGCAGGAGGATCATCCACAGCAGCATTAGCGGTCCGGGGAAAGTTGCTCCCAATACGACCACCTTACAGTCTTTGGCTACTGTTACGGTGACGTGTTACGGACCACACATCAAACCCAGGGGGGGTCTCATCAGTAGCCCAACAGTAATGTATTTTAGTGATCAGGCCCAATTGCAGAACAGCCCCCTCAGCTGAACTACCCACCCACCCCGCCACGTGACCGAGGCTGCGGACAGCACACACACGAGCCCGGGAGGATACACCACACACGGCCCAGTAGTAATGCAGCACGCTGTACGGCATATACGGCCTGTACGGCACACGCGGAGGTTTACGACCGCACGACAACCTCCACAGACACCGCAGCGCCATGTGCAGCGAAACAGGACCAACACACACCCATGGGCCCGCACTACCACCACCACCACCACCACCACCACCACAATAACAACAACAACAGCAAGAAAAGCAAGCCGGCGCCGCAATACCACCGCCACCACCACCACCACCCCCTCCGTACGCACCTGAAGCAGGTTGAGCGAGGCGATGTCGAAGGCCTGGAAGAAGACGCTGGTGAAGAAGCGCAGTACCTGAGGTGCCGCCAGCACCGAGGGGGGAGGGGAAATACACACACACGCGGGTGACGCCCAGGGTGTGCTCGGAGGGGCCGTGTCGCGGACAGCTGAGGAGGAGGGGCTATTTCCAGCAGGCAACAGGAAGGGAAGGAGAGCCAAAAGGGGTCCCGGCGCGGTGCCCTCTCCCCCCCCCTAAAAACACCCCTGGAGCTCCCTCCCCCCCTTTTTCCGGGCGGGGCCCCACACTCACCTTGATGGGCCACACGACGGGGAACTTCTGCTCCTTGAAGCACCAGGCGACCCACACGCACAGCCCGATGTTGGCAGCAAGGAGAGCCACCATGCCGTACAACAGCGCCACGTACGCGCCATAGCCCTGCCGGAATACAGCAAAACACACCGAATCACACACCGGGGGGAGGGGGAGAGCGGGGGGGAGGGGGGAACCGAGGCCGCTCAGAGGGGGGAAAGTCGGGCTCGACAGGCGGCGGGCTGTTAGCCAACTTCGCTTTGTTGCGCTTTGTTGCGGTGCACTGCAGGGTCATGGGTTTGTGAGTGTATTTATGGCCTGGTACGGATCAGACGCCATAAACCAGCCGCACCCGCATCATTTCATCCTAGAAAATAAAGAAACACGTTACCGCCACCTCAATGGGTGTATGCATACAGGCTGGGTGAAGACCCCGCTCTGAGAATTCTTTCCGAAAAGTACGACACGAGAGCGCCTCTTTCCCCCCGTACACAGCCCTCCACCCCTACAGACAAAGGCCGCGTGCCAACAAAACTCATGATGACGCCGCTAAACCCGCATGCATCACCCGCCGGCCCTGCCTACCACTGTTCTCTTCCATCCCCCCTCCTCCCCCCTCCTCTCCCGTCCCGCCCCCCCACCGTCTCCCCCTCCCCCCGGAGCCTCACCAGGTCCGCCACCCAGCCGAAGCCCAGGACACTGACGATGCGCCACGGCGTCCCCCTGTCGTCGATAGTCCAGCCCTGCGCCGGCTGTATGACGGTGGTGAAGACCTGCCAGCCGTCCAGAAGGATCTTCAACAGCACCCAGCGGATCACGATGCGGGTCTCGCTGTTCTCCTTGCTGCATGGGGGGTGCGGGTGATGGGGGGGGGAATTGGGGGATTGGGGGAAACCTGGGGGCAGGTGAAATGGGAGGGCGCGGATAGGAGGATGCTGCTGCTGCTGCTGCTGCTATTGCCGCTGCTATTGCACCGGGCAGCTAGATTGATTGTTCTGGTTGGTTGGTTGGTTCGTTGGTTGGTTGGTTGTTGCTGGGTCATGCCCCAACATGTTGGCAAACTTGACCCTTACTGCGCTGCTGCGTCGCGGGCCCCACGCCTCCTCCCCGGCCGCCTGACTGATCTGCACTGACCCTTTGCGACTTGCGTTTGAATCCCCCTTCTCAGGGGGGGTTCGTGTTATGGGCCCTCCTGCTGCTGCTGCTGCTGGGGTGGGTTCGAAAGAGGCCTCTTACGACAGCGTTGCGATAACCCGAGAAACGAACTCAGCGGGGCATTCCTTCCGTCGCAAAGCCATGCTGCCGTACGAGCCCGCAGACCCAAATCCATGTGTAGAAACCCTAAGAAATTTGCTCGGACTTGCCTGAGGGTGAACAGGACGCCGAACACGGCATTTTCGAAACTGGGTCGGCGGCTTGCGTCCAGGTCATCGCCCCCGCGGCCCAGACCGCCATTGATCTGGTTGGCCCCGAGCCTGCGAACCAGCACCAGCAGCAGCAGGCGGCGTCGGGACAGGTTTGGGCGGTGGATGCGGGGTTAGGTCGTCTGACGGGCGGGTGGCGATTGTGAGGAGGTACGTTTCTCCGCGACATGCAAATGCTTGGGAAATGCGGGGGGAGGGAAAACCATCTTGGCGGTACGTTTCGTTTTGTTGGTCGTAATAGGAGGGTAGTGAAACGATACGAGGACCAGGCGCCGTACTGTTGTGACTGAAGCTATGAAATGTGTGTGAACCCACGGCATGCCTCGATGCAGACGTCGGCAGCTGTGTAGGTACCTCGTCGGCGTTGCGGAACGAGCGCGTACCTAAATCGCTTAGAGTACACGCTGCCGGCCGCACTGGGAGCTCCGCTGCTTGCATACATACTCGCAATAAAAGTATAAAGTGAAAAAGTGTCGTGCTAAGCACTAGTCAGGAAGGGGATGGGAAAGCTGGTACATCGGCTCCCCGAAACCACCCAGCAATTGGATAGCGCCAGCTCCTTGAAATATGCTAAAAATCGGAGCGTCAGATTGCCAGGATAAGAGCTGGGGTGCCCGACCGTCCTTCAACTGGCGCCCGTCCCGCGTTGCCGTCGGGCCGGAATCGAGAATACAACCACTCGCACACGTTTCCTGCTAGCTATAAACAGTAGCTGTAAGATGTCCTGAAGATTTGGCGGGAGATAGACTAAGTGTGACGGAGTGGCGCAAGCACCATCTTGCAGGTGTTAGGGAAATTCTTCACTGGACTCATCATTATGAATTGCTTTCGTGTCACTGCAGCAATTCCCGTCTTCTGGGCACCAAATCCGCCGACCCAGATTGAGTCGTCCAGGTCCGTCGTAACTAGGGCGCAAGGGCGGATAGACAACCGAAGTTGGACCCATCTGGAACACAAAATGTTTATTTTCTACACATCAAGAGAGGTATACGGCCATATGGGTTTTCGAGCATGCAACGGCCTTTCTCCTCTAGCCTTTGTGGTGTACCTGCTTAACGAGCATGCATTGTGCGATTTCATCTAGCCATAGTGAACGTATCTAGTTTGCTTCTACCTGCTGAGTCCATCCATGATTCTCAAGCCAACGCCAAGCCAGGTAGTTTGCCTAGGAAAGCATACGTGGCACATCCTTGCATGTATTGTCACTTTACCTTTTGAGTCCCGCCTCAGACCTGGATATGGATCGGTAACTTGAAACTGACGCCCCGGACACGGAGGCCGCATACGTCGAACGCGGCATCTGAGCTGCCGGAGGACTGCGCGGATATGGCCAAGCACAAAAGCCAAAGACCTTCTAGCATGAATACCATGGGTCCGTCAGTCCGCTTGGGGAAAAGAGGTTGGATAGGTCTATCCCGAGCCTCCGACCTCCTAAGAAAATCTCGCAACCTATTACCAAATTGTTGACTTCAAACAACCATAATCTACTGCTAGGTTTACAGGGGTAATGAAGTGCGTGTTACCGAAACATAGCACGCTTGTGACTTTTGGCGGGGGAAGAGCCCTTTCGCCGTCTACTCCGCGCGGATTGGTCAATCGCCATGCATGGTTGGGTGCCGTGCTGCCTTGGGACATGGTCACAGGTCAGCAGTCGACCAAGTCCCAGGCTTGTTTGCTCGCACGCACTGATAGGTATGTTACGGTGTGAGCGTCGGTTGATGCGCACATCAGAGAGACATGCCGAACATGTCAACGTCAAATCCGATACAGAATTCGGCTCCTTCGCTCAAGACGTCCGCGGTTTAGCCAACCCTGCGCTCAATTGAGCTTACGGAACGCTGCGCAACTAAAAATCTTCAAGCACTGACATCGTTACAATTTTCTTGCATAACGATGCCACAACCTGTGTCAGGCATACGGCCATAGATAATTTGTATAGGCACAACGACCTGTAACGGTTCGGTGCGAAACGAGCTAGAATGCCAACATACACGCGAAAGGGTTTGCAGGATCCCGGGTTCGTTGTTGTGGCAGAGTGCATTAAGCATATGAACCCTGGCTGACGTGCAAAGCGGCGTACATGTAGCCAAAATGGAAACACATCGATGCCACGTGACGCTTTCATGGCAAAAGTTCACATATCGTCCGGTGTGTGCCCCCATTCATTTCACCTAGCTACATGCCACAACACCGGGTGTCCTCTGCACAATTAAAAAAAACTCCATCCAGCTGCAAATAACGCCATCGAAAACCCACGTAACACGTTACCAATCTGCATCCAACTCCAAAGGATTGCCGCGTGGCGCGTTCAAACATCGGAAGCTATGCACCCGGCCTGGGCACTTCCAGCAAGGGCATGATGTTGCCATTCCAAGCTCTCTCAAGCAGACTGAGCTAAGAAAGCTCGAACCAGGGAGATCCGCAGCTCCCCCGGCGCCTGGCAGTGTGAAGGCGATTGCATACTCAAAAGTCTACCGGCCACACCCACACTCGGTTCGCGGTGGTGGGGGAATTGGGACGCACGGTGCTGTCGGAGGTGTTTGGGAGACCGGCAGTGGCAGGGAGACGTGCGTTCAAGTCGACGAGCCCACAACGGCACTAGAGCTTGCGCTACTAGAGAAGTCAGCCGCTGCAAAGGTGCGCCAGGAGTCGTCGATTGGTGGACAAACTAGCTTTCTGGGCCAGCTCGATAGATCGTACGTATCCTGGGTTTAATCGCAGGCCGGCCGTCTGGAGGTACCCCATAAAAGTGCTTCGGGGCCGTTGGGAGCGCTTCTGCTTGCTTTGGTCCTGTCTGGGCTGTGGTGCGGCGCTATTAGCCTTTGTAGCTCTGGGCTTGACAGTGTTGAGGTGCGGAGAGAGACACCGGTAATCGGGTCGGATTCGCTTGTAAGCTGTGCCGTCATTCAGTTATGTGTTTTGGGCTTGCACGTGCCGGGCTTACGCTGGCTAAGTATACAGCTCAAGTGCCCGGCTCTTATTATGTGTTTAGCTGCAAACCTGTTTAGCTCCCGTGAAGTAAGCCCGCGACAGGTAAGCCTCGAACTTTCAGTGCAAAAAAGGGTGAGCAGACGACCCAGACGTCACGGATCAGTCCGTGAGCCTGCTGGGATATTGCAGGTTTATAGCATGCCATTAGTTGCTGTCGCCGATTTCCCCAGCTGTCTACTTCCGAATATGGAAGAGTGAGTACTCGGTTCACATTAGGTCGGAACTTCCGGAAACACCGGACGTGCTTGGAGTTCAACATTAAACGCCATGATAAGAAATCAAAACCATTTATAGTTTCCAGGGCCGTCAGTCAAACACGTGATTACCGCAGATTATGAGGGCGCCCGTACAAGTTTACAGTTTACGGAAGTAGAATAAACCGCATAAACACTTGTGCAACCCAGCATGAAGGAATCCTTATGTTCGGCAGCTTCAGAGTTTCGCAATTCATATAGGTTAACGACGGGAAACGACGCCAAGTTTTCACATTGCCGTTGAGAGCGCGCAACTGGGAAATGCTCCAATATTTGTTGAACACTAAGGAACATCCCGCTAAAAGCTGTAAGAAAGGCACCGGTGATGGCATTAGTAATAGCACAGGTAAGGGCAGCAGCAGCAGTTCGCCTGTCGCCTTGGAGGTTATCGGCGCTGGGTTTGGCCGCACGGGTACTGCCAGCTTGTATGCGGCACTCAACATACTGGGCTACAAGACACACCACATGATTGAGGTACCGCCGGGTGTGTGTGTCGTCTGGGCCCCCTTTGAGATGAAGCAGATTGTCTTTTGAGGTCAGACCGCAAACCCGCTGCAGCTGGCGGGCTGGGGGAGTGTCAGTGGGGCCAAAAAGATCGCTGGGCCTCGTTCTGTGTGCTAAATTGTCACACTAATAACTGGAAGTGGCTTTATCTGTAACGGTGATGACGTGTAATGAAGGCGGAACGCGGCAAGCGCGGCAACTGATGGCCATGTGACGGCCTCGTCCACAGGTCGTACGCAATTCCGGTCAGGGGGCGGGCTGGCTCCAGATCACTCGTGACAGGGCCGCCGGCCGCCCACTTGACTGGCAGCCAGTGCTGGGGACCTACAACGCCGCAGTGGATTGGCCCGCTGTGTCTTTCCTTGAGGAGCTGCTGGCGATATGTCCGAAGGCAAAGGTCATCCTGACGCTGCGTGACTTCGACAAGTGGTACGATAGCGCGAAAAGTACGATTTTCGCGATCCGGGATGTAATGCGGACCATTCAGCCGCCGCCGTACTTGGCGCCGCTGTTCCGGAACCTAGCTGAGATGGGGACAATGACGGATGAGCTCATCTGGTGGGGGACCTTTGGCGGCAGGTTTAACGACAAGCAATATGTGCGGAAGGTGCGAAATGGGCACGCAGCATCTATGCCGCGTGTGTGCGTGTGTGCGGTTTGCACAATGAATTTGCTTGTGACATAGGAGTAAGGCGTCACTGCATCTTTTGTCACAATCTTGCTGAAATTGTTATGCATGTACGGGGCCATGTCTGTACGACCGGTGAAATCCAATCCACCATGCAATCCACCTGCGCAGTGCCGCGGCTTGTACTGGACCCGTGTACACTCAACGCAGCTTTTTCATCTTGCATACAGAATGCCGCAACGTTGCATCGCTGTCTTTTCTGTCCCAAACGCACGCAGGTGTACGAGGCGCACCTAGCGGAGGTCCGGCGCATCGTTCCTCCCAGTCAGCTGCTGGAGTTCCGTGTGCAAGATGGCTGGGCGCCGCTGTGTGCCTTCCTAGGCAAGCCGATTCCGGAGGCGCCCTTCCCGCACATGAACGAGAGGGATGACTTCCAGCGTCAAATCGCGCGTATGCAGGCCAACTCGCGGCGTCTCAAAGTGCTGTCTGCTGTCTGCAATACGCTGCTAGCGGTGCCGGTAGCGGCCGTGGTGGCGTTGCTTATGCAGCGAGCCGTGTTCAGGGGTCGGTAACACCAGGCACGAACCGAGACGAGAGATTGGAGAGGTGTCTTCCTGTGACGCCTTTGCAGATGTGCGTGTATGTGAAAAAGGAGATTATATACGCTTTTGTAGCCTGGCTAAAAAGTTTCTTCAGCATCATCAGTAGTTTGATGAGCGGCAGTTGCTGCACTTAAGAACGGGGCGGCAGTTGCTGCACTTGGAATGGAGCGATGGCAGACTGCTAGCTGCATTCGAACTGCCAGTTATTGTGACCGCGGTGTTCAGTTCTGGCATGTTTGCGGGTTGGGATGCGGGCACATTTCCTTGCTCCACGGGCCTTGAGGCCAGCCGCAGCACTTTCGGACACATCACGTACATATCCTGGACATGGCAAACAACCAATTTTGATGCCACGTGTAACGCGGACGACTACTTTACGTGTAGCTTTCGGGACAGCGGCATCTCTGCGCGACAGGTACTGGAACCAGGACGCACATCTATCCCGTTCATAGGACACGATTCAATCGACCTGTAGCGCATAGCATGCGTTATGAAAAGCCAACCAAAATGCAGAGAGCAAGTCCAGCCTGAAATGGAATGCCCACACAAGCCAGTAACCTCCCCCACGCAATCGCATGTGAAATGCGTTCAGCCACGTGCAGCATTACGCGCGGGTTTCCGTGCGAGCAAGCCCAACATCGAGGACCTTGCACGCCAAGACCTGTTCCACCACTCTCAAAAGGTTTTAAGCCTGGCACATTGCATTGCCAGCACACATACCATCCAGACATTCGCCAGCCAACCAAGCTAGCTTTATACGGGATTATGCATCCCCCGGCCCCTTGTGATGTACGCATTTGATCACTTTACCTAAATAGTCGCACATACATGTACAAGTCATCCAGAGCGACAATCACATGAATAATACCTGCGTACCAAAAATGCCACAAGGTTGACATCTCCCATGAGACCAGTTTGTTGAACTCCTGCCAGTTCCCATGCCCTTCGCCGCGGTTTAATGTCAAAAGTCCATCCTCCCTGTCCACGAACTCCATGCTCCATATATTAAGTAGCATAGGGTAGGTATCGTGCACATATAGTGCCTCCAACGCAACAGCCAGCAACATCTAACAGCTGTGGTGGCGACGGAACTGTCCCAAAATGCTTTTGCAATTGATCTACACCAAAAGCATCCGCCACGCCCTGCAGTGACTCGTCTCCCATATCCCCTGGCACATCCGCCCAAGCTGCCGCCACGTCGGCGGTGACGTCATCGATACCGTCCAAGCCGTCCAGAAGCCAGGTCGTGTCCATCACCCCATCCGCCCATTCCGCCGACGGGCCCAGCAGTGGTTGTTCGCTATACGCGCCCGTGGCATACATGAGGTCCCCGGCTTCCGGAGTCGTCACCTCAGGGTCTGGGTTAGAGATGATGGACTTGTAATAATTTTCAAGTTCATCATCCTGGAGTGCCTCGTAGTCGCGATGTGCCGGGCGGTAGTATGCGCTGAGATACAATGCTTTTTGATCAGCAAGTTGGCGCGGCGGCACCTGAGTACCGCTGTGGTCGACACTGGAATCCGATACTGCTGCGGTTGGAGACGCTGGAACTGAAATGCACACTCCTGGAAGCGAGTTTGGCTGCACGGCCAGGTTTTCTCCTCCTGAGGTGGATGAGGACGTTTGCCGGTAGCCTGCGGCCTGTAAGCTAGGCACAAGAGGGACTGCGTACTGGTTACCGGTGGATGCGATAGCCCTTTGGTGCTGCTGCAAGTGCTGCTGCTGCGTCCCGTGTGGGTATAGATCTGCTGATGGGGACAGGAAATTGCTTGTCTCCTGCGCGATCCGAACCTGGTGGTACGTGAGCTGATGTGGCGAAGGCTGACTCAGCGGTAGAACAGGGGCGCCAAGGGGGTAGCGAAACGACTGCGGCAAGTCCGGACATGTCAGGGCCGCAGGCCCGTAGTGATAGTAAGATGACACGTTCCACGGCCGCAACGACTGCTCTGCCACGGTTATACCGTACTGCGGCCGTTCACTCGCGGCTAAGCCGTCGCATACTTGGTGCTGGTACTGGTAGGAAGGTTGCCCAGAGGTACCAATGCCACAGGAAACGTCAGGGCTGTAATCTGTGCCGTAGAAGCTGCCGTATCCCCCGTATACGGACTGCGTCGCCGTGCCACGCATATCAGCCCCAAGCCCCAAGGAAGATGTATACATGCTGTTGCCGCTGCTGCTCGCTTCCGCAGGGCCGCACAATGCTCCGCCAGCGCCACAGGTTCTGCTGTGTTTGTCAACAGAGAGTTGGGTACTCGTGCTTTCCTCCAACGGACGAACGCCATACTGAAATTGTATATCGTGCGCAGCCAGACCATCCAAGCTCATAGGGCGCGACTGGCCGACTATAGCCTGTGACAGGAAGGACCCCACAATCGTACTCTGGAGCGCTCCCTCCACAGTGGAGGCACCCAACAGTCGCGGAAACGAATGGGCGGGAAGCACTGGCCAACTTTGTGTGCTCATCTGTGAGGTCTGGGGCAGCATAAGCGCTGCTATCTCGCCGGTCTGTGCAGTGGGTCCGCTCATATCGGTAATTGTGGCATATTGCGGTGGTCGGACATTGAGCGGTCCCAACTCCGCTACTATTTGTGCAGCCGGCGCCGTCGATAGCTGCACCGGTCGCAGTGCCAGGCATTGCCGTTGTGGGCGTGGAGGCCGTGAGGGCAGCTCGTTCTCGCTCGAACAGTGCTGATGCTGGTGTTCTGCCAGGGAACCCTGCGAGCCGTGCTTCATGGCGTCTTTATGTAATAACGTGCGCTTCTTGTCCTGACTCTGCCCCTGATGCTGCTGCTGTGCGGGCTTGCGCACTCCCAAGACGCAGGCGACGAGTTGCTGCTTGTCGGCCTTGCCGCCACTGGACCCGCTCACTCCGCTGTCAGTGCAGATTTCTTTCGGCAACTGCAGCGTGTTCTCAGCACCATGAGCCCAACCAGAGCCGTAGGCGGCGGAACTGCAGCTGCTGCTACTGCTAAACCTTGATGCCACACCTGCGTTAGTATCTAGCAATCCCAGCGGCGCTAGTCCGCCACCGTTTATATCTGAGCTCCTGGTAACCGGTCGGCGGGCAGGCGACAGGGGCGCTGTGCGTTGGCAAGTCGTTGTCGAGACCAATGACTTGTCGGTTCCAGAAGCCACAGGGAGAGACGTGCCGTGTGCGCATGGCCCAAGCGGAGAGGGTTCGTTTTGTGCACACGTGGTCTCCGATGGATGTGCCGCTGCGTCAGCAGGGAGGGAGCTGACTCCCTCATGGTGACCCTGCATGACGAGTTTGCCGTCTGCTGCGGATGACCCAAGTTGGCCGCCTCCGGACGTGCTCTGGGTCGCAACTAGGTCACGGTCGCTGGTTGGGATGGTTGGGCGCGGGGAGATCGTAGCAGAGGTGGTAGCTGCCGAGGTTGGCTCAGATGCACCTTCCGCCACCTTCAGTCCAGCCGCGGGAACTGGCAGGGGTTGCCTGATACCATCACGCTTCATGTTGCCAGCATCGAGAGCTTCGGCCTTCGGAGCGACGATGTTCCGGCAAGTGGTATCATCGTAAACGGTGCAGCTCCCACCATCTGTGTAACTCTTGTCTTCGCAAAGCCGCCTGCGTTTGGACCTCGGGCTCGTAGATGGCGCTGGGCGCTTTTTAACAACACGCGGATGTGGCACATCGTCAGACGTGTTGTCCTTCTCGGTGTCCAGTCGATCGGTGGGACTTAGATCACCTTCCGCGTCCCTGGATCCTGAGGATTAACGACACAGAAGGTAATGTCTAGTGGACTAACCCAAACGACACAGAAGGTAATGTCTAGTGGACTAACCCAACTCTGTGCCCAAGTTTGTCAAAAGCCGCCATTGTACATAATCCAACGAGGCTGAGGTATAAACCAAAACATCATCAATCCCGTGGGGCACCGTTCCTTGCTACCTGGCAGTAATCCTGGCGCTCCTTGCCCTGGCCGCTTCCGGAGGCTATACGCATTGAGGGACTTGCGCATGTCTTCCGTTATGCGCAGGCCCTTGCCGTGTTCAAAAACATCCTCCAGACTTGGACGGTCGTCGTCTGGCCATGTTGTCGAGCTGTTTTCTTGATACCACCTGATTAGGTGTGAATGGCATTTCAGGGTGCCGGTAGCCAGGTTTGGTGGCGGGTTGGCAAAAGATTTGAAGGGAAGGTCCCGCGATGTTCGCCGAAACCCCGCATCGACAAGCCTTGGGAGGAGCGCGGAGGCTGCTTAGAGAGAGGCGCATGCCATATATTTTCAGCTCTAGGCATGCCGCATACCCTACAACAGGCTCCAATAGGCAGCGCATCTGGTTGAAGTCAAGTCGCACCGCGAAATCTCAGGTCGTCTGGGTTTCTTCCAGTTCTCCAAATAATAGATACGCCAATAATCATTGTAAGCATCCCAGAAGCCGGATGGGCGACGCACAGCGTTAGATCGCAGTCTTGACAGCATGTCGACAGCTGATGGCGTCCGGACGCACGCCAGGGTACATAGTAGGTCAGCAAGTAAAAGATCAGTAACATATCAGAAAAAATCGATGCTTATAGCTAGAGCGGATTTTGGGTGCGTTCAGGCTCGGCTTAATGCCCCGGCGACAACATTTACTGCACCGTGTGCTCCGCAGCTTACTTGCAGAAAGCAGGCAGAAAATGTACTCATGCCCACCTTGTCAGTACCCCGTCCGTGCCTTGATGAAGAACCCAAGGACGGCACGAGGGCGGACTCGATGTTCGGACGATAAGAGGTCACCACGGGAATCCTCTGTGTTTGAGATTAGCGTTTGGCTTAATCCTCTTATATAAGTTATCCACATATGCGGCTTATTAGATAGTAACCTAAACAACCAAGTTGTATTGTTCCCTGCTGCTCATGGCTTGCGTGCTGAGGGGGAGTTGTACGGCAGTATTCCATGCTCTCCCTTGCCATCCCTGAGCAATCTAGTATTCTACTGTATAGAAATTTTAAATGGCCGAACTACTTTCTGGGTGCTGTGTAACGACTCAGTATTCTGGAGGATGTTCGGCGGACTCGCGTGCACGGCACGCTCCAGAGCACGATTGCACGACCGTTGCGCATAACGGAGGTTTTGCGTCTTAGGGTTTGGCTTCTTTGCTTGCCAGTGTCGTTTTTATACCACGCAATATTCCTTTTCGTGTATCGCGATAGGGTTGATTTGACAAACCCCAAAGCATACAACATAAGTCATCGCGGACAGACTGGACAAAATGCGGCATAGAACATTGGCACAACATGTTGCTGGAGGTTCAGGAGTGGAACAATATCGCTTAGCGTTTGGATGCTGCCCTGTCCAGTTCCGGAGAAGTCCTGCTCGTGTTTGTGACTATCGAGCGTCTGGAAATCGAAATCATTTGTATGTGTCGAGGTTAAAGGCAACGGCGACTCAGAGGCAGATGGAATTAGACGAAGCAGTTGAAGAGGATTTCTACTCAATCCTCGGTGTGGTGAGTTGCCTTTGCAGTGACTGTAGTTACCCGTCAATATATTCTATGTATCGGGGCAGATAATCCCTTCTTGGATAGAAGGCGCTGGTGTGACGCACGGTTGACGCAACCGCCCAACTTCAGCGCACGGCCCGGCCCCCCATATACCTTTCTTAAAAGAGTCCGCTGGCGGACGCTAGGGAGATTAAGCGTGCATACTACAGCATGATGCGCACGTGCCATCCCGATCGGACTGGCGACGACGAGGCCAACGGCTTTTGCGCGCTCCTCAACGAAGTGTACGAGGTGCGTCTGCAGGCCGCTAAGCGGCAGCGCGGCGCGCCTTTGCACGGGCCCTCTTAGCGGCCCACATGGTGAATTGTGTCCATGCGATGCTGCCTACCTTTCCTGTCCCAACTATTATCTGGACGCATGGACTCCCCTATGCGTGTGGCCGCCGCAGGAGCTCAGTTCGGTTCGTCATCATCAAAGAGCTCCCCATTTTGAGCGTATGTGGCTTTTGCTGCCAACTTAACACATAGGTTTTCAAGACCTGCTCATCTGCATACAGTCGCAACGTCCGTGGGGACCAACGCAGAGCACCCCTGTGGCTCATACACTGAAGCTTTGTCTTGCGTGTGTTGCTCCCCTACCCCTCGTCGCTGCGTCAAAACTCACCCTCATGTTTATCTCCTCCCGCGCGGCTTAGCAGCTCGCTAAATGCCTCGAGTGCTGACCACTTCTGCAGTAGTGGACTTTGCCATGTCGTGTCCCTATGGCTTCATTTTTCGGAAATTTTCAGTGTAGCCGCTATTCCCGGTGATCCGCCGCCCTCGGTCCGGTGCGCTCTTCAGACCCTGACGGATCCGACGCGTCGAGCGCTGTACGACGAGCTGGCGGGCTTCTCCACTGAGAGCGTCAATCCCTTCCTGGACGACCGCTACCCCCGTGACCGGGTACGTACTTCCGTGGGGAGCATGTGAAGTTACCCAATATGGCTGAGTGGCCACCCGGCAGTCTGTGCACCGCCTGCCTGCCCCCAGCTGGCAGGGTTTGCGAAGATGGGGCGTGGGCCCGCCAACCTCGGATATCGTCGCAGTGGGGTCGGGGTGCGTCCCTCAGCTCTGGTGCCCGTCTTGGTGGCCATGCCTGTACGCTGCTTCTGTACGAGTGATCGAACAGACCCACGCTACCAATAGCTGCATTTTAAAACCTATGACTGCGCTGCAATGCTGGTTCCTATTCCTACACTCTTCAACACGGGGCGTGGCCGCGCCCGTCGTAGCGTTATGCACTCATCCCTGCCTTGTTCACCAACATGTGTGACTTCTTAACTTACACCATCGCGCATCTATAAAATGAAAGCAGAAACGTTTTCTTGCGCGCGCATGCGTAACCTTGCTGTGCAGGTGTTCGTGGACGAGTTCTCTTGCATTGGCTGCCGCAACTGCAACAACGTGTGCCCCAAGACATTCGGCATGGAGGAGGAATATGGGCGAGCGAGGGCCATGCAGCAGGACGTGGACTCTGAAGCCAAGCTGCAGGTATCCCGGGCGAAATGTATGCGGGTGTTAGGAAACCCATCCAGGTGCCAGTACACCCGAACGTGAGCGGTCCAGGCGAAGCGGGATAAGCGGGGGAATACAACGATGGACGGGGCCAGAACCAGACGTGAGTCATCCCTTGCGGCTAGCGGAGTGGGGCGTGTTTACCTAACTGCAAGGCTTTCTCTGACCTAGCCTGGCCTGACTAGCATGGCATCACATGACCAGACCTAAGCTGGCCTCTGGCCGAATTTCCGAATGTCGTGTCACAGGAGGCGATTGACTCGTGTCCCGTGTCTTGCATCCACTGGGTAGGTACGAGCAGGTCGGGATGGTTTCGTGGCGGGAAGCGGCTGGGCGAGTTGGGCTTTTGTACCGGGTGTGAGCGGAGGAGCGCGGCTGTACTACTTGTGATTCGTTGCACCATGTGTTCGAGCCCCCCCACTGCTCATCCCCGGCTCCCATCGCGGGTGCGACTGCTGTCAGTCGCCACACTTTTGAGCCATACTTTTCACTCGACTTCTGTCCGCAGGTCGCGATGCCTGTTTTCCACCTTGCGCTGTCTGCTTTTGGCTGTCCGGAAATCTGCAATAGAAAGCTCCTATGTCACATTTCCCCATTTTCCCCTCACCCAGTCGCTTAACCTTAATTGGTGTTTACTTTCCCTCAGGTCTCCGGTCCGCAGATGTCTCTGCTCGAGACCGCCATGGCCCGGATGGAGCGGCTGCCTGTTTGGACCATGATGAGCGGAGCGGGGGCAAACAAGGACGTTTTTACGGTGCGTGAGGTCGCGTGTATGCTGCATGCACGCGTACACGTCTGTGTTGGGGGGTGCGTCTAGGCTTGTTACAGGTAAGGCTTGTTCGCTTGGTGTTACAGTGCAGCTTGAAAGAAAGGAAGGTGCTGTGCGGCGTGTGGGATACGAAGGCGTAGCTTTACCCAGGATCACTTTGATTCCTGGTGAAATCCTACCAAACCGCCAGGTTTCATGATCGTTCTCGTGTCCAGTGGCCATGACCACCAGCATTCGACAGATGGCAGAATCTGCTCGGGTCCTATTACTGCCCTCACATTCCGCTTGTATATGAGTGTCGGTCATTTCCAACAGCAGCAACCCCCTTTTAGTAAACCCGTTGTGCCTTTGCTCTCCTCTTCCTTTCCTCCCTTGGGCGTGCTTCCGGTGCCTTCCTACCCGCAACAGGGCACCCATCTAAACTTCCACTCCCTCACGCCTTCATTATCCACATCGCAACACGGGTGCAATAGACCGCACGCCCGACTGGTGTTTCCTGCCGCCTTGCAGGAGGCAAGCTTGGCCTGGACCCGACGACAGTCGGACATCCAGCGGCGTGTGGAGGCGGCAGCTGCGCCTGTAACATCCTCCCCTTCCACTGGCTGGCGTTTTTGGAGCAACGCTGCCAACTTTGGCGGGGCAACCGGCAGCAGGCAGGGCAGGCCAGGAGGGATTTTCGGCCATTAAGTGGCAGCATGGGCGCTCCCATCTGAAGTCGTTGTATTCTGCCATCAAGGCATCAGTGCATATTATTTGGCCTGGCCCTGACGCGCATAACCTTGGATTTTAGCAGGGCATTTATCTAGCCATGCAGCCCACCTGGGCCCATCCTTGGCGGCCTAAATGCAGGTTTTACCAGGACGCCAACCAGGCCCGCGACCGTCAGAAGCAACAGGCGGCGAATGGGGCTGCAGCAGGAGACCGGGAGAGCCGCGGTGTGGCGGACTTGGCGGCGCGAGCTGCTCGTGCTGCTCGCACCTGGCGGCGGTACCAGGAGGTAGTGGCGACTTCGCGGAGGGATCGGATGGTGTTGTCGTCTACAAGCTCCGCTTCCAGCATGGACGATTGAGAAAGGAAAAGTGGCAAAGGGGAAGCTTTGTGATGGTCCACCCAGCCCTGGACGCGTGGCCGATGGACAGAGAGGAGGTTGGACCGGATTTTGGAGGCCTTACTCGTCGTTGCGAGAGTACAGGAAAACCGACGTGGTGGCTGATATGTCAAGTACCGTGTAGACGCAGGAAGGTGAGAGGAAAAAGACAGCAGGCGCCTGGACGACGAATGGTTCTGGAGAGGTTCGCGAAGCTTATGGAAGAACAGTGCATGGAATGGAAGCGGCAGAGTTCCGCAAAAAGGCAGGGTGGACAAGAGGAGAGGCAGGAGAGCCAAAGGTGCGTTGCTCAATGTTCTTACAGTGAATGTGGTGGGGGGGACTGTGGCAGTGTCAATGCTTGTGGCCCGTCCCTTGAATTCCTGTGGTTAGGAAGAAACGACACGATGTATTTCCTAATTTCATGCCCATGTTCGGCTTTACTGAGTTTTTCAACAACATTGTAGCGCTATATTTTTGGCAGTTTGGAAGTCGTATGTACGATTATCTTGGAACGTCCGTTGGCAAGAATATGGTATTGCATTTTCCGTGACTTTGCGATTTGAGTGCGCAGCGCAGTGGGGTTCTGACGTATGTGTTACGTGCCACTATTAATGCTTCCAATTGGTTTGACACGGAGGAGTCATTCAGGGAATGAGCTTTCTATCAATTAGTCGAGAAACGCGGTATTATTGCAGCGTTGATGGCTGGTGCAGATTGGAGCATTTACGACGGTATCTTGCGCAGTTTGCAGAGCGGCAGAACTTGTGGGGAGGGCAAGGCAGATCAGCGCAAGTGGTACGAGCCGGTACGAGTGCCGTTCACCGTCAGCGTGAAGTCGGGACACTGCGGGAATTGCCGTATGTCCTGTCCTAAAATCTACTGTGGATTTTGGACTTCAATTGGTCCGTCTTCTTCCTTAAGTGTTGTTTGCAAAGCAGTAAGAGACTCGCCGCTACGGCATTGAGATGGTTTAAGCCGGTTGTGTTCACGGTAATGAACGCGCGGATAATGGTTGCGCTTCACGAAAGACGTTATGGTTCTGAATTCCCTCCTTCGGCATCCTTCGCAGCGAATGCCGCCAGCCGTATCGGCTTGCGCTTGGCTGGTGGGTTATGATATGGCAGTTAGCCAAGACCAATAGCGAATCCCTTTCCGGCGGTACACTTTGTTTCGCGTTTAATTAGCATCCATGACTACTTTCATTGTGTTGACCTTAGACAGGCTTCAGATTAGCCCGTCTTAGCTTATCTGTTCCGAGCTCCAAATCAATAAGGACTCGTTCCCATTGGGTTATTGCTTGCAGTTGTAGCGCCTTTGTCCCGTTGCGAGTCCCGTCCGTATGTAACGATTAGTAAGCTAGGACGGCTTATGAATATGATGGCTGCGGCGGTGGTATGCCGTGATTACAGTTGTGCTGAGAGTCTGCAGCCAAATAAGGGCATCCAGGAAAGGGTGTGCGAAGACCTAACTTCGTGGCCATCCTTCCGCCAGCCTCCGATTCTGGATGGCGACCGTTACCAATGCCATGGATGTACGCAGAATAATTCTGCTGCGAGCTTGCGCGGCCACAAATCTCAAAGCAGCACTTGCAGCACCCCAGGTCTAACGGCAAGCAACTATTTAGATCCATCAACTACACCGACAAGTAGTACCGATGCCAGAAGCTGTGACCCCCCTGCATCGTTCTGATATTGATTTTGCCTTTTTTGCGCCGGTTCAAAAGTATCAAAGCAATATGCAAAAGTAGCAGCCCCCGATCCGAACCGATGTCCCAGACCTGGAGCAAAAGCATTAAGCTGCCTGCTGTTTGGTCATGCGCCGTCCGCACGGCCTTAAGTCCCTGCAACAGCTTCCACCTTCATGACAGCAGCAGGTACAGATCCCACCCCCGCAGAGCTCCCGAAGCCGTGCTCCTGCAGCAGCGCAGCGGCGGCTGCCAACCGGGCTTGCGCCGTCTGCACCTCGGATAGCACCCTGGAAACGAGCGGTGAGAGCATGAAATCAGGTAGCAACGGCAGCTGGAATTGTCATGACGTGGAAAAACATTTGTGAAGTTGGCAATGGAAGTGCTGCGACCAAGTGCCAGAAAATGAAAAAACATCACCATCGCAATCCTCCGCAGCTACCTAACTCTCCGCGCACACCCCATCCTTCACCAAAGCGCCTAAACCATTTCCACCTGTCCCTCGAGTCCACTCACGAGCTGAACGCCGCGTCCACCGAGGCCCTTCCCGCGCTGGACAGATTCAGTCGCGCCTGCAGCGCCGCCACCTCACCGCGCAGGCCCGCCACGCGGTCAGCCAGGGCGGCCTCCCGGCGCCGTGACTCAGAAACCTGAAGGGTGGGGCCCGGGCAGAACCAGGAGAGGTACCAATATCGGCACCGACACGCAGCGCAAGGTGAGTGCCATATGGGTGCTGGCACGAGGCACAGCTTTTTCTCTCTTCTTCTCGGCGTTCGGAGGCTGAGGCATTGAGCTGCAAGCCTGCCAAGCAAGGGTTATTAATGGGTGCGAAGTGAAAGCTGTTGCGCCGTTTGCCCACTTGCTTCTCCCTGAAGTATCTCTCCCCCAACCTACTCGCCCAGTGATGACCGTAGGACTCCACCTCACCTCCTGCACGTTACCCTCCTCCCGTGTCTCCTTCCCGCACCCCAATCGCCCTTGCCCAATCATCCCGTGACCATCATCCTTTCCTATCACACACTTCTTCCACAATCACTCCCAGTCAAACTCCCAACACACTCTCAGACCCAGATCCATCCAGACCTATCAGCTGTAATCACAACTAGCCCCGATGTATAGCCCATGCTCCCCTAGCTGCTCCCGTGCTCCCTCTTCTCCCGCGTCATGAAGCCCGGAACACTCGGATACCCACACATCCACCTCATCCTCATTTCCCAGTTTTACAGCACCACCCGGCCCACCTGCACCTCCATTCGTTGTAAGTTGAGCGACAGGCCCTTCCTCTCCGCCTCACTCGCCGCCTAAGGAACCGGAGCCAGAACGTGGGAAAAGCAAGGGGTTGCCAACGTGGGAAAAGCAAGAAGGGAAAGAAGGACGGCGGGAGGAAAAGAGGGGATGGGAGGTACAAGGCAATGCGAAATGGTGGGGTTGGGATGCACTCCATGTCGGCGGGTCGAAAAGGTCCGCAGGAAGCAGGGCATGGAAACTCTCACTAGTCACCGGCCCGCGAAAAGACCACCCGTGTGTCGTGGATCGCGAAGCACCCTCCTCTCCGTCGCTGCCCCTCCCTCACCCATTCCTCCTTCCTTGCCGCCTTACCAATCTGGCTCGCAGCTTGGCTACATCCACCATCGAGCCGTTCACCGATACCATGCCAACACAGCCGTCCGCGGCGGACGCGACACCCGCGCCAGCTGCAGGGCTGCCCGCCGATGACGGCTCCGGCTCCGGCACCGGCGCCGGCGGTACAACGAGCGACGCATGATCCGTGTAACTGAAGATGGAGAAGGAGAGGATGAGGGGAAAAGGAGTTCCAGGCGCAAAGGCTTGGATGAAAAGGCCGGAGGGGTCAGGCGGGTAGCGGGTAGCGGCCGACGATGTTGTTATGCTGTGATAATTGTGGATGCGGAAAAAGGACCCGTAGCAGCAGCAATCCAAGAGCGGACCTAAGAAAGGGGAGGACACAATTTCCTCCCCCTTTCGTGGGCGCAGACGTTGCATGTATTCCGCCTTTTGGGGTTGCATTGGTTCGAGGCCAAAGGCGAGGAAATTGGAACATGAGCACTGCCGGTCCTTTCCGTGAATGGCAATATGGGAGATTGGGAATCTCCGGGTGCCGTGCGCTCGGGGGGAAAAGCCCTAGTTGGACGAGGACGAGGTGAGGGAGAGAGGTGGTCTGCAAGACGGCGGAACGCCCGACGTATATGAGAAAATCCGTGAGGTAAAAGAGGAGGAGCAGGAGGGACGGCAAGGGAAAGGCTGTGTCTGTAATGTTGCGGGTGAGCGACGTGCGAAGAAAGATCCAGGAGGGAAGGGAAATTCGGGCACCTGAATCTTCCACGTCTTCCCGTGGCTTGGTCTACCACGGCCTGCACACGTCGACCTGCCGGGCACGGGGGACAAAGAGGAGCGGGAAAAAGGAAGGCGGGAGGAGGAACGGCGCGGAGGGGCAGCAGAGGGGAGGGGCCAAGGGGGCGAGCACACAAGGGGCGGCACAGGCGGAGGGCAGGGCGGGAAGGGGAGCGCCAAAGCGCAAGGAAGCAGGGCAATCGAAGCCAGCGGCAGCGGCAGCACGGGAGGGGCGGCAACCGTACCCGGCCGCCCACCCGCCCATCAGAAGACCCAGGTGATGCCGTCGATGAGGGAGGACAGGGGAGGAGGACGAGCGGGTGCCGGGTAAGCGGCGGAAGCCAGGGGACAGGGGGAGAGGGAACGGGAGAGGGACAGGGAGGGAAAGGGGGGAGGGGAGGAAAGGGGGAACGGAAATGTCAGCGCCGGTAAGGTGTGCTTATGTGCTGCGGGAAGGGCACATGCAGGAGTGAGGCCTACGCGTGGGTCTCGTCCACGCCATCCATAGCGAAACCACCGGCACACCCTGCTGATGCATCTGCCACCAATATTCCATCAAACCCATCCTATCACCCATCATCTTCACGAGACATTCTCCCTCTCCTGGCTCTGCGCTACATGCACCCCCTTCCCCTTTCGTCTCCCTAGACCTCCCCACTACCCTCTCCCCAGCTACGCTGAGCACAGCCGTGCCGGTTGTACGACTCTTGTCGTATTACGTCCGACAACTCACGTGATATGCTATCGGCGGTCATGTAAATGATCTCTTCCAAATCCTCCGCGTCAATGTAGCCCGCGCACCGCTCGTCGAACATTCGGCACACGGCCAGGAAAGGCTCCGAAACCAGGGAGGAGGAGCTGGCAACAGTCGCGCAAGCAGTAGCAGCGCCGGCGGATTGCGCCGCCGAAGGCGAGGCGGCATGGCCGTCACCGCCGGCAACTGGGTTCCACGGTGGCGCGGGGGCCAAAAGACGGGACAGCGAAGCGGAAGATAAGGCACAGTTCGGAAGTTGTTGGGGAGCCGTCGAGGAGTATGTGTTGGGAGCCGACGACAAGAACACGCATCAATCCAATGGCTCTGCAGCAACTACCGCCGACATATCCCAGTAGGACCACACGCCCCATCTCACGTCACCCTTTCCGCCGGCCATACCTTCTATCTGCACCTCCCGACGCGACCGCTTAGCGCCTGACGACGACCCTTCCTGGACTGCCGCGGCCGCGGCCGCATCGTCCCCGCCGCCGGCGCCCGACAGTCGTCGCTTGCCAGCCACCCCGTCAGTTTCCATGTCCTTGGAGGGAAGGCCGTTACCCACGCCGTCAGGCGCCGGCCCGTCCTGGTCCTCATCGGGCGGCGTCGCCATAGGGCCCCCGGGTACGCCGTTCTGCCCCGGCACCTCAACCTCCCCGTCTGAGGCCCCCGTCATCACCACATCGCCCGGTCCTTTCCCAGCGGAGTCGCGACTGGCAGGGAAAGGCATGGCAGGGGCATTTTAAAGAGGGCGCAGATATGGATGGTAGATTTAGAGAGAGAGGGAGAGAGAGTGTGTGCGTGTGTGCAAATATACAACCTTGAAGGCGATACCCGGCATCTCATAGATGACCAGGTACGCACGCTCTCAGGATTCCCTGGACATAGCGACCTGGACGCCACGTAAACACATGCGAGCACGCGCAAGGCTACCAGTTAGGATCACGGACACTCGGCGGAGGGGACGGGACACCACATCTCCCCGCGGGCACTTTTTGTGGAGCCTTCTTCAATAAAAAGGGAGTTTCAGTGCAGCTGTGCACAGTACACGTTTGACAAGGCCAGCACGTGTCAGACCAGTATGCACCAGCCGAGCCCACGTAATAAGGCCAGCACCCGCAAAAGAGCAAGACTGTTGGAAATGACCGACACTCATATACCAGTGAATGGTAACCACAGTAATAGGACCCGGCTGGGGTCCGGCGCTTTGCTGGTCTTAGCAAAGACCAACCCCGGTAGACATGGTGGTGGAATATCACGGCGCCATCTTGGCATTGGAATGGATAAAGCTCACCCGCTTGTGGACCCGGGGCCAGCGGCGGTAGCGGCGACGGCGGTGGTAGCGGCGACGGCGGTGGTAGCGGCGGCGGCGGTGGTAGCGGTGGCGGCGGTGGTAGCGGCGACGGCGGTGGTAGCGGCGGCGGCGGTGGCGGCGTCGGTGGCTCCACCACCACCACGCGCCGCAGGGATAATCGTCGTGGTTGTGGCGGTAGTGGTGATAGCCGGCTGAGGCAGCAGTGTTGCGAGGGCGCGCAGCAGCGCCCTGCCGTACCGCTGCTGCAGCATCTCCCGGAACAGCTCCACGAAGACGGAGACCTGCGTAGAAACCAAATGCAAAAGTGGCGGGAAGGACCATTAACCCCGCAAACGCAACCTCACACGAGCACACAAGCACACAGGGACATGTGCATGTCCTGTACATACATGGTGTCTGGCACATCAATACGTGCAGGTACAAAATAAGGAGCCTTTAATCATCTTCTCGGGTTTGGGGGCTTTAGGGTTTTATGGAAACTCCTGACTTTTCGCACGTCGGGCGGCATCGTCGTGCGCTGCACGTTATGACCGCAAAACGACGAGACGCCAACTTACAACCGAACGTAAACAACCAACCGTGAGCAGTCCGGCCAACTGAATGGGGTGGGAACCTGAAGACGGCACCGACCCCAGACGTTACCTCCCAGACGTGTTCCCGAAAGCACCCCCGGGGAAGAGGGGAAGGACGAAGAAGAGGATGGGAAATAGAGGAGATGCGTCCCAATGAGGCCGCCGCACAGCAGCGATGTAAAAGACCAACCACACCGCCTCGCCGAACCACACACCTCAAACGTGGCCTCCCTCGTGTCATCCTCGCCGTACTCCAGCAGCTGCTCCAGGTTGTAGCTGGTCAGGGTGACTCGGGGGGCAGCACCGCCGCCACCGCGGACCGGCTGCGTAAACGTCATTGTGTCCTGTGGACCACCAGAGAGCGCGGGTGGGCGGAAAAAGGTAATGTAAGCTACGTTGGTAATGCTCCAAGAGCTGCGCCATGATCCCACATGAGGCTTTAAAGGATAATTTAAATGGCCGTAGCTCATAGCACGACGCCAGTTCTGAAGGACCATTGACCCGTACCCGTACCCGATCCAAATTCCTCCTACCGTGCCATACCAGCATTCTCCCGAGGCCGAGCCGAGACCCGAATCGGTCACCCACTTACCACCACAGGCGGGTAGGCCAGCAGCTTACGCGCCTCCTTCGCCTCACGCTGTGCCGCCGCCAGCGCCTCGCGGGCATCCCGTACACGTGTCGCTGCCGCCTCCGCAGCCCCGCGCGCCTCCACCGCTGCCCGCACCAGCAGCCCCTCTTCTGTTTCACTGGACGCCACCTCGGCCCGACGGCGATCCAAATACTCCTGAGGGTCCATTTCCAGGGCACATTCCCACCGCCTCGCATTCAGTTCTAATCCAGGGCCACGTCATAGGCCTCTTTCCGTCCCTACCCTACCCCAAGACCCTTATACCCAGGCTCTATCAAATCAAGGCTTGCGGCTCGCAAAGCCCCTGCTGACCGCGCGACCGTGCACCCACTGGGCGACGATACCTCAGGGAAGCCACAGCCACAGTACAAAGGCCCTGCTCGGGTTCCTCCGATTGCGGGCCTTCCTCCCACATACACAAAACACAAAACACAGCCTTGGTCCGTCCATTCCCTTTGGGTTCCAGGCATAGATGCCTGTTTTAAGGCCTTCTGCCCTGCCCTGCCCTGCCCTGCCTCACCAGGTCCCGGTCCCGGACCCGTCTTGTCCCATTTCGTAGTCCCCACCCGCACCTGCAGTTTGTCCACCAGCGGCTTCTTGCCATGTAGCGGATTCCACTTCTTTACGGCCCCATCCGTGAGACCTCGCTTAGCAAGCTCCTCCTGTAGATGGCATGGGTTAGGATGAGCACGTGATGGGATTGCTTAAAGAAAAGATAAGCCTGCACATCAACCAAGAACGGTGTACTTGTGTGGCAGCGTTACTTAAGAACTGTGCCTCGCGCACTATCCCCCCTGGCATCTCACGGGGCTGGTTTTGATGTGTACTTCCTACTTCCCGGCATGTTCCTCGAACCCCGTCATTTGGTTGACGCTCGTCTCACGCCGGGAGCCCTCTCTAACCTGCAACTGAACAACCGTCATGTTGGCGGGGTCCAGGATGGAGTCCTCCCCGCCGGCGGTCACAGCCCGCCGAGCAGCCTCCGCCGCCGCCTCTGCTGCCGCCCTCCCCGCCGCCTCCGCCGCCTCAGCCTCCGTGCGTGCCCTCGCCTCCCCAAACACCGCGTCCTGTGAAAGGTAGTTGGATGGGCTTGGTCAAAGGGTTTCTTGCGCAAAGGGAAAACGGGCGCGCGTAACCATCCGCCGTATCTACTCATAAAGACATGCTGAGTAATGCTGACTGCAAGGTCACCAAGAAAGGCCAACATGGCAAGGCAAGGCACAAGTGGTCCAAACAGCGGCAGGGCGGCAGCTCAGCAAGGCATGGGGTGGAGGACTGAAAACACCCCATTTCCCCGACGTAACTCAGCAGCCCAGAGGACTAGAAAAAGCTGCCTAATCAAGACACGTCCTTGTCTGCTCCGCTCAGGGGGCCCATGGGCTCATCACCCGACGCCAATTCCCCGTAAGTGACGAATCTCAGTAACCAAATTGGGGCGGCGTTGACAGCGGCCGGGCCGTTCCTCCGGCTACCCTAAACATGCGCTCCCTCCTCAAATGCCCCTTCCGGGTTTGGGTCGAATCCCTAAATTCCCCAGGCCCCATTTCCCACATGGCGCAAAACACATGGGCCACACACACGCCTACATGCTGACATGCTTACGCGCGGACAAGGTCGCACGAAACACGTGCGGAGACGCGCACCTGCGCCCTGGCGATGGCCTCCACTGCCGCCGCGTTGGGCTGCGCGGCCGCCACTGCGTCTACCGGCACCATCAGCACCACTCGCTCCTCTACCAGGCCCGATCCAGATCCAGATCCAGGTGCCGATCCAGATCCATCCGACGGCGCCGCACGCAAGTAGACCACCTCCGCGAAGCGAACCCACTGCGTTTTGTTAAACCGCACGGTGGTCTGGTTTTGGTGCTGGCAATAGTGGGTGTTACAGTAATGGTGGTGATGAGCAATGGTGCTGTTGGTGTGGAAGGGTGTTGGTGGTCTTGGTGGTTTCGGTGTTGGTGGGTTTCGCTGGCAACCGCGGCATTGCCTACCTCAGTGCAAGGGCTGAGGTCCACGCCAGTGGCCCGTCGGAAGGTGCGTACGGCCGTCGCCACCAGAGCTGCCGGGTCCCGAGCGGGGTGGCCCCCGTCGACTGGCTCCCAGCAACCGCCCACGGCGCCAACCTCATTGCCGCCACCGCTACTGCTGCCACCTCCGGCGCCGCTGGCGCCCCTGCCGCTGGTGTGGTGGTGATGGTGAGTACGCTTTTGGACCAGGAGACGCATCTTCCGGAGGGGGTGCTGCGGCAGGTAGAGTGCAGAATGTGCGTGTGGGGCGATGGTCATACACCGTGGAATAGAAGTAGGCGGTTGGGAATGCTAAGACTGAAATCGCAAGCGCGGAAAAAGATAGATATACGTTAATAGATCCGCCGTTGCGACAAGAGATGCTGCCTACGAGCGCAGTCGTGCGGAAGCAATGCCGCTGTCATGCTACTCGAGTCCGTAGATTGGCTTCGCTCAGTTCCGCAAGGACATCATGCAGTCACCAGCCACGCAATTCACCTATACTTTAGTGTTGTCTACCGTTACTATATCACCATTCTGCTCTGAAGCGAAAGCGTCCTGTAACGGCATATGCGCAAAAAACAGCCGGAGGTCGGCCCAGGCCGCAGAAACCCCTGCCCCGTCCTCCCACCTCCCTGCCATCCCTCCGTTTCTCACGCACCTGGTATGCCTGCGCATCATCCGCGTAGAGTGCCTACGAGGTGCCCGAAAGCGAAGTGGGGAGTTAAAACATGTGTGTATTTAGATGTGCCGTCTGCTACAGCACGCCCGATTAGATATGCTGATAGCGGCGATGTCACGGCAATGTCTCACGGCGCGGGGAGTCATATCAAAGACGAACATAGTTCGTGAGTGTGTATGTGTGTGTGTGCGGGCGACGATGCAGCGGAACACTCAGCCGCGGAAGAGGTAGCCGCCACAGGGAAGTGGCCGAGGGCGCGACGCCACCGGATCAGCGGTGGAGCCGCTCTGGGACAGATGAAATCCGCCGATCACACATTTACGGCAAGCCCCTAATTTCCCAACCCCCCCATTGCACAGCATCCTTTTACACAATTGCACAGCACCTGCTCAGGAACGCCACTAAGCAGCATCACCCGCACACTCCACCGTCTGCCTGACGCCACCGCCGCGGCACTCAACGGCTCACGCCGCGGTGCTGGCCCTGCTGCCGCCGCCGCGGCACCACCACTCGCGGCACCATCTGCCGCATCCGCCCCTGCCGTTGTCACTGCGACATCGCTGGTGCCTGCAGCAGCGGCTGTGTTGCCGCCGCCTTGAGCAGCCGCCGGAACTGGTGCTGCAGCTGAAGAAGTGAAAATGAACTCGATGGGCTGTGTCAGCGGCAAGGGAGCGTGCTCGGGTAGAGTGTCGAGCCAGGAGGCCTCCAGTCTGTGTCGGATATCACAGAACAGAAAGGAAGAGCATGGGGAAAGGAGGGGTGAGGCGGGGACACGCGATTAAGGGACTCGGGCCACCAACATCATTCATAAGTACAGGAAAGCATGACATAACAATCTGGACCGCCGGGACAATTCTGTCCTGAAGCGCACCATTCTCATCCAGCCGAACCATTCTCTCTACTTTTCACTCTCCGCCGCGCTTTGTCTCCACCCTGCCTCGAGAGGCCTCACTGCCGTCAGGTGCCGCAATGCAACGTCCCCCGGGGCGCATTCTTAACCCTATTCTTAACCCTATTCTTAACCCTAAAACCCTAAAACCCTAACGTCCCCCGGGGCGCATTCTTGCCCAGGTGCCAACACACGCAACACCCAACCCTCCCGCGGGTATAAACCGAGCCCCTGTTTGGGTACAACCCCAAACAGTCGCGCACATCTGCACGCCGAAAACTGTCACGCCATTAGGGCAGGCAGGCAGGCCTAGCCCCCTTATAAGTTGTAACCAAACCGAACCGAACTCCAGCCCCTCGTCCCACCTGCTAAAGTCCGAGGGTATGTACAGCCGCTTGTAGCGTTTGCTAACAGATGCCACCCCCCGGCTACGTTCCCACGTATGGAACTTGGGCGGCCGCACCGCATACCGCCCAAGCGAGGAGGACCCGGAACCGCCACCTGCGGCTGCAGGAATGGGCGCGGTGGCTGTGCCCACGGCTGCGCTGCCGGCGCCAGGGGCAGCGGCGGGGGCTGTGGTGGCGGCGGCGGCAGTGCCACCGCCGCCACCTTTAGGCGAGGTGATCCTGCTTCGGCTGCGACTGCGGTCACTGCCGGAGGAGTCCGAGCTTGTCGAGGTGCTGCTACGGCTGGGAGAGCTGCGGGCAACAGCAGCAGCGGCAGCAGGCGGACGGGCGGAAGCAAACGCTTGGATGGTTGGAAGGAGGGATGGCCGTGGGGGTGACACAGGCAATGAGAAACGTACACCCTCCTGCTGGGTGGGACCATCTCGCGCGCGCACGACCCTCCTTCGACCAACAGTCACCTGTTAGGCCGCTCCTAAGCCCCTGTCATGCCAGGCGTGGGCTGGGCTTCACCTGTCTCTTAACCATCTCCCGTTGGGCCGGGCCATTATTTTGGCATCATGACAGATCCCCTCTTGATTGATTCACTGTTAAACCGACGTCTGTGATACCTCAAAATCGACAAATTCCTGGTGTGAAGCAGCAATGGCATCCCGCATTAGGCTGGTCCCCTGCACCTGCCAACTCTGTCCGCACAACGCACCTGGATCTAGATCTGGATCGAGACCTAGAGCTGGAACTCGATCTTGACCTCGATCTGGATCTCGCTCGTCGGCTACGTTCCCGATCCCGGTTTCGGTCCCGATCCCGATCTCGATCCCGATCTCGATCCCTGTCCCGCTCACGGTCCCGTTCCCGGTCGCGGTCCCGATCCGACTCCACATTCCGCGCGCGTCCCCATCCGCGCCGGCTGCCCCGGTCCGGACGCGCCTGCGGCCAGTGAGTCTGCGCAGCGGCCAGCTGCTGCACCACCGCCGCGGCCGCCTGTGCTGCCGCCTGCGCCGCCGCCTGCTGCTGATGCTGCTGTTGTTGCTGCTGCTGCTGCTGGTGCGAGCTGAAGCCCAGGCCCATGTTGCCGCGCACACCCACTGGATCCACGGGTGCGGCGATGCCCTGGGAAAGGCATTCAGGGAAATGGACAAGGGAACTTACGCCGGAGATACGCCGGAGAACAAGTGGAGGAACCTTATGGATGGGACAGTTGACAAGCAGAGCTCCCGGGAGTAGCCATGGCGGAGTTTGTACAGCGGGGGGCTCCCGAGTGGCACCGAGTCCGGAAACATGACCTGGGGGCTGCTCGATGCATCAGTTCAAAGCCATCAGCAGGTGGTGCCACCCTGATAGTGGCAAACGGATTCGCCGGCAGGCCTTGAAGAATCAAGGGTTCCGGTCAGGGCCCGATGCCTCGCAATCCCCCTTCCCACCAGACGTCTTCCCGGCCTCAGTCCCACCCCGCCTGCGACACCTGCTCATTGCGGCCCAGGCCGCCCTTGCTGCCCTCCGCCGCTCCGAAACCCATCTTGGCAAGAAGCCGCGCGCCCACGCCTGACGGGTCGCCGTACTGCGCCAGCTGCTGTACGGCACTCTCAGCTCGACGCCGCTCCTCATCTGTCAGTTCCGGGGTCGGCTTGGCGAACGGCGCCGCTTTGAGCACCGGCGGCGGCTCCGCGATGGCGGTAGCGGCACTACCTGAGCCCTCCACGGCGTTGGCGGCCAACGCCATCGCCACATCGGCAGTATAGGAGACCATCGGCGGAGGCGCGGAGTTGTACTTGGACTTCTCGCCGGAGCTGCCACCGCCACCTCCGGCGCCGGAGCCGCCAGGACCGGAGGAGCCGGCGCGGGCCATAGATCCGTAGGCACGATTCGCTGCAGGTCCGCGGTTTCCGCTGCGGGCGTTGGCGGCAAGGGAGCTGCCGCCGCCGCCTGCAGGCGCGACAGCGGAACCGCTGCCGCCGGCGGCGGCAGCTTCCGAGCCCGCTGGCGGCTCCTCACCGTTATCCAGCTCCACGAAAGTGCACCTCCACGCGTACTGGCCTCCGTCCGTGTTAGGAATGGCCTCGCAGCGAACGCGATGGCCCACCTGCAGGCGTGGGCGTGAGCAAGCGGGTTATCATGTGTCAATCCTGATTTGGGTTCATCTGGGTTGTGCTTGGAACACTGCTGGTGAGCCGTTGCCGTCTTGCCATGAACGGCAAGGCGCCGCGCTCTGTTTCCCTAAGCCGCCCTCCGCCCTTAGTCCAAGTCAGCACACATCCCAGCCAAAACGATTCCATGGACGATTCCATGCTCGCCTCAAATACTCCAGCCCGCCACCATCGGCCTCAAAACTTCTCTTCTAGCGCGCATCCCTTCACTTCCCGTACCGAGCCCCAGCCTCAGGGCCCCCCTGCGATAGAGGGTCATCATTACTCAGTCACGACCATCCCTCCACCCAGTCACCCACTTGCGGCAGCTGCCCGGACACCACCGCGTTCACGTAGAAAGAGTCTCCGTCCACGATGCCGTAGTTGGGCGGGATGAGGCTGGTCACAGCGCCGACCCACGTCTGATGGGTCGGTCCAAGGAGGAATTGGAAACACGACAAAGAGGAATGCCGAGAGCTCTCTTATGTTTACACAACGTGATATCGGGAGAGGTCACAGGCCATGGGGCCAGCAGCGGTGGCAAGTCCTGCTAGGCGGAGCCACAAAGTATGTGAGGGCGTAGGAAGGCGACGGAACACCAAGGTGAGATGAACAGCGGGGAAACCCGCTTTAAGTAAATGGCCAAGGGCACGGCGAGCGGACAGATCAGGTCTAAAGCAGGGACGCGGCCGCCCCTTACCTTGGCTGCTGGGGGCCTGAAAGACGACTGGCGGTAGTATTCTCCGCCCGCTGCTGGCTGCTGCGGCGGCGGCTGCGTTTGCTGTGGCGGCTGCGTTTGCTGTGGCTGCAGTTGCTGTGGTTGCGACTGCTGTGGCTGCGACTGCTGCGGTTGCTGTTGTTGATGTTGCTGCGGGTAAGAAGGGGCGTATGGCTGGCTGTACATATACTGCTGCTGTTGTTGTTGCTGCTGCTGCTGGGGAGGCTGGCTGGGCTGCGTGTATGGTTGTTGACCGTGGGCAGGATATTGCGGCTGCTGCGGGTAAGCGGAGTAGGCGGGGGCCGCGTACCCCGAGTGGGGCTGAGGTGCGGTCCCCGTGGGCGGCCCATACGAAGCCTGAGGTCCTTGAGGTTGGCCATAGTAGGGCTGCTGCGAACCTTGGGGCTGTGCATACGACGATGCGGGCTGCGGCTGCCACTGCTGCGGTTGCGTGCCGCCTGGCGCTGACTGCTGTGGTGAAGCATATGGCGCATAGCCGGATGCGGGCTGCGGCCAGGCAGATTGCGGCTGCTGTCCGCTCATTCGTTCGCCAGCAGTTGGCTTCAGAAATCGTTGACTAAGGATACCTACAGTCTAGAGGTGATGGATCGTTTGGATATGATCATACACGCAAACTTTCCTGACCGCACTATGCCCAATCGAGAGTCATGGTTTGCGTGGGCATCTGATACCAAATAAACAGATCGCGCAAGGGAAGCAGTTCAGCTTGAATCTGCTCGCTCTTAACGCAAATCAATCTGAGCTTGTTGAGTTAGTGGCCAGTTGCAGTACAAGGCAGGCAAGGCAGGTTCGGAACTGCAAAACTTGCGCGTCCAAAATGCCACGAGGAAAAAGCTACTGATCCTTTTGGTAACACCATAACATGTGAGAAGCTTGCGATATAAAGTCTAGTCTGCGGAGTAGCGTGAGGGGCCAAGCAGGATGGGTGGGGTTCGTTACAGCTGGTTTCCCGGCCATATGGCCAAAGCCTTGAAGCTAATGGAGCAGCGAATAAAGATGATCGACGTCCTGGTTGAAGTCCGTGACGCACGGGTGGGTCCAACTATTTAAATCCGCATGGTGCCTGGCAAACCCAGCTGGAGTTGAAAGCGTCACCCATTTACATCTACCCGTAAAGAAACCATACCTGTTCATTCCTGCTCTGCCTGAGGCCTGTGACTTTAGTCAACGCTCCACTGGTTATATACGCGGTGACCCACGGGGCGCGCCTCCACACATCATAAACCCAAGACGCCACGTCATGCGTTGCAACTACCGTTGAATGCGTTATCCCGTCACTCACAAATCCTTTCCATTGCCGCTTACGTGTACGTCCGCAACTCCTCCATCCTTGCGGCGTGCCGCCGACCCGTTACCCACACGCCTACCTCACCCTTACGCTCACCTTCACCCTTACCCTCAACCTCACCATCGTCACGCCCCTCCAGTTGCCCCTCTCCTCCGCCAACCCTGATATTGCCCGCCTTGCCCCTCGGAAGCGGCGCCTGATAGTCCTCAACAAGATCGACCTAGCGGATCACACAGCCACCAAGGTAAATACATGTACGGCACCGTCGCCACCGTATGTACTGCCGTACAATTTCCATAGGAATTCCCCTCCAGCCTCCTCTGCTGTCCCTTTCTCTCAAAACATTTGTAACCCCCGTTCCTGTTGGCAGCGGACCCCGCAGTTATTTCTTGCACCGATCCCCCCCTCCTTCCGTCGGTAAATTGCGCGCAGTCGCGTCGCTGCTTTGGTTTACAGCAGTTCAGTTTCCAACTTTGGACATTTGCAGCCTTTTCCTGACTTTTCTGGCCCCGATGGATTCATCATTTTTTTCCTTACATCTCGGCGGCCAGGTAGCCATTTCGCTGTGTTGCCTTTCCTTCCTTGGACTCGGCAGCTCAGACACACTCGTTTCGCTAGCTGGCCACGTCGCCGCGATGACCACCACCAAAATCACAGCTGGTCGGTATCTTTTAAACATTCCTGATGCAGTATCTGTCTCTCCTCCTGGACTATCCGTCTATCCCTGGTATCTGCTCCACTCGCCAATGGTTCGTCTTACCCCCCATACCATACAATTCCCCCTTCCCCCCGCGCCGTCCTCCGACCTCCAGGCCGCCTGCACGCTGCTTCAGTCCCAGGGCCACGTGGTAGTTCCCTGCGTGGCCACCAGGGAGGGCAGCGCGGGCAGGGTGAGAGGGGAGAGATGAAGATGTCGGTGGAGATGATGACCTGATGGGTCGGTGAAAGCTACACTTACAGTTAGTGCGTTACAGATTTCATGGAGTGGGGAATCCGTGGAATAAGATTTGCAGCGATTTGCAGTGAATTTTGCATCTTTTATATATCTCATGGAATGAGACTTGCAGTTGTAGATAATGAGGTTTGGAGTTACAGATAGGTGTGTTTTGGAGAGTAGAGTAAGGTTCTTGCTTCTGGATCAGATTGGTTACAACATACATACATACATACGTACGTACGTACGTACGTGCGTACATACACATAAATACGTACGTACGTACGCACATGCACACACCCATCGGCATTGCAGGTGCTAGACGCGGTGCTGGACTGGCTACAAACCCAGTACAGCCCCGCCTGCCCCCCCTCGGCCTCGGCCCCCTCGTCCTCATCGTCCTCCGCCTCTCACCCCGACCTGAGCCTGATGATGGTGGCGGGGGCTCCCAACACGGGGAAAAGTGCCCTTATCAATGCACTCAAACGGGCGGCACAGAAGGAGGGTGAGATGGTGCGGAAAAGGGGGGGATACCGAGGGCCGATAGGGGGGGGGGGCTGGGGGGGGGGGCTGGGGGTGGAATGCGGTGGAACGAGAGTTATGGAGTGCATTCGCAGACGTACGACAAAACGTGTTCGGCCAGCGACTACGCACATGGGAGCGGGCGGGCTGAACTTTCCGGAAATGAAGCAAAGGGGGAAAGGGAGAGGAAGGAAGGGTGGTTAGGGGGAGCGCAAAGGAAGACCCAGAGGCGTTATCCAACGCGCGTGTGTGTGCGTGTATATGTGTGGGTGGGTGGGTTAGTGGTGGCTGGGGACGCGAAAGGGGTGGCGAGAGGAGAGGGAGGGCCGTCGGGTCGGGGGCTGTGGTGGCGGCCCGCTGGACAGGACCCGCCCTCTTCCCCTTTCCTTTCTTGCTTCACCCTCCCCCTCCACTGTCCCTTCCCTTCCTTCCCCTATTGTCAACCTCTGAAACCTGTACGGGAGTTCCATAAGGCCTTCTGGAGGGTGATCAGGCGTTTCAACGGACTGCCCGCTCGGGGCCCCTTCCTGGAGTGACTCGCCAGCTGGGGGGCTTCAAGGTGAGAATGCACACACACACGCACACACGCACACACCGCACGAAGCCTGTTTGCATGTATATATACACATAGCATGGTGCCGTACAACGCCGTACTACACAGTGTCGTATCGTGCAAATAGCATGACGGTGTTCCTCTGGTCGCTGTTTCCTTGGCTGCGTAGGTCTGTCGCAGCCCGCTGCTGTACGTCCTGGACACCCCCGGGGTATTACCCCCCGCACTCCCGGATGAGGGGGTGGCGGTACGGCTGGCGCTGACGGGGCTTATGCCGGGGGCCGTCGGGGGCCTGACGGACGATGTTCTGGTACGGCATTTGGTGCAGGTGAATACGACACGGCATGACTTTGCACGGCGGCATCGTTCGGGAGCGTGTTGGCGGCTCTGGGCGCTGGGGACGGCGGTTGGGCTGGGGGTTGGTTTCATGAATGTGTGCTTTTTCGGGTGGGGAGGCAGTTGTGGGGGTAGCTTTGCTGGAGTATGGGTGGGCGGGTGGGCCGCAGACCCCCCCGGTAGTAGTGAGCACCGCCTGAAAAACGTTTTTGACGCTTGGGTGGCAAACAGTGATGCTTCACTGAGCTCGGCTCGGGAACGCGTCGCCGTACATAGAGTCAAAGTTGATGAAAGCTTGCTCAGACGGCTTCTTCATTATAGTTTCTCCTAAGTGAAGTTGGATATTCACCCCCACACTAAAAAACTGCCACGGTGAAAGGTTCTAAGAACACTGCCCCTACCAGCCTATCACCTTAATGCTGAGTAGTAATTGTGCTTAGTGCACTTCAAAGCTACTACTTACGCGAAATGTATCCTGCGATCGTGCGATTGCCACTGCACTGCTGCTCCTCCATTCTCGCACCCTCATGCCTCATACTACATAGATATTGGTTTCGGAGCCCAGGCATCAGCGTCAGCTGTGGATGGCGGCGGACGGACAAGTGGCGGCCATGGCACGGCAGCGCACAGCCGCCGCCGCCGCCGCCGCCAGAGGGTCTCATGACGGCGGCGGCGCCGGTAGCGGCGGTGGCTGGCGCCGCCGGGAGAGCGGCTCGATAGCCCTGGCGCGAGCTCTGCATGATGTCGTGACTATGCCGGCGCCGCCGGCGCCAGCCTGGCACCCAGGTACGGTGTACGGCATATGGAAGGGGTCATGTAAGGGAGGGGTCATGGAACAGCAGAGGAAGGAAAGGGCCAACGGTGGATTTCGTACCGGTGGTTCGACGACTATACGGGCTGTACGACCTTGCTTAAAACATGGTGACTGCCGCGGTGTTGGCGATGGTGGTATTACGTCTCGCGCAGGCATGGATGGCGGCGACGACAATGATGACGGCGAAGACAATGGCGGCAGCTTTGACGCCGAACACCCTTACCCGCTGTACGACCGGGAAAGGAATAACGATGATGACGGGCGGATGATGAGGCCCGGCCGTCGCGGCGGCGGTGGCGTGCCTAGTGCCCGTGTAGACGCGGAGCGACGTGTGGCGGCTCTGCTCCGTCACCTGACCCGTGGGTCAGTGGTGGACCTGGGTCGCCGTAACGCACTGCTGCGTGGCGTAATGCAGGCGTTTCGTGAAGGAGCTCTGGGGCGCTACACCCTGGACGATGTGGGGGCGGGGGACGCTGTACGGAGGTAGGGGCTGTAGCGGGTTCCGGATCATGGCGCAACGAAGATGCGAAGGAAACCTGCGAAGTTCAAAGTACCAGCCGCCGTTGTAGGGGGGTTTAGGCAGTATAGAAATGGGATTTGCTGTTCTTACTCAACGGTGAGAGGGGGAGAGAAAATCCCGCCGGGAGTATGGGGGGAGGTCTGGCATGGTGTGACATATGTGACATATGTGACATACCGACATACTGTGTTTGTGCTTGTGCTTGTATTCGTGTTGCAGTGTAGTACGCACGCATACACACACATGCTCGTACAGCGGGCAGATATGACAGGACACTACATAATGCTGTAATGTGCCGCGATTGCGCCGCCTTTTGGTTGTAACTTCTTCAGCTTGTAACTTCTTGGCTTATTTCCTCCTTTCTCTCCTCCCTCCGCGTCGTGTTGATGTCCTCCCCTTCCTTCCTTCCTCCCTCACACCCTGGGACTGCAGATCCCATGGCACAACCGCACAACCGCACTAAGCAGAACGGTGCAGAGGGCCTCTTGGGCTCATCCACGAGGCAGCTAATCAACGACGTGTGAAGTTGCAGCTTACCAGCTGGCCATGTGCCGGACCGGCTGCGGCTAAAATGAAAGGATCGAGACAACACCGGTAGTACCAGAGGACTTGGAAGCGCGGTGCCCTGCCGCATCCATCAGCCGTTCCAGCTGCCCCGCGAACAGCATATACCCTATGACCCCGGGTACCCCGGGTACCACGAATCGGTAACCGGAGGGTCACCCTGCCGATAGGCTACCCCTATGAATCGGTTACCGGCCGGGATAAAACTCGGTGGACTGTAATGGACTGTAATGGAAAGTTCCTAACCATGCGTAAGAAGTACCTTGCCTTGTCTACCTCCTGGTTTAGTGAAGCGACCAGATCTGCTGCCTGCTGAGCTGCTGCTGTGTGCTGCAAGCCTGCCGACCAGCTGCTGGTCGATGGCTAGGAGGCAGTTGTGCTTTCTCTACATTTGTCGCCAAGTGCTCTATGGAGGTCATTCGAATTATCCTTTTGCTTGTCACCAGCAGTCGGTAACCCTACCAGAAGAAGCTTCCGCAGGTCCCGGAGTGATGGTTACGTGTATAGTTAAATACACGTCCCGGGCGGGAACATGCACGCGGTTGAAGGTATATATATATACCCCCTATTTCGCACAATCACAACACACACAGAAATACGTACATACATTCGCTCCCAGAAGCTGCTGCAACAAGTACAACACACCACAGCACCTAAAGAGCTGTGGTCAGTCGCCACCAGTGTGGGCCACCAGCCAACACAGTCTCGTGCCAAGGAACCTGCCCTCGTATGGAACCTTCTCCTACCCTCCTACGTATGCACACACACGCCCGTTACATACACATATACAGATACGCATACACACACCCGCCCGTTCCCTGGCGCAGGTGCGTTCGTAGCACTCTGTCCCACACCGTAACGGACTTTGGCGGTAGAGCTTCCGGGGCCCACCCACCCCTCAACTGCACTCGCACACCACTCGGATCGGATTTTGTATCATCCTCCACCTTTTTCACCTTCACCTCACCTCACCTCACCTCGCTTCTCATCTCGCCTCACCTCAACCCTCAACCCGGCTCGACCCCACACTATCATCATCACCATCACCATCATTGGTCAGTGGTCAGTGGTACGTCTACTACAAATCGATGACGTCACTGCCGTAATTTGTGACGCTACGAAGACCTCCCTGGACAGGCAACGATTGTATTCATCCAACAACATACTTGGCAAATGCTGTTGCGTACAGTACGGTACGGCAATGTACTACATCCACCGCACGGCACTACTAAAATCGCAGTTACGAATGTATTATTGTTGCACTGCACTCCAGATGTCATTCTTCATGTACAATGTTTCTTCCGGACCGTTCTTCCAAAAGCGAAATGCTTTCCATCCGCCCTCCTGCCTTAGGAACCCACCTCACCATAGCCATAGCATCTAGGGCCCATACACCCCCTTTTCAGCCTCTCCGCAGCCATACGACAATATCATGGGGCCGCAGTAAATATTCTCTCGAGGCATGCGGATGCCTACGACCGTTACGGCAAAACCCTACAGCCCTTCTCAACCCCTCTTGCCCCCGGGGGCCCCCTGCATCACGATCGGGAATTCCCGCTGGTGCTCGTGAAGCCAAACGTACGCCATGTACGACGCCCGTATGGCGGACACAAACGGCGCGGTCTCACATGGCCACGGGTCCTGCCAGTCGTACTGTACGGCAGGCAGCGGGCGCGGCGGCGATGCCACGCGGATGACCTTAGCCTCGATGTACGGATAAAAGTCCGCAGCGGGGGAGCGGGGGAGTGGTACCCGGTTCAGCTGGCCGGCGGCTTGGGTGTCGCGGAACGCGGCCAGGAAAGACGGGTCTTCGACGGGGCGGCGGCCGCCGATGGTTGCAGCGGCCGCCGCCGCCGCCAGCGCCGCGGCTGCTGCGCGGTCAAGTGCAGCGTTTGCAGTGGCGACGTAGTCGTGGACCTCATTCGCGCATAAGGCCTCCAGTGGAGGATGTCGGTCCAGAGGAAGTCCGGAATCTACAGCCTGAAGGGGATAGGGAGAATCTGCGTTTTAGGGTTTCAGATTTGGAATGTTTCGCGAAAGACCCGAACGGACGGAGAGACTGGGGGGGAAGTGCGGCAAGATGTGAGGTGTACGGACCTTTAGGTAGTCGTACAGCTCGTCCAAGGGACACGCGCCGTCGCCACGTTCCTGTTCGCTACCGTCGCCGCCAAGCAACTGCGGCGGAGGCAGCGGCTCCTCCCGCGGACGTGGCGGCCGCCGCCATCGCCGCACCCGACACGTGCCGTTGCCGCGGCCGTCGCAGCCAACGCCGCCGCCACCTGGCTCATGTTCATCCCCGCCGCCGCCGCCCCCGCCCCCGCTCCAGTTCCGCTGTCGCAACCATGTCCATAGCCCTTGAGCTTGCCCGGGCGCCTTACTGCTCGCCTCGGGCGTAATCCCATCAGAAGGTAATGCCGCAGCCGCCGGTGGGCCGCCCCTGCCGCCGAACCCGCCGCCGCCCCCACCGCCGGCCCAATCCAACCCCGCTGATCCCGAGGCCTTCACAATCTCGACCGCGGATTCCGGAACGCAATAGTCCCACGGGACACCGCGAGTGGGGCCCAGATTGTCGTGGGCAAGGAAGTACGACGCCCACCTGCAAGTGGACGAGAGTACGACAGCCCCATGTGGTGCTTGAGCGGTGGGGTGGAACCAGGCGGGTTAGTGAGATGTGGTGCGGTGAAGGATTGGAGAATGCATGGTCCCCAAACCCCTTTTCCCCCTTCCCCTCCCCTCCCCCCCCGGTCAGGTCCCTCTTCATGTTCGCAGCGCACCTCTGTGTCATTGGCGCAGTGATCAGCTGCAGCAGGGCGGGCTCTGCATCTGCACGGAGCTTGGCCATGGTTCGATGCAAGAAGGCGGCGGACACCAGACCGGTCAGGGGCGAGGGGGAGGAGGCGCAGGAGGAGGACGAGGAGGAGGGAGACGATGAGGAGGTTAGTGCGGAGGATGCTCCCGCCATTGGTTCCTCCGGCTGAGACGGCGTCGCGGCCAAACGTACGGCAGCGGCGGTCACGGGCGTGGGAGGTATGGATTGAGAACTGTTCATGGCGACAGCAGGGGACTTCGCTCGCGGGACGTCGCTGGACAGCAGCGGCGGCAGAGGCAGCGGCAGCGCTGTCGCTGGCTTTTCTGGTTCGGCGGCGGAGGCGCTGGAGGTACGGGATGCGTTGGCGCCGTGCATCTCGCCGCTAGGGCTGGACATTCCCCGTAGGTCCCCCCTGGATCGCGGATGTGCCTGAGCCGCCGGTCCTTCTCCCTGCAGCTGTGCTTGCCGCCGCTGCGGCGACTGGGGAAGGAGCGGAAGACGCGGCCGCGGGGCCGCTTTTGCCTTCAGCAGGTGCGTTAGCGGCTGTGGTCGCATCGGTAGCTGCGAGCCTGCCATCGGCGCGGCCGCGGCAGTAGTTCCCGTAGCAATGGTGCTATAGCTGCTGCTACCAACTGATTCTTCGCCGCCACCGCCACCGCCACCACCGCTGCCGCCACCACCGCCGCCGCCACCACCGCCGCCGCCGCCGCCGCCGCCATCAGCAGTCTGAGCAGTATCGGTGCTAAGGTGGTGCCGCCGACGCCACCGGCTGCCGACGGTTGCCGGAGTCTCGCCGGGCCCAGCGGCGCCGCCGCTGATGCACCCTGCCGTACTTACATTGTCTGTATCGTCCATGCCGTACACGTACGGCACGTCTTCCAGGTGTTGTACAAAGCCGCCCAAGAGCCAGCCTGGGCCCCGCTGGCTGGTGGCCTTGGTGAGCAGTTTGTCCGGCGACCAGAGGAGGTAGGCAGCTGCGGAGGAGCAGTTAATTAGTTGGTCCGTTAGTTTAGTTGGTTTGTTAGCTAACAGAGTAAACTAACTGTTAGCTGATTGATAAAGGAAAGAAAAAAGCGACACCGCAGTACGTCCTCGCAAAACTCGTCCAGGTCGTCGTCAATGCTTACAACGTAAATCGCAGTCCCATCACAAGGAGATTCAAAGTACGGCACACGGGCACGTGTACGCCCGAGCCCTCCCTACCTACCTGCGCCCCGGGAAGTACCTTCCCGCCCTCCCCTACCCCTGCTAAGACATCCCCCCATATCCTTCCCCTCCCCTCCCCCCACCACCTAACCCCCCCCCCGCCCTCACATGGTGGCGCGGAGACCTGGTTGTAGCAGTGCGCCTTACCCACCGCCGCGAAGGCCAGGGAGAAGGAGTCCTTGTCGCCCCAGAGCAGAAACCGGTTGGCGGTGGGATGACGGTTGATCATGAGGAGAGCCTGCCGGGGACAGCGGCGTGGAGTGGCCGGCGCCTTTCTTGTGCTTATGTATGTATGTATGTATGTATGTATGTATGTATGTATGTATGTATGTATGTGTGTGTCTGTTCACGAACACTGCAGATGTATGTGCGCTTTTTTGTGTTTGTTCAAGGACGGGGTTGTGTGCACACATGTTGCCGTACAGGCAGGGGTTGAGCGGTTGCGCGGATAACACTCAGTGCAAGCAGTGTAAAGGTGTGAGACTGGGAAGGCGGGGGAGGGCCCGCAGGTAAAACCCACATGCCGTACCTCCAGTACGTCCAGGTGACGAGCTCGGTCAAACAGCAACTGACCGCTTTCCGCGTCGCGGCGACCGAAACCCAGGCCTTGGGACAGCACACGCTGTCGCGGGGGGTGGGACCCGAGGCGGGACGAGGGGTAGATGGGGAGGGAGGCGGGGCGGGGAGTACCGAGGGCGGCCTTATGAGCGGGAAATTGGCCGCTCCAACGCAAGGGGGCCCGGAAGCAATCCACGAAGCGGTACGGGAGGTTACCGTACATATGAAGGACAGACGGGGGACTTACCTACCTGGGCTTTGCCGTAATCAATGCCGTACAAGCCGTACACTGAGGAATGCGCCTGGGCTGTCCATGCATCGGGCCAGAAGAGGCTGCTCGGGTGGGGCGGAGTTGGTGGGTTGGGAGTTGGAGTCCACCACATGCAAGGGTCGCCAAGTGTTGGAAAGAGATTCGTAAGTCGACTGCTGGTATCGGCCGTTGCTAAATTATTGGAGCTGTGTGTGCGCCGTTGCTAAATTAATGATAACATTAACAGTACCTAAGTAAAGAGAGGAATCGTAGGCCCGCACACTGTCACGTTGTTCGAAACGAGTCGCGAGTAGTGGGGGGTGTCGGGGGCCCAATACCCGGGAGGGGAACCACCCGGATGATGGAGTATCAACACGCACCCGGTGGGGGGGGACCACACCCGGGGCGGCACATGACACGGGTCGTATAAGCGCTCAGTGGTGGCATATGCACCCATGGGGGCCTCGTACACCACGCGCCGTACCTGCCGTGCTTTACAAATCGTGGATCTTCGAAGAGTGTTTCCGGATTCTTCAGCGGCAGTGAGTCCGCGTCCAACATGAGAACCTGCTTGCCGTGTGGGTAGGGGTTGGGGTTTGAGGCTGAGGGGTTGGAGGATGGGTAGCGATAAAATATTACATGTACGGCATTGTGCATCGAGAGACACCTTGGTGTAGTTGGTTATCACACCTGTCTAACACACAGGAGGTCGCCAGTTCAATCCTGGCAGGTGTCATCTATATATTCAACGTATGGTACAGTTCTCGATAAGTTCTAAGGATTTTGGGACAGTCATAATTCTTCCCAGGCACGTGGTATATAATCCTTGATGGACGAAATTCATCTGGGTCCGCTTCCATTTGACAGACGACCAGGAAGGAAGTTGGGCCACCGATCGTCTGATCCAGTCTGATGTCGGTTGTGGGTCCTGAACCTGAGTGATCCACTGAGAAGATGGCTAGGGTGACTGGATGAGGGTGCCCCGATATGCCAAGGCAGGCAGGGTTTCGCAGGGTAGCGGCCACAGGGTGAAGATCTGACTCCCCTATCCCACACATCATACATACATACATACACGCCGTAAAGGGAAGGTTGTGTGAGGAACATGTCCGTGTCTAGTATGCCGCTGTACGGTAAGTCCTGCTTTGGTGTCCGCTACGTTGCCGTCCAGTCGGTACGCTAAACTGCCTTCTGCCGTACACCTCCTGCCCGCTAGGGCGGACCTTTCTCTCCGGTACCCTAAGTAGCGAGCGAGTTCCAGTTCCAACCACACACTAAAAAACAAATTGCTTTTATTGTTACTGTCACTGTTATTGACTTAGGTTTGGTTACCGGCTTGGGAGGCCGGAGAGATGGCCACGTGGGGGGCGCACGTGTGCGTGTGGTGCGGGCGAGTGGGGGGACGGTACGAGGGGGAGAGCGCGCGGACAGAGATATCTCGATGGGTCCATCAACGCCCAAATCCACAGGAACTTACACCCCCTCCCTCCCTCCCGCGCCCGCCTCCCCTCCCCTCCCCTCTCCTCCTCCTCCTCCTCCGTCCGCAGCACCGCACTGCAAACCGGAACCGACCTCTCGGAAGCTGCAGAGCGCCAGGGCGTACACCTTCCCGCTGTACGACGTCGGCTGGAAGCTGCAGTACAGGTCACGTACGGCAGGGTGTGCAGGGTGTGGGTGAAATGGCGACACCCCCCCCTCGGGTTGGCGGTTGACGGAGCGCGCAGACGCTCACTTGAAACCCTAAGAAAACCCTAAAACCCTTTTGAGTTGATATAATCTTTTCACCTCCCCCCCACCTCTCCACGCCACTCTCTCTCACAATCATACACACACACACGCAAAAGAACAGACACACAGACAAACACACAGACACACTCCTCCCACTCTCGCACTCCTCCGTACGCTACGGAAGACCCCCAAGAACAGCAGCGGCCGCACCTGGCGCTATGCAGCTCCGGAACCGGGTGAGGGGCCGCTCGTACGTCGAAACCCCAAATGGGAGCAAAATGTCGCTCCAGGGAGGCCCACGTGACGTTGTCCATTTCTTCCGGGCCCTATGGCGGGAACGGAGGGAAAAACGGAGGGTAGGTTGCTTCAGATGACACAGTCACAGGCGGGCGCGTGTATGCGCGTGTATGCGTGTGCATGTATGTATGCATGCATGTATGCATGTGTATATGTTCTTGTGCTTCACCTCCCGCGGCCTCTCCCCCTCCTGGCTTCCGTACTCCCCATGTGATACCCCGGCCCTAGTCATCCTCCTTTCCCCCGCCCCCCCCCGCCCCCCCCGCCGTACCTCTTACCCCACCTGCCGTACGATCTATCCCACCTGCCAGGCTACCTCCACAGGCAGCTTACAGCCCCAATGGTGTCGTACAACGTGGAGCGTTACGATGAGGTTGGCGGTGTAGCGGGCGCCACCCGCGCTGATCAGGATTCCCCGGGACACCGATGTGGGGGGGGAGGTGGGGGGGGAGGAGGAGGGCCGGGCGATGGAGGCGGCCCGAGCCTGGGGCCCCGGGCGGGGATAACGATATAAACAGAAAAACTTTACCCAAAGCATGTATCCGCTCATAAACGACAGTCCACGGCAACTTCGCCGCCGAGTAAATTCTACTGCCAAAGCAGGGTGGGATACCATATGATGCCGTTACCGACAGAGCAAGGGCTCCGTAGTCCAGTCTGAGTGCGTGCGTGCGTGTCTGTGTGTGTGTGTATAGATGTATACAGGCACGTATAAAATGCAAAGGAAGATGTACGGCAGAAAGTCGTCCTAGGTCAACATAAAAACTGAAACCGCCTCTCTACATTCGCCTAAAGTGCGTCCCCTCCCCTCTTCCCTCCCCGAAAACCCATCTTTATCCATGTACGGCAACAACTTTGCGCTCACCCTGTACTGCGGGCTCCGTACATATCGCACGATGCGCTGTCGGTAGGCCTCCAGCTCTTCATTGTTCCGTACAGCGCCCAAAAAGGACCCCACACGCCGACATTGCTGTCGCCGTACATCGCCCGGGCCCCCCGTAACTGCCGCATGCTTCATGGCTCTACTGCCACCGCCGCCGCCGCCGCCGCCGCCGCCGCCGCTGGAGCTCAGGTCCCCTGGCGGCGCCGTCAGCCAGTCCCGCCAGTACGGATCCTCACCCGCTAGCTCCAGATCGGGCGCGTCCGCCAAAAAGTCCGATGCAGAAAAGGCGGCGCAGCGGCGGCAGGAGTCAAGTACGACTGCATCTGGGCCGTCTGGCGGGCCGGCAAGTGCGGGCAGCTGGGCCGAATTTCGTCTGGCGCCGACGGCGGCGGCGACATGTCCGGCGGACGAATGCAGTAGCAGCGCCTGGAACAGGGATGTGTGCGTGCGGGCTTGGGAGGTCGCAGTTGCGGCGACGGCGGCTGCGGCAGCGGCGGCGGCGGCGGCGCTGCGGCGCTGGCTGACGTCCTGCGTGATGCCCCCTGGTTCTGTGCCCTCCGGAGCTGTGTGTGGGGTTGGGCCTGCCGTGTGCTGTGCGATTCGGAGGTGGCCTGCGGGTTGCGCGGTTGAGTGGTTTCACGGCGGGCGAGTCAATTGCATTAGATGCCGGGTCAAGCCCGTCACGCCGGGCTGCGTTCGGTAAAAGTGCGTAGTGCAGCTGGTGTTGACTGGTGTGATGAATTCCTCGGGGCGTGTGAGGCCGTTCGTTATTCTAGCAACAAACAGTGCTAGGAACTGATAAATGAGGATGCCAGCCAAATGAAGGTAAACTTTAGAAACATTGGACAGCAGCGGCGGTTAAATTGGATACTCGCCGCGCGCCAAGTTGTGTGGCTCTGGACGTTCCGGGAATCTGGGGCTTTGTTGGTCTGTCGCGCTTGAAAATCGATGATGGCCCGACACCCAAAACGTAGCTGCCGTTACAGCTGTTAAGGATATAATAAAAACAGTCGTTATCGTTATGCTGTGCTTCTGACTACGTGCCCGAGTGTCGATGTGTGTCTGGCCGCGAGCGTTCGGTGAGCCGCGCCGACGGCCTAACGGTCCGTTCGTAGATGGCGAAAGCATACTTGCAAACAATATAAGAGATGGGAAAAATATAATCCATAGAAATTGATCTCTATATCGTTCAGCATGGAAGTGGCCTATGCCAGGTGAGTGTCATGGGAAGTTTGGTGAATTTGGCGGTGATGCATAACCCGTCGTACCAAACGGCCGTGCTAGGAATTTCTAATCGCTTAAAACGATCCAAAGCCTATGTTAGCTCATCCATTGGTTCGCCAGCGGTTCGCTGCCTGCCGGGGCCTCTGATAGCGGATACCATGTATATTCAAACCCTATGCGCTCCATGTAAAAACATCTCTCGTGCCGGAACAGCTGATCTGGAGCCGGAATTTTAGAGTCCCGCTTAAAAAAATTTGTTTCCAAGCGGCCATAGCCGCGTTCAAAGGAGAGATGAGCGCGGAGGGACTGGGCGTTACGCGCTCGTCCCTTCCCATTCGTTTGCATAGGCTCGGGTAGTCTGTTTCGTCCCGGCTTTACATTAGCAGCAGGTTCTATTCGCAGCAAACGTAGTTGAAGCTCGCAGGTGCGCACAGGGCCGCCGCCTCCTGCTGCCCTTAGGCAATTTTTCTGTTATCCGTAGCAACGGTGGAACGACTTAGGTGGAGTTGGCCGAAGTCCGGTGACTCATCCTGTGGGAGATGCATAAGGGGACGGCCATAACAGCTGATGTTGGCGTTGGTGCCTTTTGCGGTGAACATGGGGAAAAGTGCGCGAGTGAAAGCCGCATAGGGAGGGGCAGAAAAAGGGAAAGGGGAGATCGAGAATACAGTCCGACCCCGCCGCCCCACGTTCTTTGCGGTAACGAAGCGCCCAATTGCCCGAAGCTGACAAAGCGCGCTTTGTGACGACACGACGGCTGGAAGTGGAACTCGTTCAGCTAGGGAACCATCTTCCCAATTACACCGATGTTTTCAATTGCCTGATGTGAAGGGGTCTGCGCGAAGAGGTATGCCACGGCGGCATTCCCAAAGCATCTGGGAGCAACAGCATATTGAAAAGGCAGTACGCGTTGCCCGCGCAAAAGCTGCAAGCACTGGTGTTGTTAAAGAGACTCCTAAGGCTCCGAGTGTCCAACACTAAGTGCTATCAATAAAGCAGCTTCTATCAGGCAGACATACAAGAGATGGGTCCGCTCGGACCCAGCTCCGCCCGCATCCTGCGTGTTGTGATGCATAACGCAGCCTTGAGGTATAATTTCGCGCTTGACGTGCTATGATGACCCGGTGATAGACACATCACACGCAGACTTGTCCACGCACACACCCTCCTCCCGCTTGTTTCTCACTGTTTGTCCGCATGAACCCGGTCCTGCAATCAACGTGAGGAGACAGCGCGGTCCTGCTACTGCTGCTGTTATTGATGAAGGTGAGTACCTCCAAGAGCTGCGATGACTGGCACTTGACCTAGGCGAATCGCTTGCAAATGTGTGTAAGGTCAGGACCCGGCGGTGATGCCAAAGGAAGGATCCCGCACAGAGGTGCAAGGTGTGGCGGAGGCGAAGCCAATATGACGGCGGTGGCCGTGAATGAGATTGTAGGGATGGTTAAGAGAGTCTGTGCTTTCGATCCGCCCCCATAGAGACTATTTCCAGGTGGCTTCGGGTTTTGATAGCAGTCTGGCTGATTCGATAGTTCGACATAATTTTCCTGTTCGAGCAACAGCATGTTAGGTGTTCATCATCCATTTTCACGGTGTTTATCTATTTCGGACAGCCTTCGGGCCTACGACCTTTGGGGCCCCGGCTCGTTATGGGCCCCAAAACTACATCTACGGAGAATAACGCAACTCCAGAAAGTCTATTGCGCGCGCACACGCACATGCACACATACACTCACATACACACACACACACACACACACACACACACACACACACACACACACACACACACACACACACACACACACACACACGCACACGCACGCACGCACGCACACACACACCGTGGCTGTTCTCCTATCAGGAACCCGCAACTAAGCCCACGAGCCATCTGCTGCTAGCGGACGTTTGGGCGTTTGGTTTGGGGCTTGATGAGGTGTCGGTGATAGCGAGCGGTGGAGTGCAAGGTGCAATAATACTTTATAAGTTAGTGCACGCAAAATTGAAAAAAGATACGACACATACGAAAGGGTGTCCGTTGAGAGAGCCGCCCCAAGCAATAGTTGCTGCAAGGAGCCTAGCATCCTAGAGTCCTACAAACTGCGAGAAGTGCACTTGCATACAATTACACTTATGTTGCGTGACGGATCAAGGAAGTCAGGCCTAAGCGCGTACAGATCCCTCCGTCGCTGATCTCGTAAAGTCGTAAGCGACGACGGTAGCAACGGTAAGCGGCGACGGTCGTAGCGTGGCGAGTTGTAACAGTAACAGTAATAATAGGACCAAGATATATGAAAATTTAGTTGGTGTAGTTTAACTGCATCACATCCCTGTGCCTGGTCCTCCGGTCCTCCTACCCTGACCTTACCCAGAACAGCCCACAGCTAGATGCCGGGGAACCTCGATCATAATAGTATAACATCTCACATCCTGGGGAGCTAAAGCCCTCCTTGCGCTTAACCAGCAATCCCCCGTAGGCTGGTTACAAAAAACATACACCTCATCCTTCACCAAGGTACACACGGCGCGTTCACAGCCATTCGTCCTGGAACTCAACGACCGCCTAACCTAAAACTCATAATGGTGGTCCACCTATTATGCTCAACTGGTCTTGCCTTGCTTTGTCTTGGCGAATTATGCCATAAAGAACTGTCGCACGGGTTTTCGTATATACTGTACGCTCAAGACGTCATTACAGACTTTCAATGCTGTTGCATGTTCTTTTGTATTAAGTTGGCTAGAAATGCTGATGCAGCGTAAGCTTAAGCTAACGTTTGAAGGGTCATTTCACAACGGCATTTTGAATTCCGATGATGCGGCTCTTACGGGGCCATATGTTACAGTTTTCGACAGTTGTGCAAGCAACATTTCTTTCTCTTTTAAGCTGTGGCTGTATGGTTGCCGCGGAACCGGCAGGCTTAAGAGAGCCAGCACACCTTTACGACCTTAGTGACCTGGCTGTTACATTTGCAGTGGATGCGAAGAACGCACCCCTGGTTGTTGCATCACGGGCATGGCGGGCTGGCTTGCGGACCCATGTCATGGTGGACCAGGGTTTGGATGTTAACACCTTGCGGGTCTTGGGTGAGTAAATACTTGCACACACGTGCGTTTGCACCTGCACGCTGGAGAATGCATATGCTCACCTGACCACCACAACCCGTCTTAATCCAAACCCCAAAGCCAGCGAAATGACCGTATCCTCATTCTCCAAGCGGCGAACACGATCTCTCCGCCGTGCCTTAACTAAATTCAATACCCAAAGCAGCCAAATTCAGATCTCTGTCGCGATGACCAAGAGGGAAGCTCATGAGGACACACGTCAACCATGACAACGATAACCAGCTTCCAACCCCCAGTTCCTGACCCAATGGACAACTAGACGCTCCTAAACCCCACCTGCCCTCCCAGCACCCACTGATTACCCGCCTGCCCGGTTGCCTCTGGCAGGAGCTCCCTACGGCGAAAGCTTCACAGCATTGCCCAATTTCCCAGGCCATCCCGCTACACTGCGCCAAGCCCTGGCCCCAGTCTTTGCCTTCGAGGAAATGCACGGCCAATTCAAGTGGTTGCTCGTGGGGGATGCTGACACGGTGTTCGTGCCCCGCGCCGTCCTGAACCTGCTCAACAGTCTGGGACTGCCTGCTGATGAGCCCCACATGCTGAGCGATTTTTTGGTGGAGTGCGAGCTTTTGCAGTGCAAGCCGGGGCATTGCCCTTGTTCAGCACCCAAGCGAGGTGAGGCCGGTGATGTGGCATGACACGTCTTCCCATCCTACTACAACTGCTTCTGACCATGTGCCAATGTCCCCCTGCTTTCTCGCCGCTGCTCCCGATGTGGGCTGGGCATTCCATGAACCTGTGAGCCTGTGAGCCCTCATTGTACATCTTGCAGCTTACTCATGATGACGATGACAATGATCCTGATAACGAAGACGGCCATGATGATGATGATGATGATGATGATGATGATGGTGGTGGTCGCGATTGCATTACTGCTACTACCCATGTCGCTGTGCAGTGGATCCGAGGTGCCTGCCGTGTGCCGAGGCGGGGGCCGCCCGGCTGTGCCCCTGCAGGTTACCGGAGCCGTGCAGCAGACCGAGATCCAACACCACGGCCGCATTCCCGGAAGAGTGTCCTGTACAGGAGGAGGTGTCAGCGTACGGCGGCGCGGGCATTATTTACAGTGTGGGGCTGATGCGGGAGTTGATGGCTGATCCGCAGTTTTACGCTGCGGAGGCTCTTAGGACGCTGGTGGACCATAGACCGTACTCAGGCAAGTATATGCGCGTGCTTATTATCGGCTCGCGCTACCGGGGGGGGGCAAGGCGTTGGTTTGGGGCAAGATGTTACCCCGATGTTCTCTCAATGCTCTCTCCCCCTTTGTGTCAGCCCCGTTGCGACATTCCGAACCTTCCCTGTGTTGCCCTGTGCTCGCTTCCCGGTTGCCGAACCTGCAACGGTTTGGGTGTGCAGATGTTGCGCTAGCAGAGCTGGCCCGGCTAAAAGGTTACGGGTTTACGAGGCTGCCGAGCCTGTTGCCAACTGCGAACGGCCCGGCATGGAGTAAGAGCTATTTCGCGTCTTTATCGTATTACAACGACCGACGGTCGCCACGGGAACAACTGACAGAGTTGGTGGAGGCGGCGAAGAACAATCGGGACTTGTTACGTCAGATGGTTTCATTCCATGTGCGGCAGTGGAATGCACCGGACTTTGGCTCGGATGTACTGCCGCCGTATAGGTCGATTGTACAGTTGTTGATGCGATTGGTCACCAAGCGCAAAATGTCGTCGGGGGACTTGTAGTTCCTTGTAGCTCGCAGATGACATGAGATGGCTGTGGGGGTGTAAGGAGGGTTGACGGCTCGTATGGGGACGGGAGGGGTCTGTGCTACTCCTTAGGTGATCACGTCATGAAGGAGCGAGTGAAAGGCTATCATTGCTTTTTCATTTGTACTGGGATAAGAAAAAATTGAACATTTGCATGCAATGATTTGTGCACTAACGTATAGGGCTGGCTGTAAGGGGGCATGGCCTTGTCCTGGGAGGCTACTGTCCAGTGACGATCGCAGGGCCGGGTTGTACTCGTTGCTTTTTGGTTGTCAGATGGTCTCCCGGTGGCGGCGGGACGGGGGGAAAGGAAAGGTAGGTGGCAGAAGGAAGGCAGTGCTTGGGGAAGGTAATTGTGAACCGTGTAACCGTCCACGTGAAGAAATAATCCACATTGGCACATTGTTGCAAATGAATGTAGCCGTTTTTTTGTGTGGACAGATGAGCTGTGGTGGAGTTTGGTTGTGCTAGGGAACTTCACCTGGGAGAGTACTACTTGTGGTGAGAAAGATACTCAGTTTTGCCGTACTCGCCACAAGTACGGCAATTACGTGTCTTTCTTCTTCTGCCCGAACTTGAGTTACTGGTAAAGCACAATCGACAATATGATATTCCCTTCCACAGCCTTCACACGTTTGCAACACAGAAAGCACGATGCTATAATACAGTCTGTTCCCCCTGGCCATGTTGAACACACAACATTAAAACACGACATGTGAACATGTATTGTATGTGAACAAGCATCGCCGCCAAAACAATGAACACCGAAACAACATGAAGAAATTATGAGGAACGCAATATACACAGTGAGCTACCGGGACGCACGATGGTGAAACGCTGGGTGGGCAAACGGTTGGCACCATGGCAGGGCGACACGCGAGTTCGTTTCTCTTTCTACGGCGCAGGTACTAAACCGCCACGCCACACAGCCTACGAAGACCACCGCATCTCCCCCTGCATTATCATGACGTCTTCTGTACGACAGCAATCTTCCCTCGTGACAACATCATCTTCGCCCGCGTCAAAGACTTCTCCCTATTGAAGGTACAGCTACAACGGACTGACTTCCAATCCTCCTGTGAGCGCCACCTAAATGCGGACGGACAAACAGACTAGGAGGACGCAGGCCCGGGTTGATGCAGATCGATGTCATCTTCTGTCCTAAATAGTCAATTCCTAGGTTTTAGTCCCATCCCCCCGATACTTCATACACATACCTCCGCTTGCCCCGTCCAGGTCGGGAACGCTCGTCTCGGTGCAGCTGCGTTACGTCACCGTCGAGGGCAGAACAAATTTCACCTCGTGTCTTGCTAAGAGTGGCTCACCTACCCCTAATAAGCTCTCATCTCTCAAAGGCAGAACCTACGGCCGTGCCTTCGTGCTGGCCCCCTACGCTGTCTCCCCCTGCACAGCGCTCCTCGCCAGCTGAACAAGAGGCCAATCAACTCCCAACCACTACACGCAGGACATCACCGTCCCCTCTCGCACCTGTCATAGTCCTGTCACTGTGCTGTACATTTCACAACCATATTCCACGACACGCTGACCCTGTGCGTCCGCCCCGCATCGTACCCTCCACAGTGCGCTCACTCACCGACCTCAGGCAATCACCAATGCAACAACTGACCCACCCCGCAGCGCCCTGTCGCAGCTTCCGCAACAAAACAACACGCCTTTCAGAAAACCCCTCTCTCCTTCATACCGCGAGGTACAGGCACCAGCAGAGGCGGGGCCGACGCGTCCTCACTGCCGTACGTATTTCCCTCTTGACATCTACGCGGGGGTAGGTGCGGGTGCTGTATCGCACACTCGTCCATCCAGCCAGCCAATATCCGTTTTGCCTTAGTCCTCTTTCACAGGCCATCACCCTGACCCTTACCCTTACCCCAGCCCTGCGCGAACGGCCACATGCCCCGAAAGATTTAGCTCACGCATGCGGTTCCGTGTCCCTATTGTGCCTGTTGAGCAAGTGCCGCTTCACGCGCGGTGCAGCTCGCCTCCACGGCAGCGAAGCACTTGGGTCTGTGGAGCAAAACAACCAAGCAAGCTGCCGCCGCTCATGGCAACCCGCTGGCTCTGGACTACACAGGCGGGCTGCACGGGGACTACTCGGACGTGACGCTACACCACCTGAACACATCCCAAACGCCCAACCCACCACAAGCAGCAAACCAACGAGCAACTGCCACAGCCATGTATTGCCTACCGCGCCGACATCCCCTCCTGTCCTTTCAACCTATTCATCCACCCATCAGTCAATCATGGATGCCTCCAAACCGTTCACCTGCCCTGTATTTCATCCCTCACAAACAATAACCGTAAACATCTCGGCTCAGATGCTCTCTCTCGACCACCTGCCGTGCAACCAAATTCCACTCGGCGGCCCAACCCCGGTCCAGAGCGGCCAAGCCCGAAGCGGCAGGAGTTCTTAAGGGCTCCCTGCCGCCCCTGGATGTTTCCCCGCCACGTGACCGGCGCTCCCGCCGGCTGCAAACAGTTAGTCTAGAAGGCGAATGAGAGAGAGAGAGGCGAAGAGGGCAACTCCATACACCATCGAGCATAAACCACATCTCCAAACGGCTCCGAAACCAGCTTCGAACCAATATTCAATTTTTCAACCAAGCCTCCTAACAGAACGTATACGAGGATACGACCCTAAGCCCTGCTGCCGGCTCCTACGCTTCCCTTCAACTCCCCAGTCCGTCCGTCCAGGGAAGTGGAAAGCTGCGAGGATGGCATAGGAGAGGCAGCTTCAGTGAAGGAAGAAGTCCGCCGACGCGTGTGTGGTGGCAGTGGGGACCTGCCCGCAGCTGCCGCTGTCCTCTACGCAAGCCCCAAACACAGCCCCTACCCTGAGCACCCCTCGTCACTGCTACCGGCTGTCAAGTACTCAGCCATCAGTTCCTTTTAGCTCCCGGCAACTAGTTGATGGCTACCCACCAGCTTCAGCTGCGAGCCCGGGTCGGCTCTACCTGGCGTTACTTGGGGCTGCGATACCGGTACTGCAGCCAAGGGTGCTTGAGCGCCTGCGCCGCCGTGGGGCGCTTGGCAGGGTCGGGCACCAGCAGGTGGCGAATGAAGTGCAGCATGCCCCGGTCGGCAGAGGCCACTCGGGCCTGCAGGGTGGTGCGCTTGGGGACCAGCAGCTGGGAGACGTCCGCGGGGGAAAGGGCCGGTGTGGTGCAAGGTGTGGGAGAAACACACCGCAGAGGAGACGACAGCGTGACGTGCGTCGGAAGGGGGGAAAAGGGAGGAAAAAGAAGAGGGGGAAAGAGGGTGGGGCGGCTGTCAGCAAAAAGGAGGTGGAAGGAGGGCTGATTGCGCGTGTATTGGGTGCATGGGGCTGATGCGAGATTTGGCCTTCTGGATATTGACGTACGGGGTGACGGGCTGAAGAGCAAGCATGGTGGTTATTCGAGCGGCTTAGGAGCAATGCGAGCGTGGGTTCTGCTATAGAGGGAGAGGACATAGCGAGGTCGACCAGGAAGAAACCAGGAAGCTACCTGCCAGGACGCACGACAATAACACACGCGGGAAGACCGCAACGAGGGAGCTTCTGACTGCGGAGCTTTCCCCTTAGGGCTCCCAAACAACTCAACAGCGCTCTGAGGAGGGTCCCCTCCTAGGGCATCCGCATTGGTATCTATCTACAATCGCGCCACCACCACCACCACCAGTACCGCACCTCAAACAGGCCCGTCTCGCCATTGCGCTCGTACACTCGGCTCGACCGCGTGAAGAACGCGCCAGCGTACTGGCCCTGCTTGAGCATGTAAGGGGGAAACTCGCCCAGCATGCCCACCATGCGAGCCATCATAGCAGCCTCACTGACGTTCTGGGGTATGGGATTAACAGCGGCAGCAGCAAGAGGAAATTCAGCTACGGGCAGTCCATGGGTGGCTGAGGTTGTGGAAGGTCGTGGCAGGGTGAAATTCTGGTGCTATATGACATTAAGGTGCCCAGGAGCCGCACACGAGCATGTACCCCCTGCTCGCGCATGCACGGTGGGCTCCGAAACCAGAGAGTCTACGGCATAATCGCTACCGCGGCTACATCCCCTTCTGCAGCATTATCACACCATATCATACCATGCTAGATCAGGAAGGAGCTCTCACCGGAAATAGCACTTGGCCCGTAGCGAGCTCCGCCATAACGCACCCCAGGGACCAAATGTCGATGCGCCCGTCGTACGGCAGGCCCAGCATGACCTGCCGTACAAATGGAGATGGTGTGGCGTTTAGAAGCTGAAACGGACGAGCTAGCCAAATGGTCACATCATTACCGATGCATCGACGCGCGTGCTGCGACTCAGTGGCACAAGACCATCCCGCCCGCCTGGCCGTATGTACTGCCTACACCACGGTCGTTGCAACAGCCCTGCCGCTGCGGCTGCCACAGTTGCAAACTTTTATAAATCCCTGGTCCCTCCCCTTTTCCACCCCGTTTACAAACCCTTCTCCTTCGACGAACTTCCATCAGACGGCCCGGCCCCAGTCCTCCGACCCCACCTCAGGTGCGCGATATGAGCGGCTCTGCACGTAGTGGCTCAGGTGGGTCTCCGAGTTGTAGATGGAGCATCCCAGGTCAATGAGCTTCACCGAGCACCTGCACGGGCCAGCCGCAAACCGGCACCAGGTCAGCGGACGGGTGGCTGGATAGGGAGGGGCCTAGCGGAAAAACACTAGGTGATAGGAGATAGTGGAGCTAACCTCCTCCCCGAAGGGAACTTCGGCAAAAGCGGGGTTCAGTCACCCTTTCGTTTCCCGATGGAATGAGGTAGGTAGACGAGCCCGTAGAGATGTACATACTCGCGCTGGGGTAGAAGTGCAGTGGCTGGCTTCTACGGACACCCTCCCGCTCTCTCCTTGATACAGTAGTGTAGCTTTTGCTTGAGAAGGCTGGTCGCGGAAGAGAGAGGTGCAGGTGTAGGCGGGGTGGTGCGGGGGGCCTGGCACTATCGCCAAGCGCTAGTGGCCGAAGTGTTCGTGCTCCTGCTCTGCACGGTCCAGGGAGTAACCAAGCACCTATATCCTTCCCACGCCATCCCCCCAAACGCCGTGCCCACTCACTTGCTGTAGTTCTTGACCAGGATGTTCTCCGGTCTGCGAAGAGACAGAGGCGGCCGCGCACAGCCAGATGGTAAAAAAGAGCAACACGAATATGCCGGATACGGTGAAAGCCATAAAACCGGGTGTTAAAACCTGATGTACTCGTACCATGTGGCTGCGCCGCCTTCAATTTTTAAGATCTGGAAAAAAATGGCCCAAGATCCGTCCACGCACATCCTCAGCTATCTCTTTCCCCCCCGCCTTACATTCCCATTCCCAGCCCGAAACCTGGATTGAACCACGGCCCGTTTCTGTACACACACACACACCCCACACACAGAGGCACAGGCACCCACCCCCATCTTCATGCCCCACCCACTTGACATCTGCGTGGATGATATGGTTGTGGTGCAGGAACGCCAGCGCCTGCAGCACCTGCTTGGCGATACTCTGCATGCGGCCCGCGGTGAAGTACGACGGGTCGTAGCACTGCGTGTCGAACAGGTTGCCACCCAGCAGCTCCACCACCAAGAACAAGTGGCCCTGCACATGGGGATGGGGGAAGGTGATAGCCACCGGCACCAGCAGGGCAGCAGGAGGGAGCAGTCAACGGCAGGGTCTGGAGGACCAGCAGCAGCAGCAACAGCGCAAGTCAGCCGCAGCGACAATGACCACGGGCAGCGGCAGTAGCAGCAGCAGGACTGTCCCAAATCCAGGACAGATACACTGGAAGACCACCTTGCGCTCGGCTGATCTAAGTTGTCTAAACCCCCCATCACCATCACCACAATGGTCGCCACGTGCTGCCCTCCTACCATGTGATAGAAGTAGTCGTATAATCGGGCAATATGGTTCTGGTCGTGCGGGTCGCGCGCATTAATCATCTGCAGCAACCGGACCTCCTCCAGGCAGGCGTCCATGCACTCCTTGTCGTTCTGCACGCACGGCACGGCAGGCACAAACGTGTACATATACACCGGCAGGCGCAAGCGGGTTGCTGACTGACTGGCACATGGGTGGACAGACAGCGGCTAGCTAGCTGCCAAGTACGGTCGGCTACGACGCGGCTTCTTTCGCTGCAATACGGCCACCTTGGCCACATCCATGGCCTATTCAGGAATGCCACCGCCCCACAAGAAAAGCCCCCAAAAGTACTGCGCAAATGCAACCCTCGCCCCACCCTGCCCTCTGCAATCCCTAACCCTGCCCAGTCCCACCCAACCCCCTTGCTCCCACCCTAAGCAACCAGTTTACCGATCTCTCGAAACAATCACCTCAGGCCCCAGCACCGCATCATCATCTCCCCTGATAATGCCCGGAGAGAGCACACCTTCACGACTTTGAGGCACACCAACCGCCGCTCCAACGTGTCATACGCTTGTACGGCTCGGCTGAATGCAGCCGCGCCAACCTGCTCCAAGATCTGGTACCTGTCCAGCAGCGGGGAGTTCGCCCGGGTGTCCAGGGGGTCAGCGGGCTCAGGTCGGCCACATGAGCACACGCCGGCCATCGGGGGTTTTTGCTGAGACCAGCCGAGACCGACCGGGGCCCCATCCTTCCACAGCGTGGCTGATTACTACCTAATGACTACCGCTACCGGTTGCTATAGCTCCATGGTCTGTAGCACCACGAACATTATAAGGTGAGTTATGGAGCTCATTCCGTCATGGGAGCGGGTAGCGCCCCATAGCTGCACGGCCCTTTGCGTCTCGCGACCTCGGCAGCAATAGACTATGCACAACAAAACGCCCATCACCCGTCAAACCGTTAATAACCCGCCAGCCGCAATACTAAACACGTGCCCAACGCTGCTTTCAGACTTACATGACAACAGCCTAGCCCATTCAACCTTCCCCCCACACATACACGCTCTCTGCGGGGCCGGCGGTAGCGCGGGCGTATGCGTGTCAAGCACTTGCCTGCCCGCAATGAGTTTCCCGGGGGACAGCTCGATCTCGTCGCCCATTGCCGCGGCCGTGGAGGCGCGCCTGCCGATGACCCGCAGCTGTATGACCTCGAAGTCCCGATCAAACGACGATTGGTCATACGCCATGGCCGGTACGCCAGGAGCCACCTTCAGCCCTGCTCGCCGCGCCACGCCGCAGTAGGCCCGACCCGTGGGTCCGCAGAGGGTTCTGACGCGTCAGGAAAGAACGAAATCTCGAAACCCAAAGTTCAATCTGCCAAATGAGTCCGTCCGTCGGCTACGCTGTATATCATTAACAAAGCAACGGCTTTCCGAACGGATTCATGGTGCTAACAGGATGGGACATCAAGCAGACAGACAGGAGCCGAGACTGGGACGCGCAAGCTCAAGTGAAGGCTGTGCGCCACAGGCTGCTGCGCTGAGTTCGCGTACATGGGGCTGCGAACTCAGCCTTCAGGCCGTCTGGTCGCGCATAGATTTCTTTCGTTACGCTGTAATCTGGCGTCGATACGCCGGGGGACCCTCTCTACTTGGCAGTTGCCTACCCTGTTACCCCCCCATGACTGCAGTCTGTCAGTCAGCGACCCACCTGACGGCTTCGATTCGGTGAGATTGGGGCGTATGTTAACGTGGAAGGACCCTCCTGCCTTGGCGGTCTCCGGGATGTGGCCCGCAGAGGAGTGTGACGTGTGCGGGAGGTCCTGCGCGCCAGGTGGGTGGGTGAGTGGTGGCACTGTATACGATTGAAGAGGAGAATTGTAGCGGGAGTCAAGCCAACTGACAACCGTTTGAAGAAAGCGCAAAACGCCACCAAGGCCCCAGCGATTATTGGGGCGGGAAACCATATCATGATAATGAAGGTAAAGATGATGCAAAAGTCAAAAAGAGACAGCTGCCGACACCCAGAGCAACATCCGCTGGGGGAGGCGGTGGTGGGAGACAACAGATCGAAAGCCAGATGATATCAGGTCAGTTAATAAAACACGTTGTCTTTGCCCTGCCGTGAACCTTGCCGTGAACAACCCACCCGCCTCAACCCCCCACGGGGACCTACCGCCAGGTGCATCCACCCACCCACCCCGCAGCCAGCTGAATTCCTTCATACTGCTGGATACCAGCCAGCCCCTGCCGTGCCGTGCCAACTTCTCCAATGGCTTGAACAACAAGCGCCAACACGCCAGCCCAGGCGCAGATCTACTCATCACCCACAACAAACCTTTGTGAACAGGAGCACCGCAACATGCTGCCACCAAACGGCAGCTGTCCCGCAGTCCCCATATCCCACCACCCAAACAACTTTGACGCGCTGCACAGCACAACCCCTGGAGTGTACCGTAGGCCCACTGATCAAGCCCAGAGCCAGGCCCAGATCCGTTCCTTGTTCCCCTGGTACTATGTTACTAACACTGTCAACTTAGCCGACGTTACCAAATCCCCAAATCTGCATGGTCCCTCACCTCATCTCCACCACTTGCCTGTATCCCCGCCGTCACCCCATTTCCATGATGGTAGTCATGCTGGTGACCGGCCTGCGCGTACTCCGAGTGATAACACGACCCATCCCCATAGCTCACAGGCTTCGAGGTGCTCTCGCCGCCGGAGTGCCTGTCCGCGACGGTGCCGCTGACGCCGCCGGCTACATCATAGCCGTCAGCTGGCCCGCGATACATCCGGCTCCCCGGATCTACCTCGTCGCCCTCCGAGTCGTCCTGCACCACATGCACCAACAGCAACAACGTACCGTTGTTTTTAATGTGTCACCATGCACCGCAAACTCACACCCTTGATTCTGTATCAGGCAGTAGGTAACCCTAGGTAACCCACAGCCCGCAGTAAAAGCTGCTGGTGCTGCTGTTGCCCACCTGCCAGGACTCCAGTGCATCACGGGGCATGGGACCGCCCTGGTCGTCTTCCACATCATATTCCACGGCCTCTGCTGGGACGAGACGGGGTGATACGACGGGCGGGGGACGGGGCGGACGGAACAATGCATAGTCACACAGGCACTTCGGATTGAACTGGCGGGAAAGCAGGACGGCCAACGTGTTATTCCCGGCTGCGCTTTTATTCCTCTCGCAATCCTCCCCTTCCTCGTCGGATAGTGGTGAAAAGGACGTGGTCCCCAAGGCATCAGCTTATCAGTCCACACGCGCTTCGGAGTTGTCGTTGTCGGGAGGTTTGCGTCAGGCTCTTGAGCCCGGCTTGCTGGCGGGTGCATCACGCGATGTGTCGCTAGCATGCGTCACAGGACGTCGAGTTTGACGCTCACCTTATCCCAAATCCCTAGCATCACCTAATCCTGTTGCGCATCAGCCAACAAGAGACCAATCCGGGGATAATGGAGTACAAATGCAAGTCTCAACGACAAAAAGGGCCATGCCACTTAACTGGCGAGTTGCAGCGGTCCAGCTGGGGGCCCCGTTACAAGCCCGGCATATGAGTTAAGGCAGAGCGTACACATCCGATAGTTTAAGCGGAACGTATATCGCCTTGAAAAAAAAGCTAAGCCAACGTATGCCCCCTGCGCACCTTGTTGAAAACTTGCAACCCGGAAGTCGTCCAGCGACGCCCCCTCCGGGAAAAGCCCCAGAGCGTGCAGCAGGTATAGGGCCTGCTCGTCCGTCAGGTCCAGTTCATTGCAAATGAAAGATGCCTGATCCTCTATGGCCACTCTCCAAAAGCCCATGTCGCTCGCATCATCATACTCGTCAACATAGGGGCCGCCGGGCGGGTACTGCAACTCCCGAGCCCTTCCAGAGTAGTCGTCCTCTACAGGACATATGGCCGTTGGGTTCCATGTACACCGGCAGCACGTATGTTGACCAACAGCTCTATTTCAAAACATTCCCCCCACGCAATACAAACTTGCATCAATCTAACACGGTCATGTCTTTATTTTGGAATGCGTTAAGCTCGCGCGGCATAGAACTGACACAGGTGCAACTTAAGGCATCCTTAATCAGTCGCCCAAAGGGCCTACCCTCCAGTGCCGCTTGCCGAACAGCGCTGGTCGCCCCTCCTGAGTACGTGCTATGTGCACTCCGCGGGAAGCCCCTTGATGAGCTCGAGATAGGAGACCGTGGAACGTGCGGCGCGAAGCCTGATGACAACCAATATCTGCCAGCCGCGTGATGACTGTGCTGAGACAATAAACTTGTCCTTTGGAAGCTCCCGCACCTAGTAACCAGCCTCTGATGGTGCAGGAGCGGGGCCATCTCTGTCACTTATTCGGCTCAACAGGCCTTTCCACTTTCCCAGTCCGTGCTGACGTGAGCAAGTAGTGTGGTGCAATAGTTAGGCTGCCATTATTGCAAAACAATCGTGAAATTTGTCAAAAAGACACAGCATCTGGGATGTTTTGCAAAATCAGTAAAGCCCTAACCAGGAAGACCGTATCATGTCCAGCGATGTTTTCACCACTGTTCCCGACCGGTTGCACGGGAGAGAAACTTGGCATTTGGTAACGACATTAGTACGGCATAGTAGGGTTGGGATGCTACACAAAGCACTGTCCAGCCACAAATATGGTCTGGAAAGGTATCAGCAGATAACGGTGACTGAGGACTAACATAATGCCGATGATGCTTCCTAAACATTTCAAGCGCATTTAAAATCGTAATCGTCGAAGACACGAGCCTGCCCCCTAGCTGTACCTGCAGTCTGCACCATGCAAATGAACTTAAATCATTCGCGTTTTACCCATAAAATTGATTCGCTCATTAAATATTTGATGCCGGAATGTTAGTTAGAAGTGGGGGATTCCTCATCCGGGTCTATGATCTGCAGCAGTTAGATTCGGACGTACGCTCAGTCAGATTATACTAAGAAATTATTATCCTAAGCTGTCAGGCGTTGCGTAAGTGTGATTGTGTCAGTGGAGGGTGGGTAGTGGTAGTTGGTTTGACGGAACTTCACAGAGGTTTCAGTTTGTTTGCATAAACACTGACGCCTACGTAAGTTTAACAATGTCCCATCGCTGCTTAATTAATGTACGGGTTTATGATACGGTGGCCTTCATAGGCGAGCACATGCTCATCATGATTGAGTTTCTCTCGAAAACGGGAAGAACGGACACTAGGTGCTTCTTCGCCATTACGCCACCTTCCCGCAGTGCGCAGCCCGCAGGTCGGTGGCTCTTCACACAACCTTCCACGCAACATCCAAGTGTTCCCACACACCTACGCACCTGTTGAACACAGCGACACGAATCGCATGCCAATACCCAACACCCAACCACGCAGAACTCACAACGCTGAACCCTTCCCACGCAAATGAATTGAACTACCAAACACCGTTCCTGACAACTAAATGGACGATTCACATGACTCGCAACCCGAAGGCACTCTCCGTCTGAGTGGCCTTCATTTTGTCGTCCCACAGGGCACCCTTTTTGGCGTCCTTAGCGGCCTTGAACGACTCCTCCGCCTCCGCCAGGTAGTCCTTGGTATTGTCCGGCAGCTTAAGCTGTAGGAGGCAGGTTGGGCAGGTGCACACACAATCAAACACGAGACGCAAATCCCCACCACCAGGACATAGGGACATAGGGAAAAGGGCTGACGCGTAAAGGCTATGTATGTGGAGGCTTCGTGACGCAAGCACATCGTCGAGCACGCCAATTTGAAAGGCAGCAGTAGAGGAAGGACCATCTTGGACAGGGTTACACAAGAACGGAAAGGCGCCTGGTGGAATCTGACGCGCCACCGGCAATGCCGTACCCCACCTCCTGTGCAAGCAATCCTCATGCCGATTGCAAAACGCTTGAGCATGACTCATTTGAGGTGCAAATATTACCTACCTAACCGCCTGACTGATCTACAGACAGACAGACCCACCTGGCTGCGGGGTGTGCGGTTCTTGTTGTTGCGTTTCAGAACGTCTGCACCGCCATCTACCAGCGCCCGACACACCTGGGAGCTCAAATGCAGTACGGAGGGGGAAGAGGAGCATGAGAGCTAGGTCAGGGTTACAGAAAGTGCATCGCGCCAAATCGGGCTATTACAGCAAGTAACGAAAGCGAGGGCAGCAGCACCAGGGCTCATCGGTTCGACGGGTACTCGCATTCGTTCGCGGGGGTCAGCATGCACGGCGCAGGGGGGAGAGTAATTCGAAACCGCTATATTGCGCTGGCCGGGAACTGCTAACTGCGCATGATTACTGTCTGTGGGGCATGGAGCGGACAGAAGTTCAATGACTCTTGGACTCATTACCTGCGCTATCACCGCCGGTCATCCCCTGTTGAGATCGCCCCACAGGGCGGGCATCCCGAGGAAGAGCGCTGCCAGCTCACACACACACACACACATCCACACACATGCACGCAAACACGCACACACACACACACAGGCACCAACCCGTCCATATAAGGTAGGCCGACCAGCAAGAAGTGCAACAGCGCTAGTCAACAGCGACAGCTAACAGCCAACTGTAACATCAAATCCCCGCGTACCTCCACATGGCCCCCCCTTGCGGCCACATGTAGTGGGCTGTCGCCCTCCTTGTTCGCAGTATTGGGGTTGAGCCCCAGAGACATCATCGCGGTGACCACCTGCACGTGGTGGATGGGGTGTATGGTGGGTGCACGTTTGCCGCTTAATGTGGCACCACATTCCACTGACAACCTTCCTTGTCCCTGCCTGCTGCCTGATGTCCCGACCGCAACCCTGCGGAACCCAACCCAGCTGACAATACAACCAGAGACAAGACGCATTCAAAAGGAGAAACCAACCTGATCGCCTCCAATCAACCCCCATTCCTTACACTCCAGTCGCCCGCCTGGTGTCGCTACACGAGCGCTAGACAACTGCCCGCAAACATTGTGGACTTAAGGACAACGTGTCGTCGTCTGCGCCAGACACGATACCCACTGTTGACCTTCCCAATCGCCAGATCCTCCTCCACCTCAACACTCCACCCCCTACAAGGCCTGTACTACCGGAAACAACTTCAGCCCGCCCGCCTGCAGCGCCGGGTCTCCATCTTTCTTTCCTTCATCCTGCGTGCCTCGTGCCTTGTGCCTCGTGTCCCTGCCCAAGCCCAGGCCTTGGCCGATCTTACGTCATAGCTTCCGCCACTCTCCGCCACGAGGTGTAGGTACGTGTTCCCCGCATCGTCCACAGGAGCGTCACCCGCGTGTTCCGCATCGAAGCGCTTCACGTATGCCATGGCGGCCTGAAGGGCCACGGGGTCACCGCGGGGTCAAGGGAGGGAGGGCTATGGAGGGTACTAAGGTGGAATATGAGGACAGAGGAGCATGGCAAAGCTTCAATACGAGCGGTCCAGAAAGCCTGAGCATCAAAGGTAGGTCATTAAGCTGATAGATTCACTTTATAAGTCTATAGCACAAGTGAAGTGAACTGTATGCCGAAGATGTAAAGCCACCGAGGTACCGCATCCACATCACGCACCCGGCCTAGTCCAGCCGCGATGAAGGTCTTGAACTCCAAGTCCAGGGAGGTCAACACGGCAGGTTTGAGGAGGGGGACAAGCTGCAACAGGGACAGGTAGTGGGCAGCAGCAGCAGCAGCAGCAGCGCGGATGATGCGTCGTCGTGCAGGAGGCAGAGGACACATGGCTTGGTCAACAAGATGACAGTAACAGGCACCCGCATCCCTACCCGCGCTGCCCTTACAACAACCGCGAGTTATGGTAAACTTCCAGGGCGTTCCGTAAACCTCCACATGCCTGTTAACTACCTCCCAAACTATAAGTAACAATATATAGGGCTGCAGCAATAAGGTTTTTCCAGACGTCCATGCGCTTGGCCTCCAAGAGGGCTCCATATCGGGCCCATCGACATGGGGTTCATGCTTCCGCAACGAAGTCCCCTCCTCCGTTTCACTTTTCACCTGCTGACTAAGTCCCCTCCTCCGTTTCACTTTTCACCTGCTGACTAAGTCCCCTCCTCCGTTTCACCTTTCACCTGCTGACTAAGTCCCCACGCGTAAAAAGACCAACGCGAGCTCCATGAAAACATTTCTCAAACGGTGCGCGGGCACCCACCAGCGCAGCTATGCCGTCCGCCTTCTTCTCAACCGCGGCCTTCATGAGTGACATGCCCGCCTCGCCGGGGTCCCCGCCCGCGGTTACGATTGCCTCCGCAATCGCCGCGCCGGCACCACCGGACGCCTCCGCCAGCGCTACCTCCGCTGCGGTGGCCTTGGCGGCATTGCGCAGGTACGGCTTTCGTACAGCAGGCAGCAACGCCGTAACCAGCGCCAAGTTGCCCTTGAGCGCGGCTACGTGCAGTGGCGTATCCAGGGATTGAGGGTACTGCACCAGGCACGTGTTTGCGTTATGTTGGGGGAGAGGGACGAGGTGCAGCATCAGCTCCGAAGCAGTGGGAGGACGGATGCCAGGTTGTAAGGGCAGCGAGAACAGGGCACCACTGCAATGTGGGCTGGTCTCCTGATTCAATAGGCTTATTGCTACACCTGCAAGGTCTTTGCCTTTATTACCCAATGGTCAGGGGTAGGTTACTGAAAGGAAACGGCAGCCGCACTGCCCTGTCACGCCATATGACGTGCTAACAGACATAAGAAATGCGGATGGATCCCGTTGCAAACTGAGGAGAACCTGCCGACGGACGTTTAGCCTCTCCTATCCCGCCAGCCTTGCGACATGCCCACGCCAACACAAGAGCAAGAGCTTGGTTTGGAATCAGGCCCACGAGGCAGGCCAGCTGAGCAGCCTGGGCGAGGATCTATCTGGTGGTGGACTTGCATCGACCACCCGTCCACGCACCTGCAGGTCCGCCGAGGCTCCCTTGGCCACCAGCTCGCGAACCAGGTCCATGTGCGGCTGGTCAGATGCGACCTGGACCATGAGCAGGCTGCGACCAGAGGGGTCCTGACGGGGGAGACCAGCAGCGCGCGGGTACATGAAGAGAAACGAGAAAGATGGGTACGCAGGAGAGTTGGTTATTATATTATTATAAGTCAGTTAGTTAGTTGCTCACCAGTTCGTCTACGCCACAGTTGGGCCGTTCCAGCAACTGCAGCGCCTCCGCCACCCGGCCCGATTCCACCAGAAACATCAGCGGAGTCAGACCATTGGCATCCTGTAACACAGCAGCACCAGGAGCGAGGGGAGGGCTATGAGTTGTTGTTACAGCTGCTGTGCGGCGGTGGTGATGGCGACACCTTTGCGGCGTCGCGGCGAAGGACGGTTTATTTACTTGGCGCAGGTCATTGTGGAGCGCACGGATAGCCTGTCGTCGCTGGGCACCCAGTGGGCCGCCCTGCTGGACTTAACTGCCATTTGGGGCGCTGCCGATGTTGCCGATGCTGCGGGTGACAGCGACGCTGATGTTGAAGAACTGATGATATGACGCACTTATGTAGCTCTCGCAGAAGCTGACTCTAGAGGCATGTGAGTATGAGCTCGAGCGGTCGGGCTTTACCATATCGACCAGCCGTGCATCCCCCCGGACGGCGTGGGTGTACCGCATATGAGGGTGTGCGGCATGGGCGCGCGTCGACCGACCTACCAACCTTGGTTGTCAGTTTGGCTCCTGCGGCTACCAGTTTGTCCACCACCTCCAGCAAGACAGCTGGCTTCAGGGCGCCCTCACAGCAGGCGCGGAGGGCGCATTGCAGCGGGGTGCCACCGCCGCCTGGGGGTGAGACGTCCGCTGCGGCGCCGGCCTGGCGTAGTGTTGAGTCCAAAGGAGGCGGAGGAGAAGGAGGAGGGATCTATTAAGTAGCTTGCAGCACCAAGCGAGTGCGCGACCCCACACGCAACTCCTCTTTGGTTACATGGATACATGGCTGGCAAGGCCGCGGGCAGCGGGTTGGGCGGTCGTCGTGGGGTGCAGTGTCTGCGGACCTGCGGACACCTGCTGGCGGGTTCGGCCCAGATAGAAGATGGCCTGAACCCTGGTCCTGAGGGTCCTGAGGACTGTCGAGGACTATCGAGCAGCGGGAGGTGACCTACAGGACCGGACATGCTCAGCCGCAGGTGTAAGGGACGGCGGATTGCGGCCAAGCCAGCGAAACGGGTGAAATATCAGCAGCTCACACGGGCCTGGTCCCTACCTAGATAGCAAATCCAGTACCTATCAGGTGCGCGTCACGTTGTTGACACTCGCCTTTACGAGAAGATCGATTGCGCTCAAGGCACCCGCTACGGCTGCCACATGCAGAGGTGTCATTTTCGCCTTGTTCAGAGCATCCACCTTTGCCTTTTTCTCAAGTAGCAGCTCTGTACGGCAGTACGACAGGACCCAGGGGTTACGGCAGTAGAGTTGGAAGATGCGTCTCGTATGCTTTCTGGAGCTGGGTTTAAGTGTATACGCTTAAGGAGGGAAGGAGACTGCATAGAGGCTCATCACCACGCTGTCATGCATGTTTCGAAGCATGGCTAAAAGCGTGCAGGATCTCTGTTATTGACAAGAGGGCTGCGAGTATATCCTGTACTGGCACTTGGTAACCACGATACCATCCATAGGCCTAGTTATTTCAGTAACAAGGCATGGAAGCTACTCAGAAAGAACTTGCGATGTGAGAGTGCGTTGCGTGCCGGTGTGGTGGGTCGGTCTGACCTCCATACGTCGAGACATCACACATGTCGCCCACATACCCGCTATTTTGGGAGGAGTGCCAACGTCTCGCACGGCCCAGTGGAGTGCCGTTGAATCCTCATGATCCAAAGCGGACACATCAGCTGCAGCTGCAAGGAGCGCTTCGACAATAGCTGGGTCTCCACCTTTCACGGCATGATGCAGCAGGTAATGGAAGACCCCCGGCTTCTTGGCATCAGGTGTGTATTTTTGTGATGCCTTCTCTTTTTTTAACCGTTCCTGGACGGCTTTGAGTTTCTTCGCGTCGATCTCCTTCACAAAGTCTGCAATCGGCATGGTTCCGGGCAAACGTTACAGCTACCCTACGAAGTTTACTAACTTCGTAATTAAAAGTCATTTCTCTGTAGTCGTGCAATTTTGGGTTACATTTTAAACCCAACATGCTTCGATGACTTCTGTTCCGGATCCAGTACGGGTACGAAACCTACCGTCTAAGCATCCTGATTCAATGATAATGTAATTTTCGGGAGATCCCTACCACAGTTATTTATCGTGTCCACGTTTCTCATAGCAAGGTGAACACCCACCATTTCACTCCCCCCAGGTGGACATTCCCTCAGCGTGAATTTCACACCAGATTGCTTTTAAGTTTGACAGGGACGGCTCGCCCTCTCTCGGTGTGACAGTTGAGGGAGCAACAAGGACCGGTTTGGCTTGTCGACAGCTGCGGCTAACAAACGAGTCTGCCTGAGTCGTAGCATAAGAAATGTCTTTCAGATTTCCAACTGACCTAAGCAATGATGATATTCAGCAGTGCTTAAGTGACATGCAAATAAACCTGGACCCGAGTCAGTTGATCAAACCAACCCCTGAGGCGGTCCGCACATATTACGAGCAGGCAGTAATTGCCTTAATGGACACTTCCAGGTCTGAATACTTTTACAGCTGGGTGGGTGGGGTCCTGATGGGTGCGACTTCTTGTTAAGTCGTTCCGCCCCTCTGCTCCTCAACTCAAGGGAAGAGCTCGCACGGCCCGACTTCGCCGCGCTCACCGGAATGGAGTACATGGAGCTGCATGATGAGTCGATACCATTTTTAAACTTCCTCCAGAAGTTGACCAAGCTCATGCAGTTTTGCGGCATCACAGACTTCACCCTGAACGTAGGTGGCTGCCCTAGGACTCAAACTGCCTGAGCCCTCCCACTTACCGCGCAGCCCAAACATCGGACGACACCCGTCCGCACGACCCACATGCTACTTTCTGCAGGACATTTTTAAGCCGGAACCCGCGCGGCTGCGGCGGCACTTCTGCGCCATGATTAATTTCGCCAGATACCGTGAAGAGAAGGTCACCAACTTGGACATGCTGCAGAACAGGCTGGCGGAGATGATGAGACTGGAGCACTCTGAGATGGAAAGGAAGGAGAAGAACGTAAGAGACCGTCGGGGGCTCCTTCGGTCGTTCCCAAAACCTATTGCTCCCAGATTCACGCCAGGCCCAGTTCTTCGATCTGGTCCAAATGGGCCTCCAAACAAGGGCAACCTTCCCTTTTCGTGTTGCATATAGCAACCGCATGCAACCGCTGCAAAATCCAAGAACGCTGCCTCCCTTCGCTGTAAAATTGTCCGGTTGGCAGTTGGCGGAGCTGAAGCGCCTCAAGGAACGTCGCGCTGCACGCCAACAGGAGGCGGCTGCCGTTGAAATGGATACGCAGGCCATCACCGCAAAGATCATGCAGCACAACAAGGTCCACACGGTACTCGCCGAAGAGGTCAGTGCTTTCACTAGCGGTGCATTTTGCCTCTTTCCCCTCACTGTAGTCCCCGCTTGAAGCCATGTACTTCGGTCACGGCTTTTCCAGGAACTGTAGCATTCTTTGACCTTTGACAACCCTTGGGACAACAATCACTGTACTTGTAAGCATGTGTGCCGTCCTAGGTGTTTTGGCTCACCCAAGCCCTCCCAGTATTATACATATATATGTGGGTTGGTGATGAGGCTGCAAATCTGTTGCCTCCTAACGAGACTGCCGCACCTAACTACCTCCTAACGAGGCTGGCATGCTGCTGCTAGGGTTTCGCTACTGGGTCAAAACGCTGGCCACAGCACGTACCGGCACAAGCAGCACCATGGGGGCGTTGCCGTGGCGCGCGGTCATTCCGGATTGTACCAAAATTTGAGGATGGCATTGCGTAACAAAAAACCTGCATTTATACACATTGGACAATCCAGTATCGTTTATGTGTGCATCGAGTCCCGTCTCGCTCCAGTGTGGTCGTAACCACGGCGCTTAGGCAGGAGGCCGTTCCCAATATGGGACCTGGTATCGTACATGTGACATGTGGCCTTTCGACCCTAGTACCAACCCCGTGCCTGCAACGTTTTCCATTTCCTATGTGCAGACCCGCGGAATCAAGGCACAAACCAACGCCCTCACAGACCAAGCGGCAGAGTTAAAGCTCATGCTCAACTCACTGTACGACAAGTGCTCAGCGCTGCAGGACGAGCTCGTACATGTAAGTGAGCGGCTGCTTAATAAAGTAATTGGGAACTTATATCCCATTTAGGTAACAAACCTCGGGCCATTGCCAACAAACAAGCATTTCGGGACTTCGCAGTTTGGGCGCGTTTTACGGCAGCGCAATTTACAGCTTCCAAACAGACAATACAACCCCTGGCATGGGCCGATTCTTAAAGGGGCTTTGTTGGCTAATACTCGGAAACGGCCTATTGCTCCGCATGAAGGGGTTGTATCCTTTTGTGCGTCTCGCGGCGCCCTTGCACGCTCTCCTCCTCCCCCTCCCCCGGAGACGGCCCCGTGCTTCCTGGCCTGGCCTACATGATTGACGCGAGAACAATGCACCTTGACCAGCATGTCACCTTGACCAGGGAGCATAGATGATTGCAGCTAACGATTAGGACATCAGCAGTTTTACATCTCTGCAGCGCAGGGCGCAGCGAATAAGCATTTCGGGTCTCGCCCCGGTGGAGATGCCGATTTGCGGGCTGGTGTGACTGCTACCCAGCAATGCGCCGCCGCGGAGCCTCTTTGTTTGCGATGCTGTAGAATGTTGCCTTTTGTTTCATGTTGTACGCCGGCATGCAGAGCCCCGAGAAACACAAGACAGTAATCAACGACCTATGTGCGGCCTACGATAAGAAGCGCGACTACCACGCCGGATTGTCCTCGCTTCGCGCGGAGCACGAACGCAAACTGGACATGTTAACCAAGGTGTGCGTGTGATGCAAGTGCTGTTGTCAGATGCAAGTGCTGAAACTAGAATGGCAGGAGCTGTAGCCGTACTTCCTGCTTACTCAACCTGCCCGTACACATTGCGATTAACGGGTCCAGGACTGTCGTTAAATGGGGTTGCTATCACAATCGAATCGGCTAAGGTAAAGGGTAAGGGAATGGGATATGTGTCCCCGAGCGCTAGCGGCGGTCTCTACGAAAACACTTGGAATACTTGTGCTGTGATGGCCTTGTTTCCTGGCTCGTAAGGTTCTGGTTCTTAAGACTTATGATATCGCCGTGATATGACAGACGCCACTCCCTGGACCGTCCATGTTCTTAACAGAATCGTTTTGTTTTGCGCAAATGTCGCTGAAGCCCTCGCACTGACCGCCCCCGCATCGCAGTTCGAGAAGGATTTGCAGCGCTGCGTAACGGCGGTGGTGAGATGTCTGCTGGGATAGATCCTGGGGTACCGGGGAACCGGAAGACCCAACAATAGTCTCTGCAGCACTTGGGGCGGCGTTCAGTGTTTGAGTCGGACAACCACGTCTGACGGGCTGTAGGTCCAGCTACAAGTCAACTAGTCTGCTGGTTTCTTTCCAACTAAAAAAGCGGCGGTGTCGGTTGCTCTCGAACCTCTTGGGTTGGGTCGTTGGCCTGGTCCAAAACCTTACATCTGCATGTGGCACTTCTTCCGCCCCCGATGTAATGATTTTGAGCAGCAACGTGTATTGAAAAGATTGCAATGCCTGTGTGTTACACCGAAAACGCTGCTGTCACCTTTGCCGTGTCCGAGCGGTTGTATCCTTGGTGCGCGCAGGAGGAGGTCGAGGCTGCAGTGGCCAAAAAGAAGAGCGTGGGCGCCTCCACCAAGGAAAACATGAAGGTACGCGAACTCGCGCCCGGGTGTGCATATGTTTGCCTTTGCACGTCATTCATGCTGGATTGGCCTCAATCAAAGCCACTTGGGCTCGGGCCTCGTTACCTGACAGCTTTAAAAGCTGCCCTGTCATGCACCCAACGCGCGCATGTTCCTTTCCTGACCACGTTTAAATCCGTGCAGCCACTTGTGGCTGCCCTTTCTTGCGCTTCGAGTCAGGCCCACATCCGGCCAGTCCCCTCATCATCGTTTGCCCAATACTCTGCGGGCATCTGTACTACATGGGCATAGTGCGCAGTGCAGTTGTAAAACTGCATCTTGTCGTGATCTCCCTGTCCGGATGTCCTTGCGTGCCAATCATTCTTGGCAGTGTAGGTGCCCCCGTTCCTGTCCTAAGTTCTGTCATGGGACCACCTTGTCTGTCATCGCGACCACAGGCCATTGCCGACCAGGAGCGGCAGCACGACGATCTGCTCACCATGCACGCATCGGAGAAGCGGAAAGGGGCATCGCTGCTGGACAAGATCAGCCGCACTGAGCAGCAGGTGAGTGCACGAGTGGGCTTTGCCATGGTTTCGTCACGCTAGCCTTATTAGCTGTCTATTCGAACCAAGGAACCGGTCCCTTGATCCCAGTCTATTTATCGTCGCCATCGGCGGCTTGCTGAGAGGTCTAACGTCACCTCTACTTGCACGTTGAACATCCTTTTGTCACAGGGAAAGGTCAGGGTGGATCTGGCAGCAGCGGAAGTGGAGAAGCAGACCAGCCGGCGTGAATCCGTGAAAGCGGAGCGCGCGGCTGACCATGCTCGGGCTGAAGAACAGGAGGCACGGGTGCGTGGGTCTGCGCCGACTTGTAGACCATGCATGAACCTACAAACCGAACAGTTCTGCGCCCCAGACACGCATGTGCCCTGACAGCAAGGGGCCCTCTGGGAGCTGCACATCCTAAATCAGCTGGTGCACTGCAAGGTTTCCCCCTGTCCTCCTTATTTCCTTGTGTATGTATGTGTGCCTGCTGCTGCTGCAGGCCACTTATTCCCTGCACCTTCCAGCCTGGCCGGGACGCCCATTTAAAGCGGCACCTGTCCACCCGGCTCTCCCGCTTGGTGTACGCTCTACCCAACCCTGTACTGCCCCCGTCTGCTGTGTCTTACATCATCGCAGATGCGGCACTGGCGCGAGCGCACGGACGAGCTGCTGGCAGCGAAGGAGTCCCGAGTGAAGGAGATTATGGATCGGTACAATAAGCTGCGGCGCACGGTCGCCGAGTACAACAGGCGGCTGGATGAGGCGATCGCATCGAACTCGGACCCTGAAATGATGATGAGCTGGATGGCTGGGGCCGCTTCCGCAGATGCTGTGGCGGCGGTCGATGTGGGCAGTGCCAGGGACAAGTCCACTTTATATGCAGGTGTCGCGCCATCTGCGGCCATGCAGCGCCTGTCCTTGGCGTGACGGATGGCCACCTGCAGCCCCAGAGGGCGGCAGTAAGACACTGGCGTTGGGAAGCGGAGCTGTTCACGATAAGGAAGCCGATGCAACTCGGCTATGTTATAGATTCCCGCAGGATTTAGTGTGCATGGTTCAACGTAAAACATGGGGAATACCATAACGCAGGGGAATATCGAGACATTGATGCATGTGCATGGGGACGGGATGATAGATGGGGTGGAGCAAGTGGTCTTGTCTCGTACGGCCTGCCTTGCAGCAGGTCAGCCTATGAGCATTGATGAGGGTTTGGGCAGATTTGAGCAATGGCGTGCCAGCATCTCCTAGGGCACCTGAGGAGGCCCATTACCCTTGCTTGATATGTGCAATGAATGATTGTGACAAAAGAATATGTTAAGCATTGCCTCAAAGCTTTTATACTCCAGCATTAAATTGGATCTTGTGAATGAATTGGCGTTTACTGGCTGGCCCTGTGGAATTGCGGCACTTGTAATACTTGTCTGTTACACGTATGGCTGTACCATGCATGTGGCCCTCAAAAATCCAAATTGAGACTTTCTCGCCCCTTTCTTGTTGCGTAACAGTTAACGACCTTGAACAATGCAGTAAGCTTCCATACCACACCATGCACAGACTCGTAACTTCCATACCGTGCCACTGAGCGATAAAATGGAGGGTAATGCGTTGTGCATGTAATGGGATGATGGACAATGCTAGGGATGTCGAATCGCTACAACTCATCGCTGCGCCCGCTTGTGGCCCAAGCCCAACACATCTAAACACCATAGTGCACGACCTGACGAGGAAGTTTAAACTAGGGAAAGACATAGTACCCTGCCTGGTTATCATCCCATAAAATCTAGATATAAATTCTATTACTAACTAAAAGGTACATGCGGCTCAATATGACAAGACAAACATTTGCACATCGGAGAAAACGTTCCGGAATAGCAGAGGCTACCGTTTCCAGCCGCCCGCAGCTGGCATGCACTACCGCTACCACTTCACCACCAAAGTGCACTACTTGCAAGTAATGCTGCTACCAACAAAGAAGCCATTACAACCGCTATTGCAAAAAAAAGCTGAAACTCTTAACCAGCTATCCACTGGCTATATGCACCGGCATTTAATGGGCCAGTTAGGTCTCCAGCAACAGCCTTCGCCGCCCGGCTTACTAAATCCAGACTTCTTGCAATCGATGGTAACTGCAGCCCGCAGTTGACATGCTAAAATTTCACAATGCCTGTAGGCAAGGCAGGTGCCAGGTATACTCTATGTGCATGTGCAGCTATAAATACACACACATACACACAAGATTCATTCACATTCATTGACACGCCCTCACCAGTTAGCCCCTACTCGCGGCTCGGACCATTAAAACTCGCTCATATATGTTTTCAGAAACATACATTAGATAGCACGTTTTGGCTCCTTGCACACGCCTACAGAGGCACAGCAACGGTTAGTTGCGGTGGCTGAGACGGAGGCTGCTGTTTGCCGCCCGCCTCCACCCTCCTGTCACTTTTGCATCAACTCTCGCTCGCCCCATTAGAGCGCTCGTACAGGCGCCCGATTTATATCACACCAGGCAGCAGCGACGGGCCACTGAATGCAAACCTGTAGCGGCTAGTATACAGTACGGCACACATATCAACTACAAATACGCGCGAAGCGCTCGACCAGCATCTCGGTAGGCCGTTTCAGCGGCCAGACACTACAAAACAAATGCCAAATTTTTGGTTGGACTCTACCTAACTAAAAACTAAATAAAAGGTCGCCGCACCTATCCTTTGGCGGCTCGCACCCTACAGATTACCTGCACATTACCTAGTCCAGTGTTATCTTTGTGCATGTCGCATCGCGTGGGCTGCAAAGCCACTGTACGCAGAAATTATTATGTTCAATAACGGATCTCGCCACTTGCTTCATTTTATTGTTCCGTCATCTCCAATGCCTTCCTCATGTACGTCTTACTGCTTGCAACGAATCTTCTCCGTGATGGAATGCATGGCCTAACAATAACGCCGCCGCCCTAACCATAACGTTGCATCTCCTCATATATGCCCTCCTGGACCGTCTCAACTATCCTAAACCTCTACACGTGTTGGGATTAGTGACCCAACTAGAAACCATCTCTGAACCAAGCTTCTTCCTGTGCTCGCTGCGCTGACTCGCTTGTCGCCCCCCTCAGCTTCGGCCCTGCATTCACTCCCCGCATGGCATGGCATGACATGAAATGACATCAACGTGCTAATGAGCAACGCCGGAGCTCAGCCAAGGCCCAGAGCTAGATGGTCAGCATCGGGGCCACCCTGACCTCCAGTCCTCAACAAGCTAAGGCTATCCCTAACCAATATAACGAACCGATAACTGCTTAATAAATTAAACTAATTGACTGACACCTACCGGCGCCTTTCCCGCCACTCATTCCCCCCTCCCAAGCCCCAGCCTCTAAGTCTCTCGCAGCAACATAAGCAGCTTAGACACCAGCTGAGGTGCCGTCGGACGACAGGACGGGTCAGCAGACCAGCAGGCTTGGGCCAGGTGCCTGCATGCATGCATGCAAGGTTAGATACAGATAGATGGGTGCATACTTATGTTCGTGAGCAGCGCGCCTTGGCACAGCACATGTCATGCCGCTTCTGCGATATGCTCATGTTAACACGACACGATGAGAGGTTGAGGGTTGACTCTCTCCCTTCAAGGGTTGGCACGGGTACTATACTAGAAAAGAGTACTATACTATAATAGTACTATGCATAGTACTATTTCATATGCAGGGCTCTAAACTGGTACTAGTTTACGACGCTCGTACCGCGTTCGTACATAGTAAAATAGTATAGTAAAAATAGTACTAGATAGTACTAGATTTGGGTTTGGATAGTGTCCAGTACTAGTTGGACCAAGTCGAGATCTGCAGTCAAGCTGTATTTTGAAGGGCTATAGCCGTGTCTTCGAGCTGTGCTACGTAGTTATTGATGAATAATGTCAAAGGAATCCAGTATAAAGAATGACAAGGCGATCAGAGGCTTGCATCCTGGTCCAGACGTCCCCCCTGAAGTTCTCCGTTCTCGGAACGAGCTTTTTAACAAGCTACGTAACCAGAAGAAGAACGCCAAGACGGGTAGTCTTTGGGACAACTTCGATGTGGAGTGGTGGGGTGGTCTACCAAAGCTAGTCTGCCTGTTCTGCGATGAGCCGCTCAGCGCCGTGAACCCAACCTTTACCAACACGCACCACATCAAGCAAGGTGCTTGCAAGGCTATCAAACAGCGTGCAGCGTCACTCAGCCAGCAACAGCAACAGAGTGGAACCAGCTCTGCTGCGGCGGGCCCCAGCACGGCGGATCAGCAGGCCCTCTCCAAGCGCCGGCGCGGCATTGATGGCCAGACCCTCCTCCCAGTGATTCCCGCGACTCTCGTGGGGCAAGTCGTGGAGGAGCTTGGCATGTTCTTCTACAGGAACAACGTGCCTATTCACCTGATCGAGAAGCCCGAGTTGCGGAACCTATTCGGCCTGCTGGGCGTTGTAGTGCAGGAACTTCACTAGTATGGCGTCCGTGTGTTGTCTTGTCAACACTGGGTCTTCTATCTGTGATTATGTCTTTATGTGCCATAACACGCCTTGAGACATCGGGTTTGGGGTCCACCTACCGGGCACTGAACTAACAAAAAGTGATCTGGATGACCACAGCGATCTGCTTTCTCATGTCGAAGTAGATATTTAGAAAGAACAAAAGAAGACCTTTCCAACGGTGTAATTTTCAGGTACAACGGTTGGTCGTACACCCCCCTTCTACAGGGAGCGTGTACCTGCCTAGTAATAGTATCATAGTACTATATTACTATATATAGTACTATTTCTTACTATACTATACTATTTGGGAAAATAAATATAGTATTTTTGCCAACCCTACTCCCTTGGCTTGTTTCAGCCTAAAACGCCTTGTAGGCTTTAGACCACGTCGGGTGTTTGCATGCACGCAGTTCGTGTCCTAATTACACAACGCCAGCCCGTACATGAGAATTGGATACACGTGGCCTCAAGCACTACATGACTACCGTACCTGTACGGCATGGGCACATGTGTGTCAAACAGGGGCCGTGCGCCGCGCAACACCAGCTCCGGCACCCTCGACGGGTCTGTTGCAGCGCCGAAGGGCTGAGCCGTGTGCTCGGGGGGTGTGGACGTCCACCAGCAGCTGCAACTCCACATCAGAATTCCAAATGCGTATATGTCGGCGGCGCAGCTTGGGGGAGCACCTAATCAGGGCATATATGGTGACGGATGCTGATAAGCGTCAAGAAGGAGCTCCTCCAAAGGAGATATAGAGAGAGAGATAGAGAGAGAGATAGATAGATAGATATAGATAGATAGATAGATTTGTTATCGTGCTAAGCTAGTGACTGGCCGGCATGAAGCAGTAACGGCCATCATCATCACCGCCCAGAACCTAGTGCACGTTCAGCAGATAGGCCAGCCATCAGAATAAATGGATGCCCCAATCCAGCGCCGTTTGGTGTAAGCGAGGGGTTTTCCAGTCGTTCCTGCCAGTCGTTCGGCGCTCCCACAGCCCACCGCGAAGATCCTCAACGCACCTTGAAAAGCCTCTGGTGGAATGCTGTGCAGGGGACCAATGGCGGAAGTCCTCTCGGATGCTTCCCCCCGCCCTTGCTGTTGCTGTTGCCGCTGCTCCTCCCGCTCAAACCTGGTTTTGCCGTGACTTGCCAGTGGCTCAGACTTCTGCTGCTGCGGGTGCGGGTGCAACCGCACTGCCAGCCCAAACTCTGCCAGCTTGGCCGTGAAGCCGCGTGGGTCGCTGCCGTTAGAGTACAGCTGTACTGCGTCCGGCTGCAGAGACCTGTGTACGATATGCTTGCCGTGCAGGTACCGCAGCGCTCGCGCGACGTCTAGGAGGGTATGTAGGATAGCCTGACGGGTTGATTGGCGGGTGTAAGCATATTGATAGCAGGTGGCTTAATCATTGGGTAGCGTAATGGGCGGAGTAACCCGCTTGCTGCGGAAGAAGCGCGGAGAAACGGCTTTGGATAATACCATATAGGGAGGGCACCAAATCCAAGAACCTATCCTTCCCTAGAAGCCGCCACATCGATAGAGCTAAGTGGCGGTATCGCTCAACAGCGATACTGCCAAGAAGCGGAGCAGCCCGCCAGCTAATTACGTACTATTAGCTATGTTAGCTAGTAGGTCATATTAGCTTGTGTACCAAACCCCCGCTGCAGTAGTATCACCTTCCAGTCCACCACCCGCGCCGAGCGGGCAGGCTCGCCACATGCACGATGGCGCCCAAAGAGCCCCTTATCGAGCGCCGTTCGGAGGCTGCCCAAGTCACAAGAGGTCACAAGCACCAAACAGACTGGCGAGCTGGTGCCGGTAGTTGCATTTGTGTCGGCGTCGGCGGCCGCGTCAGCGGCAACGCTGACGTCAGCACCTGCGCTCTGGCCAACGGTGGCCACCGTACCAGCTCCGTCAACTGGTGCACGGCCATTCCGTTCCCTATTGCAGTCGCCATCGATGTCGAGGCGCAGCGATAGCACGCCTGATGCTTTTCCAAAGCTTGCGTTGGCAGCCATCGCAGCTGCGGCTGTAACTTCCGTTGTAATAGTAGTGGTGGCGGCGGCGTCTGTGGTGTTGGTCGTTTGGGCGTCCTTGCTTGCTGTGGCCTTGCACGGCTTCAGATACACTCCGTTGCGCCATAAGTGGATCTGTAAATTTGTAGAGGGCAAATGCAATGCAGTTGGCAGTTGGCGGTTGGCGATTGGCGGTTACCCCGGGTACATTAGCTGGAAACGATTGCACTGTCCTGCACTTACGACATGGTAACGCATCAGACAACTTTGGGGAAAATCACATGCGGGCCGTACCCTTGCAATGTTCGGATGGCTGAGGTACATCAGCCACGCAATGTCAGCGGCACTCTGCAGGGCTCCAGCCCAGATGCCCGGGTCCAAGTCCGTATTCCAGGCATCGGTCGTTGCCATTGCGATTGTGGCGGCAGCCGTTGACGCTACTGCTGACGGCAACTCAGCAGGGAGGTCCACCACCGCTGGTGCTGGTGCTAGCGTTGCCGCACCGTCAGCGCCGCAACCGCTGCTGGCAACAAAAGAAATGTACGATAGGTCCATGCCGTGCGGAAGCTCCGTCACCTTGGCCGTCAGCGTCTTACCACAGGGAGAGGTCGCTCGGAAGGTGACGATGCCCGTACCGCCGTACGATTCAATGGACCGCAGGAGCAGGCCGTTCAGGTCCCCTCGGTACGACGAGTGATCATATCCGCTGTACGAGCAGCTGTACATCCTGCCGCACAAGCAAATTTATGGTATAAGTGAAAAATCATTGTGTCCACAGCGGGCTATTTTGAAGGTAATATGTACGGCATGTTAATATATGCACGGCAACCTCAGAGACAGTGCACTTCACGATGTGTGTGTGTGTGTGTTACATGGTTGGGGGTGCCTGACCCCATACCTGTAAGACTACCCATACGAGCCGAAGGCCTAAGGGCAATATCTATACGCCTAAAAGCCACGGAGAACAGGAAACACCGCACATCAGCCCAGCCTAGCGCCCAAAGGGGATAACTGAGTTGCGGTGAGCCCACATACGTTCCAACATCCTCGCCAGACGTACTGGTTCCCATTTCATGGCCTCCAACATGCTCTGTTGATGATCGAATCCTTGTTCCGCACGAATATTATTATAGGCTGGGCATTCCAATAACACGTGTTTTTCATCCTCAATTTGGCTATTAGTACCACAACAGCGGCAAAACCGCTGCTCCCTGGGGACATGGGGACATGGAGACACTTCACGATGTGCATCTTTTGGTATTTGTAAGGCAAGCATCTTATCTGGGTTGCCATGCCGCCCGCTTTCCTCCCCAATCGACTGCAGGTTTCGGAGTCAACCGGTATGCGGATGATACCCCCGGTGTGCACCCCGGGCTGTGTAGAAAGATCCCTCCCGATCCGCACAACTCACTGGCATGCTGCACACTGGATTGCACCAAACAGCTTGGCATCGACAGCAGGTGATGATCGGTCCAATCCATCTTCCATGGCCCCCTGGAGCCACTTGCTGCTAGCCGTCCTAGACGCCGGGTCACTGCGGGGCAGCAGAGCCGCAGTGGGGCTAGTGCCCTCAGGGCAGGTGCCGCTGGCTGGACTCGAACCCCCGACCTCGGTCAAGCCGGAGACACCTCCTGCCAAAGTAAGTGTGGTGTCGGCCTTGGCGACTGCCTCGCCAGAAACCTCATCCACAGCGTTTGAGCTCCGAGCAGAGCGTCTAGGTCGGGCAGTCGCAGTCGGATCGCACCGGGCTGAGCTCCCTGCGGTGGGGCCCAGAGCATAAGCGCCACGGGCGCAAGGTGCCGCGTGTGCACGGCAGGCGATGGCAGCTGCTGCAGGGAAGGCAGCGGCCGCGGCAGCCGCGTCGTGGAGTGGCTGCGTTTCCAATAATGTCAATATGCCGTTCGATGCTGCAGGATTCTCCCGCTCCTCCTCCCCGTCGCCTGCGGCCGCCGTCGCCGTCGCAAGCATGAAGCCCTGTCGGCAACTCCACTCCCCACCAGCGCAGCCGTCCCAGCTGCCGCCAGCATCCTTGCCGCCGCCGGCAGCCCACCCCTCATGAGGCCGGAGATACACACCCAACCTAGTGTGCGCGGCTCTGGTGGCGGCGCTGCCGCCGCTAGCGGTGGTCGCTGCCGCCCCGGCGGCGGCGCCTGGGCCGCTAGCGATGGGTGCTGTAACGGCACCGCCCCCACATTCGCCGGTATTCCCGCTGCCGTCCCGACGGCCACATACCACCGGCCAGACGCAGCGTGTGTGTGACTCATCAGACATATCTGGCATAACCCAAGTGTTCAAGTCAATTATCACGATCTCGCCTTCGCTGGGGTTGTATGCGTCATAGAGTCCCTGGCCTGAGCCGCCTGAGGAAAGGAATCCTCTTGCTGAAATCCCTGGATCGAGTCCCACATCCATTGTTGTGAACATGGCAGTGTCCTGACTGTCTGAGCAGACGATTGCATGCATGGCATTGCGGGAGCAGGTGCCACTGCCAGCACCTGTGGCGCCAGGACCCAGAAACATAATGCATGGGTTTATGCAGCCTACCGAAATGGTCGGTCTTTCGCAGGTAGCTGCCGGCGGCGGCTGGGTCCGGGCTGAGGCCTCAGCAGCAGCAGGGGGGAGATCCGCCGCACTCGAGCGCGCTTCTAGAGCTGTGGCGGCGGCAGCGTCGACCTTGGCCACCGAGCACGGCGCGTTGTTGCTTTCTCTGGGCACCCGGGGGCCAGGCAGCTTGGAGCTCTCCCCGTTGAGGACCTCACGCTGCAGCTGCAGCGGCTGCGAATGTAGCACCTGAGCTGCTGCTCCTGCTGTTACTGCTGTTACTGCTGTTACTGCTGGTGCTGCTGCTGCTGGAAGCTCCATACCCTCCCAACAGTCCACTGGTGCACCACCGGCATCGCTCGGAGATGCGCTCGCTATCAATGTACAGCAACCCTTACCGCCCGCCATTGTTGTACAGACAGCCGTATCGCCCGCTGCGGTTATGCACATAGCCGTATCACCCCCCATAATTCTACAGTCAGTCGTACATCCCGCCATGGTGGTATGAACACCGGTGCCGCCCGCCGATGCGTTGTACGACAACCCTGCCGTGGGCCGCCTCACGGACGGCTCTTGGGCTCTGCCGTCAGCTGGAAGGCTGCAGGTCCCCAGGGCGCCGTTTGTGGCTTGTCGTACATCGCCAGAGACCGGTGAGTTACCGCAGGAAGCCGTCCAATGGCACACGTCAGCTGTGTCCGAAAATGTCGCGTGCATTTCGTGTGGTACGGCATGCGTCCGTGTAGCGTCCACAAGGCGGGGCACATGCCTGATTTGGCAATTGACGCCAATCGTCGCGTCCTTGCGTGCAGAGGTGGTGCGTTTGGTGCCATGGGACTTTGAACCTGGACGAGTCGTTACTGCCGCCGCTGCCGCTGTTGGAGGCGTGTGAATTCGCATCAGACGTGACGGGGGTGCGGAACCACCGGGGTGAGGAACAAGTAATGGATCAAGGGACCGTTGCTTCGGCCCGCTACACCCTCGGCTTGGGAGCTTTGGGTCCAAAAATGCTTGGATAAGGCTCAGTTTGTGGATGTCTCGCGATTGCTGCTGCAGCGCGGACGGCAGCGGCGGCCTAAGGCCTTCTGGCGGAGGACCGGCTTCGGCGTTTCTGCGATGCTTAACTTCAGCAATTCCATGATAGATCGGGGCTTTGTTTCCATGTGCAGAAGCTATCGAGACGGCGGCATAACTTTCCGGAGCAGTTGGCGTGATAGATTCGACAGGTCCTGCGCAACAAAAACGGTCACGAGGGCGAAGGTAAAGTGGAGTATCGAAAAAGATCAACTTCAGGGGTTGCATAATGCTTGTCCAACTTGGCTGTATAGGTTTTTCTCCTAAATCGCGTTCCACGTGCTGGGCTTGCAGCACCTGTGTTGTTTCATTCCGTCTCCTTAAGCAGCGTCTTCTTTTGTGAACTCGGTTACGGTGGGTCCTGGTCTTATTGGCATGGCTCCCTGCTCTGTGCAGGGCATGGGCCCCTTGATACGAAATTATAATACGGAATTATGCTGATTGCTGTCCTGAAGCGATTTGGCAGAGGTCGGGCAATCTGCAACCGTTGCCAATCATCTGCACATGTATGATAATTTGAATCCCTCGTTGGGTTGAACATCAAGGAAACGCCTTCCGGTCCAAGCTTCAAATCCTAATTTAGGCAGGTTTCGAGAGTTAGGGAACTGAGCGCCGCTACATGCGCGGAGCGCTGAGATGAGTTCATTCAAGAATATGTTGAATGATGAGTTTAAGGAATAAATATAGATTAACATGTGACCGCTGGAATCTTAATCCACACAAGCCAGCAGGAGGCGAGGTAGTCCCTGATTTCGACCGTCTGCCATGCAGTGTCCAATGTGCCAACTTGCACATTGGTTCTTTCCCAGTTGTTGACGCGGCGAGCCCACGAATTGTTTTTAGCAGGTTATGGAATTTTTCTTACCTTTGCAAAGTTCGTCAGTGTTGGGGCCATGGCTTCTTGTGAACTCCGCGGGTGACGATAGATGTCCTGCCTGCCTCGTCAGGCTTCTCGGGCTATCCTGAACAAAAGCTATTTTTTGTGAGTGCTCGTCCGCTGCACATAGATGTCCATGTTCAGCCTGTGGCGGTCTGCGAGAGCGTTGCGAGAAAACTTCCCATCTGCCAGTTCGCAAACGGTAATGAAAAACACGTGTGTTAGGTAATTTTAGTATTATGCCATAAATACTATCCATAAACTGTACAATGAAGATCTTACCTCTGTGTCTGCTCGCTCGGGGGTCGCGTTTGTGGTAGCACATCGTCGCTTGGTTCTGTATAACCATTGGAGAAGGAGTTTGATCCACAGCCACATAGTAAAAGACGGATTGTAGATTTTACGTTTTTCATCTGCTTTTTAGGAGCAGCCTAACTCGCTTGCTAGGACGCGGTTTGGCTGCACGTTGATTGATTTGCTTCATTTGTATGTATGAGTCCACCTTTTTTTAAGTGCATACTAACACTCTTGCGACATGCATCCAATTCACGTCACTCAGTGTTCGCTGTGAATCCGGGCGATACGGCCGGTAGTTAGCGCGGCTGTACAGCCCAACTTGCACCTATCTTTACAATATGTTAAATCGCTTACCACATGCCTAACAGATGCCGCTGCCAGACCGTTTTTTAAATGTGCAGCAATATCTCGTAATGTGGCCTCATCTTCCGTATTACCAGAAAGCATCGTATTACTGGAAGCACCTTTAAACAGTGGGGGATCAAGGCAGGGTTAAATCAATATGTCAATCATCTATAATTCTCTTCTCAATTATATATTTAAACTGCTGCAAACAAGAGATTTTAAAATTTCAGTTTGCATACCTGTAGCGCACCGAGCCAGTCACGTTGGATAGCGTTGCTGGAAAGTATGATAGTGCATTTTAGTATTTTCAGAGGAATTCAAGCGTTTAAATGTTCAGTACGATTTCTCTCGGGTTACGATACCCCCACCTTCACACTATCATACCTTAGCATCCAAAAGCATGCAGCAAGCCTGAGTAGCACTGAAATCCGGATACGCATATTTACGCGCAGCAACTACGCCCAGCAACGCATGCTGCTTGATATCAGCAGCAATCCTAGGAGCTTTGGGTCCCCTCCGTGCATTACACAAATGCATGCAGGAGCGTGCCCTGGAAACTAAGAACCATCGTCACACTCTCCGAATCCACGTCTGATGTACACGTCGTTTTCTTCGGCCCGGACAGCATCGGGGACCACACGGAAACATGAGCTTATGAGCCCTAAGAAGTGTCGCGAGCTAGAGGGGGCACGGGCGCTCGGGATTGGTAAAAGTTACGGCTGCACACCCAGCGAAAGCTCTAGGAAGACATGCCCACGCAACCCTGCGCTCCAACATGCCGAACGGCGGCCGGGTGCCCCGTAGACCGTGTACGGGCAACAAAACCAACCACCTCAACGGAGGAGTGTGAGCCATTCGGAATGGCATGCGGTGCGGCAACACTGCAGCTGTACGTCCTCGGTCTGCGGCAATCGTGAAGGCGAAAGGCGCACACACTGTGACATTGTTACAAAGCAGCTGTGCTAATTGTTTTTGTGTAGTCGTCAAGAACACCGGTTTTTCGCGTCGGCGTAGGTTTGCACACCGAATGCGCGTCAGCCCTCCCTCGCCCTGGAGGACCCGGTCCGTCTGCTGGAGACTAGGAGTGCTGCGGTGGTCGATGGATGAAGCTGGTCCTAGCAAAGAAACAAATTTGCAGTGGGACATCAGCGCAGATGAACTGATGCACGAAGCTTTTTATTTGGCAACAAGATCTGGCTTGGAAATGTATCCTCCCATTAAGGGAACATAAACGATGTGATGGATTTTTGGACTTTCGAGCTGTTCCGGGGCTGCTACGGACAAAAACTTTGTGTGGCGTTCCGGACTACTTTGGATAAAAAATAATCGAGCCTAGTCGTCGCAGCGCCCAACTTCCATGCCGCTGCCGGCCTCGTCTAAGGATGACGAGGAGCTTACCGATTCGTTAAGTTAACTGTTTCGTTATTCTGCCCTGCTGGGTGAACGTTTAAAAGTTGCGGTAAGCCCGGTCGGGCCACGAACGCTGACGAACGTCTCTTTAGCGGTGCAGCGTGGTGCATTCTTTCACGGTGAATTCTTTGTGCGCTGCAGCTCGGCTCATGGAAATGGCTGCCAGTACACTACACACCGAAGCCGATAAAAAAGCCCAGAGGTGCCAGCGCCACTTGCAAATGAGTAAGAACGTTTAGCGCACCAACCCTGCACGCATTTACCCCACTTAAGGGGTGTTTCCACTTGGATTTAAAAGTCACGGTTTAAGGCTTAATCCGTCGCATATGGAAACATCGCGCGGACTAGGACGGATTAGGCGGATTAAGCTTGGCGGGTTTAAGCTTGGCGGTATAGTTAGCGATCTACGCCCGTATTCGCGCGCTTCGCGGGTTAAATGTAGATTAACAACGCCTCATAAAAAACCTGATTGATAGGTTGGAAAGTTATCCTTTATAAAGGGTGTAGGTGTTCCTTGTTTTGTGGAAGCTTTTGTGGAAGCTTTGCGCTTCTTGTTTAGTGTTATGCACCACACCGTGGGTGCCGTTCAAAGGTGCTGCAAGACCTTCATGTTGATACTCGATAGTTCTTTAATGTCTACCATTATTGTTGTACTTGAATCCGTTCCTTAATCCAGACGTATGAACATTCCTCGTGGAAACAAATGGAACAAAAGGTGAATGAAAACCTAAAGATCGCCTAATTACAAGCAAAAGAATCCGTGTTCTTAGGATGGATTTAGTCAAGCGAAGGACGTTAAACTGTTTTTACAATTTTGCTTGCATACATCTTCCAAAGTTTTCAAATACAGAAAAAGTTGTAATCCTAACTTTAATGCTTGCATCGTCCTGTTCGAGCAGCCTTGCAGTGTTACTTGAATCACCGTAACCAAGGCTGCTGAGGTGCCAAGGCATCCAGAGTAGCATCCGTAATTGTGCCTGCACATGTCTTATGCCTTAATAGGTGGTAGTTGACATGGCTCTCCCCCGCTCTCCGCCACCACCAGCACCCGCATGCGAACACATGCGCCGCAGCCGCTGCGCGCCGAGAGGCGGCAGCAGTTTAAATGCTCCCCCCTTTTCTCACTCCCTCTCTTTCTTCCACCTCCCCTCGCCGTTCACCAACCCATGCAGCTCGCTTGCTTCCTCTGCCACCCTCACAATCCAGGTGCCCAGACAGCGCAGTCGTTAAAGAATTGCACATACATACATACATACATACATACATACATACATACATACATACATACATACATACATACATACATACATACATACATACATACATACATACATGCATACACGCACTCATGTTGGAGTGCAGGTCGCAGAGAGCACATCCGCCCTCGCGACCTTCAACCGTCCCCGGGCGCCGCAAGGTCCAACTTGCTCATGCAGCGGTAGTAGCCGCCCTCCCCGTAGACCCCCCGCTGGGACAGATGGACAGCCTGCGGACAGAGAGGGGGAGATGGGGGGAGGGGCGGAGAGATGGCGAGTGTGTGTGTGTTTGATTGGGCTGAGAGCCGCGAAAAGGAAGTACGTCATACAGGTTGAAGAACCCTAAGTCACTACATGCAGAGCTCCAGCGAAGACAGGCAGTATCAGGCGCCTCAGGGGAGTGAGCCGCACCATCAGACCGTCAGTCCGTCAGTCCGCCAGTCAGACCCGACCACCCGCCTACATAAGGCCCCAACACGGCTGCACACGGGGGTTGCGGAGTTATAGAGAGTGTGTAGGTGGCCCAGAAACATACATGTATGCATGCATGCATACATGCACATACATACATACATATACACACACACGAAATCCCCCAGTCCGACTTTAATCCAGTCCAGTTGCTTCCCGATGTTGCCCAGGTCAACCGGTTTCCGCACCCCGCTCCCCGTCGGACCGCCTTCCGCAGATCCTTTGCTCCCATGCGGCCCGTGACTCCCACCCCCCTCCCCCTTCCCCCCTTACCTCCAGCGTGTGTATCCCAAGGTCCAGGCGGCCGTGCTCCGCCAACAGAGCTCGCCCGTCAAAGGGCTGCCTCTCCTCACGACGACCGGTCGGACCACCACCACCACCACCACCACCACCACCACCACCACCGGCACCACCACCACCACCACCACCACCACCACCACCGGCACCACCACCACCACCACCACCGGCACCGCCCGCTTGGTTGCGCCTCCGATACCTGCCCGGGGTGAGGGGTGACGGGGTGACGGGGGGGAAGGAGCGGTGGAGACTCACTTAAAGTGTACGAGTGGTGGGCGGCACTTGTGTCTAGGAGGTTAGCGCACTGGGGTGAGGACGTGCGGGGGTGAGGAGGAGACAGGAGACACGCGTTGCCTCCCCCCCCACCCCGCAGCCGTGCGCCTCTCAGAAGCGCCCCTTCCCCTCCCCCCTTCGCAGGTCGACATTTCCCCCCCTTTCACGACTCCCGGGGGGGCACAGAAAGGCTCCAAAGGGGACAGCGATGATAGGAGACCTCACCCCCAACCTCACCTCCGTCACCCATATCTCACTATCCAATATCATTCATCAGTACCAGTACCATTATCACTTTTACACTATCATCACCAACAATGGTGACATGGGAGTTAGCAACAGCAAGAGACAACGACAGTGACCAAAGCAGGCGCTAAGCAACTGCTAACCGAATTAAACCCCAACCGCCCCCTACACACACGTCCATGCGGCACCTGGTGTTCAGGACGGTTGCATGGAGCTTCACCTTGCGTTCGTCCTGTTGGGTTGTGCGTATGTGCGTATGTATGTAAACACGGTTTTGGGTTTGGTGGGGGTGGGTGGGGGGTTAGGTGGGCCAGGTGGGGCGGGTATGGGAGCGGGAAAGAGTGATGGTGATTCTTATTAGTATGATGATACTGAGGGTGATACTGAAGATATTGAAGAAGATATTGATGATGATGATAACGATGATGGTGGTGGTGGTGGCGGGCGCTGAAGGGAAGGGCTCCTCCCCGGCGGGTCCCCCCTCCGATACACACACACACACACACACCTGAGGCAGCAGCAGCCCCGCCCGAGCGAACTCCTCCACTACAAGGTCACACACCGCCTCCAGCCGGCTGCCGGGACCCATATCGTGAACCTGAGTACGGCACATGCGGGGCGGTGCGGGGTGGGGTTTTGGGACCCTTAGCGGGGTTGAGGGGGAATGACAATTACGAGTCAACCCCCCAAACCCAAAGTCAAAGAAACAACCGCGGACGTCCAGCGCAAGGTCCTCCCTCGGTGTCTGTCTGTGTGTATCTCTTGAGAGGCCACACACGCCCTGAAACGGAAACATCGCCCACCACCACCTCCGGGCTTCAGACACGGCCCCAAAGGGGGAGGTGGATGTGGATGTGGATGTGGAGGTGGAGGTGGACACACACCTTGAGGTACAGCACGTGCATGGCGGCGGGGTCGTCATTCATGTACTCCAATCCCTGGGGGTAAACGGATGTATGTACGGATGTACGGGTGAGCGTCTGGCAAGCCGAACACCGAGATATCGGCATTTGACATACGGTGACAATAACAACAACAACGGCAACGGCAGCGGCGGTGGTGGGCGCGGAGTCATCAAGCCGCCACTAGCAACACTCGCCCCACTCGGCCCACTCGCCCCTGCAGAGGCGGAGTGCGACCTGAAAGGAACCGGGACATTTCCCCCGAGTTATAGGACTATATAAATAAATATTATTATTATCATCATCATTGTAATTATGTATATATGTAAGTGAAAGGCAAGCCAAGTATGTATGTATGTATGCATGTGCGTAGTCACGCAGTCTGCCTCGCACCCCCCTAGCCGGCCCCCTAGCCTCCCAGTCCTTAACCACCAGGTAGTCACCCGCTCCCCACCCCAGCCAAACACAGCCTGTCAGCCTCCTCCCCC